CACCTCTCGTGAAGATGGTCCTAACGGTGTCTTACTTCCTGAACTCAAGAATTTGTTCCCCGGTGTTCCTTACATTGCCCGTCCCGGTCAAATCAATGCTTGGGATGACCCAGATTTTGTCAAGGCTGTCAAGAAGACCGGTAAGAAGCAATTGGTTATCTCCGGTATTGTCACCGATGTTTGTGTTACCTTCGCTGCTCTCTCTGCTAAGAAGGCTGGTTATGATGTCTTTGTTGTTACTGATGCTTCCGGTACTTTCAGTGAGGCTGTCCGTGATGCTTCTTGGTTAAGAATGCAACAAGGTGGTATCCAATTGACCAGCTGGTTTGCTGTTGCTTGTGAATTAGGACGTGACTGGCGTAACGATATTAACGGTATGGCTGCTTTGTTTGCTAAGCGCTTGCCTTCTTATGCTCACATTATGGACAGCTTTGCTGGTGCTCAAGCCGCTGCCCTTGCTGCTGCCAAAAAGAACTAGATTTAACGCACATGGTTTTCATAGAAGCAACTTTTTCTATCATAATTATTTTACTTGGATGATAATGGTTTTAATATTAATTATAATAAATCCTCCTTAAAAAAATATTGTGCCTTATTAAATAGTTAGTTTTCTATCTGAGTAATTTGTTTTGCGTCTGCTAAATTTTACATCAAGTGTTGACCAAGTACTTTGTTCACTGAGAAATTGTCTGTAATGTATCTATATAAAAATCTGTGATTTTGTTTAGTCGGACCGTTTTGAATCGTATTGACGGAAGATAGGAGTAACTTTGGAGTAATAGATCATACTAAGTACAAAAAATATGACACTTCAAATTGATTGGACGCGAAACATATTAAAAGTGTTACATCAACGTAACTTTAATTTAAGCTGATCCTTTGGAATGCATGATACTTTAAAGGTATACTTGCTAACATTTGTATATAACGTATCCTTTAGCATTGCTGGATGTTAAAACAATATACTCCTTTCGGTTAGAAATAGAGAAAAGAAAGATAAATGACACTTAATACTCGGGGCAAAGCTTTACAGAGTTGGAAATGTAAATACTTTTGTATAAAAAAATTACACGTCCTTGAAAACCTTGTTTAAGCTTACCTTTCTTCCACTTGGGGGTTTTGAAAGGTTTATCGTCGGACATATATTCATAAAAAATGGCAGAAATATAAATATATCTGTAAGCGTGCTACACATATTTGAAGAATGTATTAAGATTCGCAGGCTTTAGTGTATCAATCAGTAAGCACTTGATCAGTCCACTGAGTAAAGATACGCAGAATTATTTTATCGACTGCATGGTTATCTTCTATCCCAGCACATTTTCGGTTGTCGACATATTTATGGTTTATACGCTTTGGCTTTGAGTTTATATCATCATGGTTCGAAATAATGCGCTTCGAAAGTAGCTACAAAAACACTGGCGATGAAACATCGATAAAATAAATAAAAATAAACCAAAATTTAACTTTAAAATTGATAGCATTCAATTGTCAATTATTGATACGAAAAACAGAAAAAAAAAATCACAGTATTGGATATGCATACGTATCGTTGGTGAGATGAAGTAAAACAATTTTTTAACGCTTTGGGAAATTTACGAAGTGAGACCAACGATTTTCGTTATTGATGCAACGTTTGTTGCACATCTCTTTAATCTTATTTATAAGCAGTAGTTGTTTTTTTATTGTACATCACAGATAGGTTTTAATCATAAATTTTTTTTTGTTCTGATACACCAGTAAGGGCACAAACACGTTGTTGGATCTGGAAAATTTGGTGCTTCTTAAATTGGGGCGTTTTTTTTGTGTGTACCACGTAACACACGCTTACTTGGAACTTTTGCTGATTAAAGTTTAAGTTGATTACTACAGTATTTGAAATACTGAATTCGGATCAGTTACATATAAATACAGGTTGATCTTTGACACAATCGTTTTTTTTTATTATCAAACCATTATATTTTCTTTAAAACATTAATATGCGTTTCTCTATCACTGCTACTTTAATCGGTGCCGTTGCCTTGGCTTCCTCCGTCTCTGCTGACTTTTACAACCGTCTCAGAGTCAATGATACCGCTTTCTTGTTTGTTGATCATCAAACCGGTCTTCTCAACTTAGTTGGTGATTACAACCCCGATACTTATCTCAACAACGTTATGGGTCTTGCCGAAACTGCCAAGTACTTTGGTGCTGCCACCGTCCTTACCACCTCTCGTGAAGATGGTCCTAACGGTGTCTTACTTCCTGAACTCAAGAAGTTGTTCCCCGGTGTTCCTTACATTGCCCGTCCCGGTCAAATCAATGCTTGGGATGACCCAGATTTCGTCAAGGCTGTCAAGAAGACCGGTAAGAAGCAATTGGTTATCTCCGGTATTGTCACCGATGTTTGTGTTACCTTCGTTGCTCTCTCTGCTAAGAAGGCTGGTTATGATGTCTTTGTTGTTACTGATGCTTCCGGTACCTTCACTGAGGCTGTCCGTGATGCTTCTTGGTTAAGAATGCAACAAGGTGGTATCCAATTGACCAACTGGTTTGCTGTTGCTTGTGAATTAGGACGTGACTGGCGTAACGATATTAACGGTATGGCTGCTTTGTTCGCTAAGCGCTTGCCTTCTTATGCTCACATTATGGACAGCTTTGCTGGTGCTCAAGCCGCTGCCCTTGCTGCTGCTAAAAAGAACTAGATTTAACCCACATGTAATTCATAGAAGCAACTTTTCATATCATAATTATTTTACTTAGATGATAATGGTTTTAATATTAATAATAATAAATTCTCCTTATAAAAAATATTATGCCTTATTTAATGGTTAGTTTTATATCTGAGTGATTTTTTTGCGCCTGCCAAATTCTACATGAAGTGTCGACCAGGTTTATTAGCTGTACTTTGTTCACTGAGAGATTATCTGTAATGTACCTATATAGAAATCTGTGCTTTTGCCTAGTGGCACCGTTTTGAATCGTAATTACGGAAGATATGAATAACTGTGGAGTAATAGATCATACTAAGTACAAAAAATATGACACTTCAAATTGATTGGACGCGAAACATATTAAAAGTGTAACATCAACGTAACTTTAACTTAAGCTGATCCTTTGGAAAGCATGCTACTGTAAAGGTATATACACTTGCTAATTTCTGTATAAAACATACCCTTCAGCATTGCTGGATGTTAAGACGGTATACTCCTTTCGGTTATGAAATAGAGAAAAGAAAGATAAATTGAAACTTAATCACCAGGGCAAAGCTTTACAGAGTTGGAAACGTAAATAACTTTGTATTAAAAAATTACACATCCTTAAAAACCTTGTTTCAACTTACTTTTCTTCCACTTGGGGTTATAAAAAACTATACCGTCAGACATATATTCATAAAATATGGCGACAATATAATAATATCTGTAAGCGTGCTACACATATTTGAAGAGTGTATTAAGATTCGCAGGTTTTAGCGTATCAACCAATATACATATACTTGATCAATCCACTGAGTAAAGATACGCAGAAAATTTTTATTGATTGCATGGTTAATTTTTATCCCAGCACATTTTCGGTTGTCCGATATGGTTTATACGCTTTTTCTTTGAGTTTACATCATCATGGTTCGAAATAATGCGATTCGAAAGTAGCTATAAAAACACTGGCAATGAAACATCGAAAAAATAAAAAAATAAAAAAATAAAAAAATAAAAAAATAAAAAAATAAAAAAATAAAAAAATAAAAAAATAAAAAAATAAAAAAATAAAAAGTTAACTTTAACGTTGATAGCAATCAATTGTCGTTTATTAATACAAAAAATAGAAAAATATTAGATCTGTATACATATCATTGATGAGATAAAGAAAAACAGTTTTTTGACTCTTTGGAATATTTACAAAGTGAGACTAGCAATTTTCGCGACTAATGCAACATTTGTTGCACATCTCTTTAATTGTATTTATAAGCAGTACTCGTTTTTTTATTGTACATCAGAGATAAATTTTAACTATAAATTATTTTTTGTTCTGATACACCAGTAAGAGCACAAACACGTTGTTGGATCTGGAAAAATTGGTGCTTCTTCGATTGAGGCGTTTTTTTTGTGTATCACGTAACACACTCTTACTTTTGCTTATTAAAGTTTCAGTTGATTACTACAGTATTTGAAATACTGAATTCGGATCAGTTACATATAAATACAGGTTGATCTTTGACACAATCGTTTTTTTTTTATTATCAAACAATTATATTTTCTTTAAAACAATAATATGCGCTTCTCTATCACTGCTACTTTAATCGGTGCCGTTGCCTTGGCATCCTCCGTCTCTGCTGACTTTTACAACCGTCTCAGAGTCAATGATACTGCTTTCTTGTTTGTTGATCATCAAACCGGTCTCCTCAACTTAGTTGGTGATTACAACCCCGATACTTATCTCAACAACGTTATGGGTCTTGCCGAAACTGCCAAGTACTTTGGTGCTGCTACCGTCCTTACCACCTCTCGTGAAGATGGTCCTAACGGTGTTTTACTTCCTGAACTCAAGAAGTTGTTCCCTGGTGTTCCTTACATTGCCCGTCCTGGTCAAATCAATGCTTGGGATGACCCAGATTTCGTCAAGGCTGTCAAGAAGACCGGTAAGAAGCAATTGGTTATTTCCGGTATTGTCACCGATGTTTGTGTTACCTTCGTTGCTCTTTCTGCTAAGAAGGCTGGTTATGATGTCTTTGTTGTTACTGATGCTTCCGGTACCTTCACTGAGGCTGTTCGTGATGCTTCTTGGTTAAGAATGCAACAAGGTGGTATCCAATTGACCAACTGGTTTGCTGTTGCTTGTGAATTAGGACGTGACTGGCGTAACGATATTAACGGTATGGCTGCTTTGTTCGCTAAGCGCTTGCCTTCTTATGCTCACATTATGGACAGCTTTGCTGGTGCTCAAGCCGCTGCCCTTGCTGCCGCTAAAAAGAATTAGACTTATTTATATTTAGACTCCATTAATAATTTTTTACAATAAATCTTTTATTTAATTATTTTATGCTTTTGCTTTAGTCTTTTAGATTGCCTTGGGGTAGAACTGGAAGTATTTTTTTGTTCCGATGATTTTCGTTTTTGTTTAGGTGACACATTTGGAACATTTTTGAGATACATTTTGCCTTTAACAGTTATCTGTTGGATACCGCCGTCTTCAAAAATAAAGAAGATGGTTAAAATATATTGTTGAGAAATAGTATGTTCACTACAAAAAATATGCTTTTAATTACCTGGGATAGGTTGTATACGGATATGTGTAATTGGACCTGGATAAACACAAGGCATTACATGGACCATGTTGGGATTAATATCATAATCAAGTTGCTCTTCTTCTTCATTTTTAACAATTAAATCGACCCAATGAACATTATCCATCTGATTTTGATTTACAGCCTTCATTATCGTTAGTAAACTTTTCATTTGTAGAGCCTCCTCCTCCTCCCCCCTTTTTTTATAATACCTGATCCAAAATTGAACACCCTTGAACAACAATGGATTTTGGGGCATTTCCAATGAAATGCTTTGTGTCAACGATAACCCGATCAATGATGCCCTCTGTTGCTAGCTTAATTGTGGTGTATTGTGGTTGAGAAAGGGAGTTTTTATCTCTAGGACATATCCATCCATCTGAACTAAAAAAAGTATCAATACTGATATTTAAATAAACAAAGGTTTGTGTCTACCTTGAGTTCGACCGACTTAATAAGATGTTTGGCACGTCATTTCGCAGTATCTTTAGTGGCTTCTGGACAATATGACAACCAAGCTTTGTAGAAGTCAAATCAAAAATTGTATCCATTGGCATATCGGGTGGGATGACATCACCGAACACTCTTAGTCTGTTCTAAACTACTTATTTTAATCATTGGTGATTGGTGTACATATTATATAGGTATACATATATATCAATTCCTTACAATGCCTCCACCTGGGGATGAAATAAGATTTATGTGAGTGAAAACCTCTTTATTTCTAATTTCAAAGAAGTTGTGGGAGCCTGGATTTACTAAAGTTTCAGGCAAAATAGTTGACCACTAATGTTTTTGTATCAATTGTCAATTAATGAAATTATAAACAGTTTCTCTCTCACCTTTCCCGGGTAAGAATTTAAATGACCTTGTATAGATACAGTTACTGGAGCACATTGAATATATCCCGTTATGTCGACATCAACACCAAATACAATACCTGGCACGCCCAATTCTATTGTCACACTGTTTTGATACATTAATTTTATACCTTTGTTCATATTCTTCCGTTTACTTACAAGCCTTTCGTTTCATGTCGTCTTACAAGCCAACCACTTTGTTCCCCATCTGCAATATATTAAATCTAAATATATTTATTTGATATGGGGTAAGGTGTTCTTACCTTCTTCATTGTCTCGAGATGTTTGCTTAATATTATCTGCTGTGGTCTTTAATAAGTTTTTAGATGATCCATACAACTCGTCTGATACAAAAATAACTTTGGAGTCTTGATAGTCTGCTGACAGCTCAATCTTTGTTGCAAATGGTGTGTTTTGGAAATCTGGACAATTACCAAGGCTTCTGTATGATGTGTTCCTGTCAATTTCAATAAATTCTTCGGTATCAACCTCTAACAAATCTCGAGAAGAGGACATAATGCAGTAAACTAAAAAAAAAAAAAAAAATGGGAAAGAGGAAGATGGTCTAAAAAAAAGAAAAAAAGAAATAAGAGGATGAGTTAAAATTACCTATTTATGCCTGATGGTTTCTTTGTGATAGAATGGCCAAACATTGTTATTTAGCGGCCATTTAACCCTCATTATTTTTCTTATTTTGTGCCTTTTTTTTCTTTCTTTTTTCTTTATTATTTTTCTTTCTTTTTTCTTTATTATTTTTCTTTCTTTTTTCTTTATTATTATTTTTTAAACGATGAGTGAGCTCCCGCCTCGCCCATCTATGCAATCGTCTGTATACAGCGATCAACGTGTCGTCCGTGCAAAAAGTATTTTGGAAAAAAACTTGAATAAGAGTAGAGGAACTGAGGTAAGGTCAATGACATTTTTTTAAAAAAGAAAAAACAATTGGACTAACTTTTACAAGTAGGTGAGCTTAAGCGCACAAACCTTTTTGTTTTCAGAGATGTTGCAATATGCTCAAAAGAGAGTCAATGGCATTCAAGATTTAGAAAGAAAGTAAGCATCACACATACACACACATTGGCAGAAATATACAACATGACTAAAGGGTGTGATAGATTAAACGAATTCGGTTATCGTGTTGGCTCTCGTGTTCTTGAATTATTAACATGGAGAGAAAAGATTGCAAAGAGAGAAACCAAAGTGTTAGGTATTCTTTACTTTATTCATAGTACTGTGTGGAAGTCATTATTTGGAAAACCTGCAGATTCGCTTGAAAAGAGTACCGAAAATGAAGACGAGTGTAATAATAGACCCAATGGATTTTTATGAAGACGATTGTTTAACCTTTTATTTCGATATAGACATGATTTCAGACAATGAACCCATACTCACGAAATATATATCAGTTCCTAAGGAACTTTCCCAATTAAACTGCAATGCATTTGTTGCCGGGATTGTGGAGGCGGTATTAGATGGATGTCAATTTGTATGTGTTTTTCTCTAACCCTCAAAAAAAAAAAAAAACTCTACAATTAATTAATCATTTGAACATTATTTGTAGCCTGCACGCGTCACAGCACACACTGTGCCTGCTGATGGATTCCCTCAACGAACAACTATTTTGATCAAGTTGGATAAAGAAGTTTTGGAAAGAGAAGAGCTTTTAAAATAAATAAGATTTTTATTTATTTTTTTCCTTTGCCTTTCTTTGCGGTTTTATCAATTGTATCGATAAATCTCTTGGGAACTCCTTTACTAAGCATGAGTTCAGTTACATTTTTGATTTGAGGCCCTTGAACCATAATTTCAAACAGCGGGGTTTTTGGACTGACACCTTGAATGGCATTATCTATTGCATCTTGTTAGATTCGTGTCAATGCGCATATATGAATGATCCATGAGTAACTTACAGGTGGCACTACTTGCGCACAACCTCGTTAATTCCTTGGAAATTTCTTCCACATCTAACCCAAATCCTTCGACACCAGTAACTTTTGTAATAGTTTTTCTTCCCTGTCTGACTTCCTGTGTAATTTCAACAGGTTTGGGTTCTCCTTTGCGGAGAACAGCGTCTTTGCCGGGAAGCTTGATCTTGTGGAATGGTTGCATCTTTAAACAAATTCTACAGACAGATGAAAATGTGTTTTCGTATTCGCATTCGTATTCGTATTCGTAATCTCTCACTGCTATGAAATATTTACCTATGTAAAATCTGGTCACGGGCTAATTGATTGATTGAATTATATTCTTGCTTATTTAAAATTACATCGCACATAACTGGATCGATATTAATCATCCTATTGAATTGCTGAGGTTAAAGGTTTGAATAATCGCTATTTTTGATCCATACTTTTGATTTTTAGGATCCACTAAATCGTGTATTTTGATGTAATCAGCAATGACGGTACGAATTTCAGGAATTGTATATAACGCATCTTTGTTGTGTTTTGCTTCTTCAAAAAATTTAATCATTTGTGTACCAAGTGGTTTAAATATCTCTATAATCTCGGCTTGGTTAGAAGGCTGTGCTGCTGGTCTCGCAACTGCTTTCACTGCTTCTTTGACAGGTTGGGCTGTTAAAGATTCCATGGTTTTATATTTGCGTAGATCTTGTAAGCTAGCGTGTGTCCAGTCAACAGAAATAATCATCGTCTCACCGCGTTGTTCCTTTGTCTTTAAAAGTCCAGATTTCTCCATCGCCTTCAAAAACTTTTGCAATTTCTTCCAACTGGATTTTTTTATATCAACTTCTGTACCTACATCCAATGGTCTACATGGCATAATATAGGCAGAGTAGAGGGATGAAGCAGACAATGGAAGCACGTTGCTGGCATTATCCGGTTTAAGCTTGTAAACAAGTGCATAAAACAAGGACTTTTTTAGCCATTCGTCAATATCTAGGGTAAAGTCAATATATGTATCACCTCGATATTCCCATTGTTGTCAGCATTTTACCGTTTGTGGATAATTTGCCTGTATTTGATTGAGTTGTGATCGTCTCCGCTGATGGATCTACCGCGGTTACCTCAGCTTTGGCATCAGTAGGCACTTCTTGAGCATCCTCATCTTCCTCATATTCATCATCAGAGATATCTAATAGTTCAGGGGGTCCTGACTTATCTCCCATACTCCATAAGTAATCTTCAAACACATGGATGATATGAACAGCCTTTCCTTTCATTCCTGATCTGGGTTTGATTTCGGATGTGGATAATGCCATAGTGCCGATGGCTAAAGGGTAACTGGAATTATGACGTGTTAAAGATAAATATTATTTGCCATGATATATACTTACGGGTATCCCTTGATGGTTATTGCTACTAAATCACCCGTATTCAAATGAGGTAATGTACCATCAGGACCATATACCATACCAGGTATCATCAAGTCTAAACGGTTTAATTCAATACACATTTTGGTTAAATATATGGTGGACAGTAAACTCACCTGCACCTTCAATCAATTTACGCACAACAGGCCCCCAAGTATAAAGTTTTGGGATCATATTGGGGTATTGCCACATTGTGTAAACTATGAATCAAGATTAATTGGGATTTAGGTTAAACGATAAAGTCAGCATACCAGTAGGAATGGGTGGCAAGTTTTCAACAGACACCCATAGTGTTTGCTTTTCGGACATGTAGACTAAGCCAGAAGTACCATTATGAGAAGTGAATTTAGCGGAACGGAGATCGTCTGGCATGAGATGAGACGCGCCTTCCTTCGTACAAATTTCTTTGACAGAAGGGTAAGCCTCGTATGCTTCATTTTGAAACTTTCTTCGATCGGAAGATCTCAAGGGACTAAAAGACTTTAAATTCGCAAAGGGTTTTTTAAACATTATAATATTTTTGAAAGGGGAATACGCTGGGATACACCGTAAAATTTAAGCCTTTCATATTTTGGCGCTCTCGTCATACCCGGGACTGGCCAGGACCGGGTATAAAGAAAGTTATAAAAATTAGTCTCAAAAGACCTAAAATCGACCAAAACACAAAGGGTTCACCTTGAGAAAAATCCTAAAACTTACAAATGAACCATTTGTATACCCTTCCAGTAGGTTTAATGAAAAGTATCTCTATGTTCTTTACACTGGTGTCGTTTTTAGAGCCGTTTTATTATTAGAAAAATTATATTCCGCGCATAATTAAAAAACTAGTTTTTGTTAGACATGTGAAATGTCTTTAAAAGTTAGCCAAAAGATGCGCCTGAATTTTCTGCGCATCTTTTGGGTATGGAATTATCTTGTAAGAATTTTAATATACAGGGACTTTACTTTGACTGCCTTCGCGTATTCGACGACACTAAGATCGACAGATGATTTTCTTAAAACAGTCACCCTCATATCAATTTTGCATTGATAACCGACTTTACTACAAACGGGTGGAATTGTCTCGCCCCTATTTGTGAATATTTAGTTTTGTATCTTAATAAATAAGTCAACTGACAGTTACCATTTTAAGCGGATGTCACAACCACGAAAGAAATTCTCCATAATGGGCGAGCAGAATTTGACAATGTAATCCTGTTCGCTATTATCTTCATATATACAGGTTCTCATTATGGTTCAATAAAATAAATATAATTCTTAACCATTCGAATCATCATCACTTGAATTTTTGCCGAGAAAGTCACTAAACCAGAATGGTCTTTGGACCTCTCGTAGCTCCTTTGTTGTCTGCTCTACAACCGATTTCTTTCTTTTAATTGGTTTTTCAAACCTAAGCAGTGATCCTTCAAAATGTTATAATGTACAATGAGATAACTGGGACTTTATATATATATATATATATATATAGTTGTTCATTACCTTGAAATATTTCAATGATTCCAGAAATGATTTAATAGAACCTTTTCTGATATCTTATTTATGCCTTACTTAAACACATTAAGGCCCTCTTAAATAAAAATCACAGGTCTCACCTTTAAATTCATTTGCATTTTTATAATTTAAAATAAGATTGACACGTATAGTCAGTTTCACATAAATCAGGTTATTCCTTCATGGCATGCTTATGATTTAAAGATTGACAATTAGGTAATCACGCAACTTTTTACGTTTTACATAGTACTAAGGTTAATATATATATATACCACGAGTGAAGTCGAACATATATAATTGGCCTTAAAGCTTGCTGATATTCATCTATTTATTGCTCAATCGAGCAAAATTGCAAAAATTATATCAAGCTATGAGCCTGTTCTTAATTGCGATACTCATCATTACGACGATCATCCACCAACTCTAACTGATCACATCTTATTTCAAGCAATTAATTACTTTTTATCATGCAAAAGAATATCCATCTCTTCTCATTATAATCATTGAAAACAATTATGAATAAAAGGCATATCTCCTTTATCGAAAATGCATTTATAAAATATACTTGATGTCGTATTCGATGGTTGTACTCTATTTTTTTTTTTTTTTTTTTTTTTTTTTTTTGACTTTCAGCATGTTTTTTTACAATCGCCTGGTATAAGCTGGCATGTTTTTTTGCCGTAGAGGGGATAAAATATATGGTAAAGGGCTCTCTGAGATACGCTTTTTCATTTGAGAAAATAAATTGCTATTCTTTATAACTTTCTAAGCAAGCTATATATTGTTACTCTTTTCTTTATATATGAAGTCTAGAGTTTTCTTAAACCACGGGGTGGGTTTATGTGGGTTGGGTTTTGCTATATATTTCGTCCTCTCTATGGCAACTGCCGTATTTGGACCGATCGGTTGAAGAAAAAAAAAACTCCATTTTCTGATTGCTAAAAAAAAACTTACTGTATATCAACTGACTACTTTTTCTTTCATGTTATTTTATCAACCGATTGTTAATTTAATTTTGCCACAAAAAAAAAAGTAGAAACTATAGACAGTAACGGGAACCATTCAAACAATAGAGAATTTTAAACTATAAAAGGTTGTTTCGTCAAATGATTTGAAGGAAAAAAATAAATAAAACTAGCCAAGTTGGGGGAAGGGGTGTGTGCTGATGATATAGGAGATATTTCCTGGTGGTGATGGTTGCACTCATAAAGCAATAAGTCGATGATCAATAGTGTTGTAGATGAGCAAATTAAGTAGTTAAGCAAGATAAGTTTTTTTTTGACAGTGGTACTTTTTATCTACACACATTAAAATAATCTGTACATCCATTTGAGACCAAACTGTACAGCAAACATCCGACACTGTCGAACATTGAAGAATATTCAAAATAGGTCCAATATGGACAGTCTAAAAATGTAAATCACTCAGTTCTTTAAACCTCTCTTACGCCCCGGTTGAAAACCTGTTATTAAAAGTAAAACGAAAAATAATTTCACTCAACAAATCTGTTCAATATACAAAAATAGTCTTTTTTTTTCAGGCAATTGGGTTATTTACAGTAATATTGGGAGGGAAATTAATCCACCCCCCTCCCCTCTCTCTAATGTGTGACGAAACTTTAAAGTGTTTGCCAGATAATTGATGATCCCTAGTTCTAGTATAAATTATATAATTAAAGACACAGTTAATTATGCGTAACATTATCATCTGAGAGCTGGTGGGGATTGTTTATACGCGTTTATCACAAGAAAATCTACCGCTCTTATCCTGAAAAAAGCTAGATCCAGCCCATTACTGCTGCACCTGTTTAGCAATCTCCAGACTAGTTCAGATTATATGAACTGTTTTTTTGTTATTTTTTTTAATTTTTGCTATCTATACTGATACATTCCTTTTTTTATTATTTACCAACGCTTCTCTTTTTAAAAAAGAAAGTAATTAAGTTAATGCAGTAGTAGAATGTGTTTTCATTATCCCCGGTGGTCTGTTTCCCCTCTTAAGCGTGAAATTGGGGGAGAAAAAGGGGTTACGATGTTGTTGAAACCCAGTAAGTAAAGAAGCATAAATATTGCATCACCAATGATATTTTTGGTCTTTTATTAGAATGAACTGATTTATATAATTGGTTCATAGCAGAAGCGTGTAAAGGAGAGTCTAAATAAACATTTATAAGAAAAAAAAAAGGGGGGGGGATGGGTTTATTTAAGAAACGAAGACCATTAGGGGTGAACAACAGTTGTGAGGGGAATAACGTATATAATAAAGTGCAATGGTTTCCTTTTTCTTTTTCATTCTTTTTTCTTACAAAAAGTATATAGATTTATATATACATACATAATATAAAATGGCCGATTCAATGTCATATCACAGATCAAAAATGTCACCTACTCGTATGATGGATGAATCTCAAGATAGAAGAGGTAACAGTGGTATCAGAAGGGATTCTTCTACAGCTACATTGTTGACTCGTGAGCAACAATTAAGAGAAGAAATTGCAAGATTGAGAAGAGAAGAACAAGAGCTTAGAGAAAAGGATCATTGGGTCAAGCAAAACATTAACGCTGTAAGAGAAAAAATCGCTGCTGAACGAAGATATTAGCTATTGCTTTCTTTCTTGTTGTTGTCTCTTTTCCTCCCCCTTCCCCTATTACTTTTATACATAAAAAAAAAACTTGTGGTATTTAAAATCTTGTTCATGCGTCAACTGTTTTTTTCAGGAGTATGGAGTCTGATCTCCCTCTTTTTTTTTTTTTATGCGAAGACTGGGTGGAATACTCCTTCTTTTATTGGTTTTCACACTACTCGTCTTTATCGGAAAAGTAAGAGTATACTTATACGACAAATTGAATGGAATTCGATCCAATATAAAGGCTTGTTCAGTTCATTAAGTAGTCAAGGTTACGATTTTTTTTATCTCAGCCCATGCAAGTCACTCTGTGCGTGATCAAGGTAAAGCCGTTATTAGTTGGCAACCTTTTTTTTTCTTTGTTATTTTTTCTTTGTTTTTGTCTTCATTACAGTAAAGGTAAGAGCCTCAACGAATACTAAGGAGAGAAAATTAAGAGCTAAAGACATTGTCTTTAGTATTCTTCATGGCGTCACCTAAAATAAATCCCGAAGCAAAGTACCTGAGACAGGAAAAGTTGGGTGAAGGAACATATGCAACTGTTTTCAAAGGGAAAAGTAGAGCGAATGGAGATATTGTGGCACTAAAAGAAATTCATTTGGACCCTGAGGAAGGAGCTCCTTCCACAGCAATTCGTGAAATCTCGTTAATGAAGGAATTGAAGCACACGAATATTGTGCGACTTTTAGATGTAATTCACACAGAAAGCAAACTAATGCTGGTTTTTGAGTTTATGGATCAAGACTTGAAAAAGTACATGGATACGACGGCTAGATCAAGACACGGGGCTTTAGATACGGCCACTGTGAAATCATTCATGTTTCAACTAATTAAAGGTATTGCGTACTGTCATGAAAATAGAGTACTTCATCGTGATTTAAAGCCTCAAAATCTATTAATTAATAAGCGGGGAGAATTAAAATTGGGTGATTTTGGTTTGGCTCGTGCGTTCGGTATACCTGTGAATACATTTTCAAATGAAGTGGTGACTCTTTGGTATCGAGCACCTGATGTATTGTTAGGGTCTCGTATGTATTCCACCTCAATTGATATTTGGTCGGCTGGTTGCATTATGGCAGAAATGTATACGGGTAGACCTCTTTTTCCTGGTACAACAAATGAAGATCAGCTACAAAGGATTTTCCGCATGATGGGAACACCTACCGAACAAACCTGGCCAGGTGTAACTCAATTATCTGAATACAAACCACCACATGTCATTTATCCACAACAAAACATCGCACAAATTTTGCCTACCATTGATGCTTGTGGTCTTGACTTATTAACACATATGCTTCAATATCAACCTGAAGCTAGAATATCCGCTGTAGCTGCTTTGAAACACAGCTATTTTGCTGAAGTCAATAGATACAACACATATTAAAATAAAAAGAGAAAAGAAAGTTGTTTTTATTTACTGTCGTGATAATTTTATTTTATTTATTTACTCTCCGAGTTGAGGTCCCTTTAATGAGGTTCTACCGGCACGCATCATCTCATCGACTAATAAAAGATTGCTTGCAATGACGGAACATGAATGAAGCATATGACGATGCACACGATAGTTGTTCCAGATACCTTCAAGCTTAGGATCCATTGTTTCACCAGACTTCAAGTCAACACCAACAATGTGACCATCCATATGTTCTTCCTGTAAAGCAACAATAACGTCTTGTGCATCAAAACCAGCATTTTGTGCAAGCACCTTGGGAATGACCAACATGGCATCAGCAAAAGCTTGAACACCCATCTTTGCACGTCCCTTTACTTGCTTCTTATATTCGATCAAGTGTTGAGAAAGAGCAACCTCAAAGGCTCCACCACCAGCAACAACAGATTTATCTTCAATGGCGTTCTTGACAGCACGAAGACCATCACGAACAGCATCATTAATTTGAGAAATGGTATGAGGGTTAGGACCCTTGATTAAAATGGTGACACTGTAAGGATCCTTCACATCTTCAATAAAGGTATATTTATCTTCGCCCAAGACTTGTTCATAGACACTACCAGCATAACCGAGAATATCAACAGATAAATCATCAACGGAATTTTGAGCAACACCACCACAAGTCAATTGAAGACGTTCCATATTTCTTCTCTTTGCTCTACGAAGAGCTAAAATACCGTTCTTGGCCAAGATATCAAGAGAAAGGGGATCAATACCCTTTTGGTTGACAATTACCAAACTACGACCAGCATGTTCACCACTACAAACCTCATTCTTGAATTCGACTAAACGACGCACCTTATCATCGACATGTTTACGTTCACTTTCAACTAATTTATCACGTTGATCAGGTGTAGAATAGAAGAAACCAGAGTTAATCTCGGACTTTTCGTATTCGAGACTGACATTTAAAGTTAAAATAAAAGCATCTTTGACCTTCTTGGGCATATCAGGGTGACGAGCACCATGATCCATAACAAGACCACGAATTAACTTGGATTCAGAATCAGAACGATGTTGCATCTTCATGATTTCAACCATGTGGAGATCAATGGGTTCTCCTTCACGACGAATAGCTAAAACGGCATCTACGACGGCTTCGGTTAAAGTATCAGCTAATGCACGGTGTACCTTGGTACGGAGAGAGGTACGAGCAACTGAAACGAGTAATTCGCGATCGACAGGTACTTCGGTTTTAAACTCTTCCAAAAACTATACATCTTTTTCTTTTAGTTTTTTCGATATCATTATTTGGATAATAGACTATTTTTTAAAAATTTTACCTTGAGGGCCTCCTTCTTGGCGAAGTCATAACCTTCAGTGACAACACGAGGGTGAAGACCTTCAGAGATATAACGCTCAGCTTGCTTGAGAAGTTCACCGACCAATAAAACAATGGAGGTGGTACCATCACCAGTGATTTCATCTTGGGCAATGGAAGCCTTTGCAATCATGGCGGCGGTAGGATGTTGAATTTGCTAATAAAAAAAACGTGTTAATTTCAAACACGATTATAATAATAATAAAAAGGAAATTACCATCTCGCTCAATAAAACCTTACCGTCCTTGGTAAGTTTAATACCACCAGCACCATCAACCAACCTATGTGATACAAAGTTTTAAAATGTTAGTGGAAAACGTCAAGTAAAATATAAAAAAAAAAAAAGATGATGATGACACGCGAAAGATCATTCTGTCTGTCTCTCCCCCCCCCCCTTATTTCTTGCAAGGTCATCAAGTTGGTTTCTTTGAACAATGCTTACATTTTAATGGTTCCTCTGGGACCCAAGTTAGACTTCAAAACATCTTGCAAACCGATCGCAGCAGTAATGTTGAGCTGGAGAGCTTGACCACGTCTAGCTACATCCGAGTTGGGATTAATCATTTTCAAAGCGGAAGAGGCCCTACATGATTATAAATATCACGTTAGAAAAGTCTTTTTTTTTTCAAAGTTTCTCTCTAGGCTTACATTTTTAATCTAGTTCAATTTCTGTCAAAAAAATAATGAGAAAAAGAAGCAGAATGAAGGATGTGGAAAGATCTTTTTATTTTCAAAAAAAATTCTCTTTTGGGCAGCGCTCACAGCGCTCACCTAATGTACGTCACCCGCCCTTCTTTTTTTTGTTGCGGGTATCAAAAACATTTTATTTTTTCCCTTTCTCTCTCTCTCTCTCTCTTAACAACACATCATATAAAGCATTGAGCTTCATTAAAAGATGACGAATAATATCTTTGTACCTCAAACTTTTAACGGAGAAAGGATGGTCAATGTGAACTTGCCTAACCGTCGAGTAGGCTCTCAACCTGTAAACGACAATACAACTAATTCGCCTTCAACATCACTGTCTATTGCCACAACTGCAGCTGTTGCTGCGACACGACTTCGAGCGGCTCCAGCAAACGCCGCCGCCGCCGCTGCTGCTTCTGCTACTGGTTCTGCTCCTGCTTCCAATAGTGGACCTACTGCTACTGCTGCAGAAAACACCAGCCCTAGTCCAAAACACATCATGAAACCTCAAGCGTCTCCTCCTTCGGCAACACAGTTTATTATTAGTACGCCCATTGATTCTCCTAGTTATAAGCATGAAGAAGGCTACGTACAAAAGTATTGGTCGGAAGCCAATATTGCTATTTTGATCCAACTTCATCGAAAGTACTACAATGGTATTTCCAGCGAAGACCCGAAACAAAGTGTGGATAGTTGGATTCAGCTTACAAAGGAATATAATAGCATTACACATGATGATAGAAGTAAACATGTCTTGATGAGAAGATGGGGAAAAGTGATGAGAAAATACAATGCGGAGAGAAGTTGTTTAGTGGTACAACAACAAAAATCAGCATCTGCAGCATCTCAACAGATGCCAATGGTGTCCTACTGGAACCACTTTCAATACATGGATGGCTACTTGAGTCATTTATCTATCCCAGAAGATAGTTTATATAGCAAGAAAAGGGACGACGATAGTGATTATGATGAAGTGATAGTAGAAACTCGTAAAAGACAACATAACGGTGAAGAACCTATCACGGACGATAAGCTAAGGTGGTTAGAAAAACAACGTCTGGTGATGGAACAAACTTTGCAAAAACAACAAGTTCAGATAGACATGATGAAGAAAAATTATGATTCCATGAATAAAATGAACATGAAATTTGTCGACATGTGTGAAAAAGTCACTAGTAAGAACCAAACAAATGAAAGTCGTTATTTAGATTTATTGGAGAAATATATGGACGATAAATTATTAGAGAAGAAAGAACATGACTCTCAACCAGAATGAAAAATACCAAAATAAACCTTTTTCTTTATATATCCATGTCTGTTGTGTGTGTGTGTGTGTGTTTATGATTGACAAAGAATAGAGGCTGCTTCTGTACAGATGCCAGGATAAATACCATAATCAACATGCATGATTAAACAACTGGGACCAGTCAGTGAATAGCTATCGCCGTTCCAAGTTCCAATGATAATACGGTTTTGGCTCATGGCTTTTAATTTTTCCGTAATCGCCTCAAGACTATCACTGGTTACTGTGGCAATCGTGGCTTGATTTTTTTGACATGCAGCACCGGCTGCTACTAGACTGTTTTCATTCTTATTTATCACATTAAAGTTTTTACCATTCACGCTAAATTGAGAGCCAATAGGTTGTTGGCTAGGTAAAGGCGAAGGCTCATCCACAAAGGGGAAAAGATCAGACCCGGCTTCAATATCCGGTAAAAGATTGGTAGCTTCTGGTATAGTAGTACTAGTTGTAGGTGGTGCTGGAGCCACAGGTGTAGTTTGTGGTGGAGGTGGAGGTGGTGGAGGTGGTGGTGGGGGAGGTGGAGGAGGTCCTGCCACTGTAGGTGGAGTGCTTGGAGTGGGTTGTGGCGCGACTGTGACGGGTAACATGCCACTTGGTGTGGCCGGAATGGATTGCTAAAGTGACTCTAGTGATTAACCATTCCCGTCCTCATGCAGCAATAAAAAAAATTTCATTTTTACCTGGCCCCAAAATCCACATACTGCAGCTTTTGCCATTGCACATACGGCGTGACTTTTTGGAAAGTGATTGATTCGATTGCCACTAAACATATAATCGTTTACATTCTTTGCTCTATTCTTCAATTATGTGTTTACTTACGGCTTCACTTGTATACACCCAATACCATTTCCTAAATACATAAACGGAGTATTTTCAGTTAAAGGTCCAAAAAAAAATATATGACAGATTATGATTTACCTCCTTCATTGTCTTCCATACCTAGATGGTTCTATAAAAATGACACGTTAATACCTGGGGGTTTTTCTATTATTATTTTAACCCTATCCCGTACCAAAAAATAGCTTTCGCCGACCGTCAGAAATCCGGTGGCTGTTAAAAGCTGTGCAGCATTATCCATGAGTGTAAGACGGGACATATCACCTCTGTTTGAGGATTGAGTGACCACTTGAGCACCACAGCTATAATAGCAGGCTTCTTGAACAGAAAGAGGGTTATGAAAGTCGTCTACGTGAGCTAGAGCAAACGTATAATCGCTGTTGGATTGCTTAATTGTGCCTAAACATTGTTGTAATTGATGCGATAGAAACACGAATTGAGACAATATCAATAGTGCTGAGAATTTCAGTAAATGAGGCATTTTTTTTTTAAAAAAAAATAACCAGGACAATAAAGAAAGAAAAAAAAAACAGAAAGAGAGAGAGAGAGAATAATTAAGATTTTTATATGTGTCTAAAATAAACATACAAGGTCCTTCTTGGTTACTTTTCCCATTGCATTTTTGGGTAACTCAGAAACGACCTTTAATAAACTAGGCACTTTATAAACAGCCAATTGTTTTTTGAGATTGTTGCGGATGGTTAATAAATCGAGTTCCTGAGATTTTTCAAAACGGGTCAGAGTCAATATATCAACAACAACAAAAAATACACTTTGTTTAATTTTACCTTGCCATCATCCATCACTACAACAGCAGCTACCTTTTGACCCCATTCAGGATCAGAGATACCCACTACAGCTACATCTTGAATACCCAAATTCAAAGATAGCAATTCCCTTTCAATCTCTAAAGCGGATACCTTTTCACCGCCAGTCTATTTATAATAACGATGTTAAAATATTTAATTCATTCCCAACAACAACAAAGCATTTACCTTAATGATATCGATACTATTTCTACCCATGATTTGATAATATCCATGATGCCCAAGTCTTTGAGATACATCACCTGTTTGGAACCTAATTTATAATAAATCTCCAAATACTTGCTTATCTCTCTCTCTCTCTCTCTCTCTCTCTCTTACCATCCATCCTTTGTAAATTCTTTCTTTGTAGCCTCAGGTCTTTGCCAATACTCTTTAAAGACGGTGTTTCCCTTGATTTGAAGCATACCTGGTGTATTTCTCTTGTCTGTCACATCTTTACCGTCTTCTGCAATGATACGTACTTGAACACCAGGTAAAGGAATACCAACAGTACCTTGTACCCTTTCCCAGATTACATATTCTTGACTTAAAGCCATACCGATTTCTATTTTTTTTTTTGGTCAATTTTGAAAATACCCAAGAATGATGGAACGGCCTCCGCCGCCCAAATATTTTTTTTTATATAACTAACCTGTCATGCCGTAACGTTCCAACAGAACTTGACCCCCACTTGCCTTTCGCCAATAATTACGTAATGTGGTAGGTAAAGAAGCTGAACCTGACACCATAAATCGAAACTGCTGACATCCTTTAGTGAACACAATACGTGTTTCCTTATCCACCTTTTTATAATGTTGGTATAATTTGGCTAAAATAGATAGAACAATGAGTTAGCAATATTACACCTTAAAATGAATTATAAGCTACTTTACAATAGACGGTGGGTACAGACATGAATACAGTCAAGGGAGGTAAATCGACATTTGACCAACGTTCCCACACTTGCTCTGCCACGAATTTTTGGTGCATTTCGACCGTAGCCCCAATGAGAAGAGGTGTAATGAGAGCATTGACGATACCATGAATATGGTGCAAGGGGAGGATATGATGGATACGATCCGTACTGGACCAATACCAAGATGTCACAAGCACAGATGCTTGTGCGTGAATGATTGCGTGTGTAGAAACAGCGCCCTTGGGTTTTCCCGTTGTACCACTGGTGTAAATAATCAAGGCTCCTGCATGAAAATCGGATTCGAACAAAGTGGGGACTGAATCTCCCTTGTACATATATGATTCGTCATCCTTGTTAATACATTTTACTTTGGTTTTACTGATCAATTCTTTTGTTCTTTCTTCGAATACAGGATGACTCAATAAGATGGAAGCTTGTGAATCTTCCAGTGTATAGATTTGCTCGGGTGTTGGATGTGAGGTACCTATATTGAAACACAAGGTATAATTAGTTCACTGTTTTTTTTTTCGCACAGGTAAATCATAGTTACATAAAGGTACAGCTATACCACCTGCAGCCCAAATAGCTAATATACACACCACGTAAGGAAATCCACTATAATGTAACTTTGTTTTTTAACTTTTTATAAAAAAACCAAATATGCTTTTGCTTTTTTTTTTACCTTGGGCATAAGATTGCAATTCTCTCTCCGTTTAAACTACTACATGAAAAGATGGGTGGTAAGGTACTTTTCTTTTTTTTTTTAATTAAAGACGGGAGTACCTTTTTCCATTTAAAAGCTCGAGTCGCAAGTGTGCCACAGCTTGCATTAATTCGAGATAACAAAAGCTTTGTCCCATCCTGATATCGTCAATAGCGATATTATTCTCACCTGTGCCATACTCAATACCATTTTTGAATAATGGGAAATTAGGTAAGCTTAAGCTTAAAGTCATAATTATATAATAATTTTGTTAAAAACAAAAAAAAGAAAGAGAGAGAGAAAAGAAAAAAAGAGGAATTCCTGGCTTTAAAAACACGGGCGTGGTCGCTGTCGTACTTTTAAAAAAAATAGATCGCATACGTTTTCACGCAAAAAGACACTACTTTTTGCGTGTTTACATCTTTAACCAGTTGCAAGATCATAGAATTTAATTAAAACGTTGTTGTCAAGTTTTCAAATTTTTTTTAATAAAGTTTTGGACATGGTCTAAAATATTTGTACATTTACTATCTTTGAATTCTTTATATCTCTATCATCATCTTTTTCAAAGAAATTTTAATATATCACCGCTTATCTTATCGTAGTTAATACTGGTTTTTGGGAGAAGCAGTTAATGTATTAAGAGAATTTTAACATAAAAATTATCTGATATGGGGTTGATTTTAAACATTTGCTTTTTGAGAAGGGAATACGTCATTTAATGATTTTCTTATATTATTGACAGCGAAGAATTCATTATTATATGTTCTTTGTAACTAGACATTTTCCAGTAACACCAGCCGTAAGTAAGCTTGATTCTTAAACAATTCATGAGAGTGGATAGTATCGCCAGTCTTTTAGTATTGTACCGCTTGATACCAATATAATTGAAGCAATCATGCTCTGTATGGCACCTGGTATCTGAGTAATACTGGATGGCATTATAATATCATTGTGAATTATGCAACACTTTTTGCTTGTTTACAATACACTTAGAGACGAGTATATTCTCAGGGGAGAAAAAAAAAGATTAGACTAGGGAATTCCTTCGGGGGGCCAGCTTAATAAGTCTTATCACTTTCAGTAGAAACTGGATTTTTCTTTCGGTATCCTTTTGACTAATTCATGAGAGTTATCCGCCTTATGACTATATACAATGAGATTACATAGATGCAAGTGGTATTTTTAAGTTTATTTTACATTGGTGCATCAGTACCTTGAGCGACTCGTACTTTCGGGGATCCCATAATACTAAAGCGCTAAGACGTATATTACAATAAATGAGAAATATTTCATATGTAGGCATATTTATTAATTTATCACTTGACAAAAGATGCATTTGTAATTCTGATGCTTTCCATCTGTTTAAAAAGGCAGCATATTACTGAACGATATAGTACTTCATCCACAATTTAAATAGGCCAAATAGATTTGAAAGCTACACATGCTGTGGGTATATGTAACTTAAATTTTAAACTGAGAGCTTTGTGACTTTCAAGAGCAATACCTTTCACAACTTGTAAGTCGTTAATTAGTTTGATAATTGCATGCAAGGAAAAGGTAGACCAAGTTAGAGATATATTTATAAGCCTGTAACATATGATCAGAAGTGTAGAAGACTAATCTGTTTTTCTTTTTAAAGACGTAACTAGCATTATTCAGGGATATGAAGGTGGAACATTTCAGGTCCCTTCGAATTTAACTTAACACTTTTCAGGTTATTCGGTCCTATTTATTGGGAGCTCTCATCATTACTAAAGTCGATCCTTAAAAGGAACAAATGAATGATACCATTTTAGATGTCATGTAATACAAACCCCCCTTGTGGACCGATTAAAAAAAAACGGATATGAACGTCACACATTTTGAAAAAAAAAACTTTCTCTTTTTTTGTTTCCATTTACAATGATCGCAGGCTTAAACAGAAAAAGAAAGAATGCTGGTAAACAGTTTTTGAAAGCAGTTCCGAAAGAAAGCAAAAACTTTTAACGATTCAATTTTTTTTTTTTTTTTGTGGTAAAAATAAAAAATTAAAAGCAAGTGGAGAGGGTTTGGAAGACTACCCAAAGTCCAACGGTAAAGTCGGTCGTCCTTCCAAAGGAGGAGATTTGATTCGTTCCAAACGATACTACTTTAAAAATCATTTAAAGGTGCTTCAGAAGCGAAAACTAAAGCGCTATGTCACTACTGTCAAAAAACTGGTTGTCAAACACATGTATCAGGCCGAAAATATTATGGAGGAGCTGCAGAAACTTTGCACTTTATATAAACTCAGAGACAACAAATCCATTGACCAGTAAATTTTTTGTTTAACTTTTAAAAGAATCTGTTACTGATATTTTTTTTTTTTTTTTGATATATAAAGAGATACGATTCTTCGTGCTGTGAATTTGGGAAGAGAGGATCGCTATCTAAACTTTATGGACGAGGAGGCAGACAATATGCTTCCAGGTGATCCTGTTATTAAATTAGACGTAGATGTAATTCAGGAGACGTTGATTGATTTGGCAAGTAAACACGCGACTCGACTATTCCAAATCACCACTTTATGGTCTGCTTATTTACTCTCTCATCACACTCGAAAGAAATTCGCAATGGACCCTGAGGAAGAAAAATTGGAAAAGATGGGAGTCTATGCAGACGCTAATTACATAATTGATTACAGCCATTTAAACGGTCAAGAATTACCAGAAGGATTTATTCAGGGAGATAGGTTTGAGGATGGAGATGGTACAAGTAAAAAAAGGCACATGTCTAGTTCAGATAGTCTAGTTCCACCAGTTGATATGACACCTGTAGCATTTCCGTCAAAGACATGGCAATGATCATCCATCTGGCTTTGAAAAAACCGCGTTTTTTTTTTTTGCCTATTAAAATTCCTTTATTGCTAGTTTTTAATTATTTACCTTTTTCTCTCCCATCTTGAAAATAAAATGACCTTCTTTGATACTCTTTCTCGCTCCTATGTTGATGTTGACCTTACCAAGGGCATTGATACTGAACAATTCCTTGAGGCTACCGAGGGTCTTGTCAAACTTTTCGGTAAGGTTTTTTTTTTGTCGACATTCATCTTTTTCATGATTGTGCTAATCCATAAAGTGTATAGATTTACTTGGTTCTAAAGCCTTTGCTGTTGTTCAAAATGATATGAATGGCAACATCAAGGTAAAGCAATACGGGTTGATACTTTCTTAGGGACATAGTTTAACCCCGCCTCCCCCTTTTTTTTTCTTAATTAGAAAATTAGAGAACGTTTCTTGTCTAACCCAACTGCCAACAGCACACTTCAAGAGTTGTTGTTGACCGAATCCCCCGAAAAGAAGAGAGTTGCTACCGAAGGTCTTCTCTGGTTGTCTAGGTAACGAACATAAAAAAAGAATAAAAAAGGGGGGAAAAGATCGGTTCTAACGGTTATGTATGAAAAACTAGAGGTCTTGACTTTACCGCACAAGCTTTACGCCGTAGTTTGGATGATGGTAGTGAAGAATTAGCTGCTTCCTTCACCAAAGCCTATGAGCAAACATTAAGAAAGCATCACAACATGCTTGTTCGTCCCGTATTTGGCGTAAGTAAAAATAAATATAAATATCTAAATTAAAAAAAAATTAATGCTTGGAAACTCTATTTTTAGCTTGCCATGAAGGCCTGTCCTTACCGTAAGGACTTTTATGAAAAGATTGGTGTCATCACTGATGAAGCCACAGCACAAATGAAGGGATGGTTAGAAGCTCTTGAGAACATTATTCGTATCATTCAAGGCATTTTCGCTGCCAACCCTGCTTATATTAAGGGCATGTAAAAAAAATATATATATATATAAAATAAAATAAAATAAAAAAGCTTTATTTATTCATAAAAATCATCTTCATCGTCATCATTTAAGAACTCATCATCATCCTCTTCATCGTCAGAATGATATTCTTCTTTTACTTTCTTGACGATGGGTTCTTCTTCCGACTCATACCCTTGAGCATTATCATAATCATCATCGGATTCTTCCGCGACGATCTTTTTTCGCGACCCGCCTCCTCCTCCTCTTGACCAAGCCAGTGGCATCGATGGTTCTACATGTAGACATGGTTAGATGTTGACATATCAACTTTGTTTGATAAAAAAAAAAAAATTAGAACTTACTAATTAGACGTGTTTTGAAGAAATTAGCTAGTCGGATGGCGTTTTTATGAGCTGCTGACGTATCCGCATTATACTTCATTGCGTTCTTTTTCACTAATTCCACATCCTCGATCAGTCCCTAAGATAAAAATAAATAAATACAAAAAAACGATATATCAAAAAAAAAGTGCTGTATATTCTTACTTCTACAGAGCGATAAAAATCATTATCCAGTCTTTCCTGGATCATATCAAGACAAATGGGATAGGCAATCAAGGACAAATAAGGTGGATAATCATAATAGTTGACTTGATGAACATACAAGTAAAATTCGTCCGAGCTTGAAAGCCAAGTAAGAATATCTTTGGCACGTTTGATTTGAGCCGGTGTTAAACTTGGTTCGACATTATACCTTCTTCTGAAGTCTTCTCCTGTAGGCACTAATTCCCACGGACACAGGTCCTCGGGAGTTGAACTTGCATCATCCCAAATGACATGATAAAAAGCCCACGGACTAGGCAGATTTGCTCTTTTCCAATACAGGCCGTTCACATTACAGCTTGAGATTGTACCGGTATATTGACCTTCATCATAGATCGCATCTACTTTTTGGCCTACCTGCAACGACTTGAAGACATTCATGGAAGCTAGGAAACGTTGCCATAAGACGATAAATTCAGGTCGACCATCTTCATCGCTGTATTCAATAATCTCGACTCGTTTCAGGCTAGTCCAAATAGGCGATGCACCATGAAAGAGAACGTTTTGAATATTAGCAAGTTCAACCATAGCCAATTTTAATTTACAATAAGCAGGAGGTCCCACAAGCCAGGTAATACCCACAATTTTTCCAAATACCACAGGTTCATGTTTATCCAGAATACCGTATTTATCGTCAAAGTATTGCTTCATATCGGATGATTTCAAGTATTGCTTATGTCCTTCTGTCAATACTGCAACATAATCTCCCATTTGGGGAAGATATTTTGTTAGTGATTTCTCGGTGGTGGTGATCCAAGGAATTGGTTCATGTTGCTTGATTTCTTCCTCCGAGAGTTCGCGGGGTCCGTCTCTGTGTTTCGTTTGTTTTTTAATAATGACAACAGGTGCTGGTATATTCGGAGGTGCGGGCTCATGCACAGGTTGACTGGCTCGAGTACTTCGGGTGGCTCTTCCGCTATTGCCTGTTGAAACAGGTGTAGGTGCAGTCTCTGTAGGAATGATGAAATCATCGTCACTATCACTGGTAGGTACGGCAGAACGTAGCTTTCTTTTGCCTTTACGATCTTCGCCTTCAGCTCGATGTGTACGAGATTGCATATATGTAGAGGAAGATGAGGTAGTAGTGGTAGAGGTAGAAGCGCTGGCAATATTAGTATTAGTGTAAGTGGTATTAGGATGATTATGATTTTCTATGTACGGTGCGCTATGAGAAGGACCTGCTTCTGAATGATCGCTTAATTGTTGTTGTAAATGTTGTTCTCGTGTATGTTCCACTAGGGTTGGATCATCATGATTTTCCACCTCGACAAATTCTTCTTCATCGCTTTCGAGATCACTTTCCATGTACGAAGGTATTTCTGCTACTCTACGACGCGCACGAGCACGAACGGGTTGTTCCTCTTCATCGTCATCGGATCTAGCTCGGTTACGTTTACGAGTGGATCGTGAGACTGCAACCACGCTTCTTCCTCCTGCCCCTCCTCCTCCTCGACTCGTGCCACGTGTACTCCGTCCTCGTCCTCGTCTACGGGAAGAACTAGCTCCACGGCGTACATGATTACGTGATGATGTAGTTCTAGGTGGTATATGTAATTGACCTGCTCTACTCCGGGTGACAGGACCTTCTTCATCACCCTCTTCTTCACTTTGTGGATGCGTATCGTTATCTCGTGTGACGAAATCGTCCGAGCCACCTTCATCACTACTCGCTCCACTGGAGGCATATGCAGCGTTTCCAGGTTCATCATCGTCCTCATCGTGATAATCTTCATCGGCTGAATCATCAGGTAATAAAACTGGTAATACAGGAGGTGGAGGGAATTGAAGTTGTGTAGCAGCAGCAGCGATCTCTGCATCATCCTCATCCTCAAACCGTACAAACTCTCTTCTTCGTTTAGCAATACTTGCACGATCCACAGCAGGAAGTATGATTAACTTTGTTGTTCTAATTTCTTCCTCTTCTTGATCGTAACATGCAGATCGTTTCATATCCTCGACTTCAAATGTCTCTGATGTAGTTGGAATGGTTCGACCGTAGCCAAATTTCTTTTGGTTGGGGTAGGCCACACCTTGTAAATCAATGATGGGTGAAGGCGGTAATGCATAAGGCGGTTGTTGTGTGGGCTCATCCAAAAAGGAGCCATCAGCAAAATGGCGCAATGCTTGATAATCTGACATAAAATACTGACCTCGTTCCCAACTTCTCACTTGTTCGTAATCTTTATCCAACCCACCGATTCCAAATAATGTACAATGTCCTTCCTCATCTGTGATGGCATATTTCATGGCGTCCTTGGAAAACTTACAATCGGTGAAGGTTCGTCCGGCATGGCTCTGACAGGTGATCACTTTTTGTTTTTCGACATCCCATAATATTACTTTACCATCATAACCGGCTGAAAGAATAGTGCTGGGATCGAGTGGGTGATTATCCAAGGCATAAATCTCTCCTTCGTGTCCTTTTAATAAACAAGCCATGTCGCCATTGTAGGCATAATAGACTCGAATTTCTCCGTGATTGGAAGCGACAAAACACCAACGATCATCTGAACTCCAAGCAATCATGGATACTTTGGCTGGATCTGAGGTTGGTAAAGGGTCAGATGGTTCGATATCCATCTCTTCCTGCGTAGGACTTTCATCCATGAAAGGCATCAATGAGCCAATCTCGTCTGAATCGTCTGTGAGTATGGTGGGGGTTGTGTCGGGTTTCTTTTGAGGTTTTCTTAGAGGTGTGACAATCGTATTTCCTTGAGAAGGTTTCTTTACATCCACTTTTTTAAATAAAATATTAGTTATTTCCCCTAATCCCCATGTATACATAAAAAAAAAATATATACTCACAAATGATGGAACTCCATGTCTTTGTTTCCTTATTAAATTTCCATATTCTAGCAGTTCCATCCTGACATCCACTCAGGATACGTTGTCCATCATGACTATAAGCTAAATCCGTCACACTGCCCATATGGCCCTCCAAGGTACCAATAGGTACCACAGGTTGAGCTTGTACCTGACCACTTTTATCAGGAAACAAGGCACTGGCGACTCTCTTTCGACTACGCCCAGCGGGCCTTTGATCCTCTGTTGTTGCGATAATCCCTTCGTGTGCTGTTTGTACCTGAATTGTTGAAAATACATAGACAAATCCATCATCGCCCGCTACAGCAAATTTGGTACCAGTATAATTAAATGACGAACATCTCAGACGATCCTTTGCTCTAAATTTACAACTGAAGGTGATGGGTGATTCGATATCAAAAAACTGGAGTGTATCTCGATCCCATTTCCAAAGTCTGACGATGCCGTCTTCATTGGTGGCCATGAGGTAACGGGTTTCTGCACGAGGTGAAGGAGAGAATTTGACGGTCGTGAAAGGTTTGATGGTGGATGCATTGGGACGGAGTGACATGATGGGTTTGTATTCGTCCATGGTCCAAACACGTACATAACCGTCGGAAGAAGCTGTAGCGATCAAGGTGTTTTCTTGGTTGATGGTAATATCTGTAATGATGTTTTGGTGACCACGGATGGTGTGGATAAGGTAGCCTGTGCGAACACACCATACCTTTACTAAGAAATCGTCACTTCCCTATATGCTTCAATTAAGTAAAAATTGATACAGTGAGCTTGTATAATAAAAATTTACTGTGAATAAACGTCTGTTGGTTTTATCAAATGCAACACAATAGACTGGATTACGATGACCTGATATAGTAACACGCTGGAGAAAAAAAAAAAAAGTTGCATAATTTAATTTTTTTTGTTCTTTGTTTTATCTCTCAGTCAAAACCTACTTCTCTATAAAATGTGGATAATGCAGTTGGCATTTCATTCTTTTTGATGACTTTTGCACCCATTTCTCTTGCGATAAGCATACGATCTATTCTAAAAAAGTCAACGTCCATGCAAGATATAAAAAAAAAAGATGGGAAGAACGCGTTATTTAGACTGAGACAGACTTACGAAGTGATAATTTTGAGAGTTGTGGTTTTGTCATGGTCAAGTAGTTGCAACGTTCCACTTCTTCGTTATGGACAAAAGCAGAAAGCATGGTTAAAAGCGATTTATCACCATGCCTTAATGCGCTCACTCGAAGTATTTTGGGATCGCCTGTTTCTTTGAAATGTCCCAAGAATTTGCCAATGAGTTCCAAGAGATAGTTGTCGTTAATGTTGGGATATTCTCTTGACTATAAAAGAGTTGGTTTTAAATACATATGTTACTGATAGTGGTTATTACATACAAGTCGATCCATGGTCATGGGCACTTTTTTGCCTTCATAGGTTATTGTATGTGGTAATAGCTCACGATGTTGTCTTAATTCATTTTCAAGTACACGAGCGGCCTCCTTACAAGGACCAGCTGCAAGAAACTTGGCAATCAAGTAATACAGCTATTTTTTTTAAAAATAAAAGATTAGTTGGGCTGCAAAGTCATGTTACTTTTGTGTGATTACCTCTAGTGAAGCAATAATGTACGTGTTGCGTGTAGTGTTAGTGTGTTTGTCTGTCAATTGGGCTATGAAAAGCTTTTACCTTGCTCCATCAAGTGTAATATGTATAACTAGAAAGAACAAACAATGGCTGGGTGCAAAACGATTTTTAAATGAAAAAAAAAAAAAAAAAAAAAAAAAAACGAGGTCCCTACGTGGGCCCCATTTTCTAATTTATTTGTGCTGTTGTCTAAAAAAAAACTGGGAGCGAGCCTGGTTTATGGATCTGGAATATAAAACGAGAAGAGCATACAAGAGTCTTGCTAATAGTAGCCTTTCTGTTTAATTGTCAGTCTTACACTTCTTCAGATACGACAGATTCAATCATATGGAGGTTATTTTGTAACGATGTTATTACATCGAGGCAAATATTAACTTATGTTTAGGGGGTATGTAAAAATGATAAATTGTTTTTATTGGATTTATCAACTAGGTAGAAGGTAGTATTTTTAGTATGTACTCTTTTTTATATATTCAAGATAACAATTTTGACCTACAGAGAAGACCGCCGAGTAAAGTCAATCCAGGCCCATCATCATAATATCTGCTATCTCTCCTCAAATTCCTTAAGTGAAACGTAGATCCGAGAACGGCGGCAGCAGATTTAAATCAGCTTAACTATCACCAAAGATTTTTTTGTAGGACCAAGATGTCTAATAAATAGGAACTCGGTATTAAAAAGCCTGGTATGCGTTTAGCTTAGATTATGTGTGTTTCAGTTGTACTGTTTATAGTTGTCATACATAATCAAGAATATATATCCAGATGCATGAGAAATTTACTTATATAATCTCTGTTTTGCACGAAGAACAAAATTAAAGTAAACCAAAAGTGATATTATTAGAACTTGGATACGACTTTATTATGGACAAAAAAATAAATTAAAAAACGTATTATGGTTTATGAGAAAAAACTATGAAGAACTTGATAGTTCTAGGGAGAATATTAAGCGCCTTATTGGATGATGTAATAATCTGGTGATAGTAAATAATTAACATGTCTATAAATTTAGCCCTTCCATACTGAGTATATAAATATTAGTCAGTGAGGGATCAACAGTTATAACATCAAATGACAAGAGTAATATTTGTGCTCGGGATCTATTAATATTCTATAGTCCAGGCCTATTCGATTGTATTGCTTTTTGCAGAATAAACATTTACTCGCCACAGGGTTGTTCCCTATACACAGACTTCAACAGTAGGATGAGAACAAGTGGGGCTAATGTGTGTGATTCACGATTAACTTTTATATTATTATCCATCCTTAATGAGATGTGACAATCAATATTATATCTAAATGATATCCTCAACAATCTCTCCCAGATTCTATTGCTCTACAGAGAATCGAAGCGTTTTCAAGAGACAAGTTTTGCTATACTTCTAATATTTGATTGTATAAAGAAGAGAATAAAAGTGCGTCATTGGCATAGGAAGACAACAAAACTCTGCAAAATAATTTGACCAGATATATACACCGCAACAAAAAAATTCAGAAAGGTATATGTAAACCATGTGTCAATCCTTCTTCATATCTGGATTCAAGTTATATCAAAATAAGGCACAGAATACCAGTGATTTTAATATAGTTTGTGCTTAATCACTAGTGTTGTCATCTATGATCAAATCGAAAATAATAAGCCATACTCACTGTATTCAATTCGTTTCTGGAAACAAAGATAAAAGTAAGTCGGACATTTTGGCTTAATGTCTGTATTGATGATTCTATAAAGGAATAGTTAGATAATTAACAGCTTTGAAAAAAGTAAATCACCATGTCTACACCTACATCCTTTTTAATTTTTCTACGGAAAGGTCCAGATGCCAGTTTTTTTTTTTTTTTTTTTTTTTTTTTGAAACGTCTTTTTTAGAACCACGTGATGGTCTACACATAAGTCCAAGAAAAACGTTTACTTCGATTGACATGCCATATCATCTTCACTCTTTCTACACTTTATATGTACGATATGTAATCGAATTTTGTTTCTCATAAAATGTTCATTACTATCAGTACATGCTACTACTGAAACGCTGAAAGTCAGTAAATGCTTCTATTTTAAATAAAGGCTCAAACATTATGAATGAGTAAATAAACAAAGAAATCATCATGACATAAGATCTTGTTTATCAGCCAACAGATAAATCTTGTTCTCACATTTTATTGATTAAGTCATCCTGACATGAACCAGTTATTATTTATCAGTTTATAAATAGGACTCCTTTCCACACTTTCTTCCCTTTTTCTTTTCCTTTAAAAACATATTTCACTTTTTTTTAAAACAAAAAACATACATTACTATCTGATGGCTACCTTCCAGGTTGGGTTCTTGGGTTTTTTGGTCAGACTACTGTGAATAGCGGGGACTACACTTCACATTAGTGTGATCAGACTGGTTGACTGGTCTTGGCCGGGATTGCTGTAAGTCATATAATATTTGTGTAAAAACGACTCTAAAAGAGACGTCGAAAAATTAAAAATGGACGTAGGTATAGACATTGCCTTTGGCCGGACTATATTTTAAAAAAAAAAGTACGGTGGTCTTACCCCTTGAAGGAACTACCAACTGCTATCAAGGATGAAGTTCGTCGTTTGATTCAAGCTACCCAGAGTGAAACGGCGCCTGAAATCATTCAGTATAACATAACCGCCACCAGCTCTTTTAACAACAACTTTTCCGACATAAAAAATAGCCATGATTCCGACGTATTTTCCCATGAAAATCAAAGGTAAATAGAAACTTGTTTGTAACTTTTATATGTATTTTGGTTATTTATAATATTCTGTAAAAAGTCCCGATGATGATGAAGGGGAGTCATCTTCGGATGAAGATTGTAGTAAAATTCCTTCAGATCTTAGTATAGATCACCGAAATCTTTAAAAACCTTTAATTGTGTGTAACACCTGGTTTTAGTCGGTTTAAAGCGAAAGTTTGCTGGTACACGCTTATTGAGTGTCAATTTGTTGCTATGTAAATGTCAACCCCTTTAAAAACCTTTAATTTTGGCTTATAAATGTGGGAATTTCGGACACACCGTACTTGCGAGTACACTATTGAATATGGGGAGGAAGCCTGGACTCAAGAATCAAGCACAAATAGACATTTATGGATGGTCGATGACATATCCAGTTCTGATCTATGTCTAAACTTCAAGAATGTCTGCTTGAAAATGTCAAGAACTACCAACCCGGCCAGCTTATCAGATATTCGTCTCCTCGCTTTAAACGATATCTACAAATTTGATAAAAACTTCTCCACCTCAGTTAGCAAATATTTTTCGGTCAAGGTCCATAATTCATTAAAATCTCTCGTAAATTTAAATAAATATCTACCAACACCTGGATTGAAGTGCTGTGACCGGTGCTTAGATATCGAGCGATCCCCTCCCGATGATTGGCTTTCTTCGGTGACACGGTTTGATATAAGTTTGAGTATATGATATAGTGTGATTACTGGGATGAAAGATGAATGCACCACTTTCTTTCTTGTCACAATTGCTACTTTATCCTCTATATTTGAGACTTTATCTTTCCCATGTTCTCACACAAGTTTTACCTGTTCTTATACATGGCCCACCTGACGATTCAAACGAGGATAGTTATGTTCATTACTACCTGTCACCTCTGTTGGCTTCTATCTTTGGCTCAGATCCTCTCATGAAAATGAAATGAGCAAATGGTCAGTTATACAAAAGCGGACAAAATGATTTCAAGCCGGACTTTTTGGAGTACAACCTTTCGGGAAGCGTAAAATGTATCGCTTTAGTTGCGGAATGCAATGGTCGGTGGTGAAACTCTCGGTGTTGGTGGTGATTCGGATACTCTGTGCTATCCGTCGCTCCCAAAGGAGAACACTTATGGTCTTCTGTATGTGTTCTGTTCAGCAGTCCAACCGAATAGAACTCATTATCGGGTCCCCGAACGGGTTTAATAAAAATGTACGCTGAATCTGATCTGGTAAAGCTCGCCAAACAGATGAAACTTACGTTAAACGCTTTGGTAGTAAACGGAGTTTCGATGCCCAAGGTCTGTGGGATTCATTGTGAGGGTGAGAATGTTGACACCTACATCATGGATATCATTTCTCCAAAATTGTATAGGCTGATCAATGGTGCTAAGATTAAACTATTCAAGAACCTAGATCAAATCTCTTTATTACCCAATATTATCACACACCTTTTAAGTCTCAAAGGAATCGCTCACGAAACGGCCTGCAAGATTGAAAACTCAACTTTATATAGTTTAAGTAATCTAAAGCGCCAAGTTCAAGACCCTCCGGCAGATTGGTTGTCGAACGATAATATTGTTCTTTCACGTGTTTCGAAGAAGCAAAAGAAATAAATAATCTATTAGTTTGGGTTTTCTATTTCTTTTGCTTCTTTGAAATACGCGAAAGAACAATATCATCATTTGACAACCAATCTGCCGGAGGGTCTTGAACTTGGCGTTTCAGATTACTTAGACTATATAAAGTTGGCTTTTCAATCTTGGAGGCCGTTTCATGAGCAATTTCTTTTAGACTTAATAGGCGTGTAATTACTACAGTGGGTTTTTTATTGTAGAGTTAATGTCATTTTTGTATTTTTTTGTTATAATATATATATAAGTTTGAAATTTAGAAAAATAAAAGCAGTTTTAGCGGAAGCCTGGGTACGAGAAGGTCTTACCAATGGAGTGAGTATAAGCTGTCCTCAGAGAAAAATGGGAGGGGGAGAATGAAGGATGCCAGATTGAAGAAGTGCTTCATGTTGAGATTTCAAAAAAAAAAAAAAAAAAAAATTGGACGCAAGGGAGATAGTGGGAGCAGTATTAAAAGGTGTGTCATTAAAGACAAAAGCCCAATGGCCCAACCAAATTGATTCGAGAGTAGTAAAAAGAGCGAGAAGGCTAGATTCAGGAAGAAGTGGCATATTGGACAAGAGGGCACGAAAAGTATGAAGACTAACATGCAGAATATCTGTCGATAAAGTGATCGAGGATGGGGAGATATAGTGAGCCCAGATATGTTGCCAAACGGGCAGTTTTAAAGGGCACTTAAACAAAAAATGATCGAGAGTTTAGAATGAATATGAGCATAATTGACAAACTGGCGTTGGGAAGTACAGTGGCATAAATCTATGCAGAATAGATCTACGAGGAATTTTCTTATGATTGTACTGATAGCAGACATTGTGGAAGAGAAGGATGGATAAGCGAGGGAGAACACCATTGACGGTAGTAAATCTTTGTGGTTAACGGGTCATGTGGAAAACTGGGAGCAGCAACAAACTATAATTCAAGTAGGAATGGTGTGATATCCACTACCGAATGATCGAGAACAGGAGTATATCCGAAGGCACGGGAAGGAAGGATGAAAGAGCGAACAAAGAAGGACTCTTTATTGGTCACTAAGTGAAGAATTTGTTAAGATAAGGACGGGTAAACAGTTTTCGTTGGCTGAATCAAGAGTATAAGGTATGAAACTAGGCAATGATGCCGTAGATCGACGCAAAGCATACAACTGCGAGTTAACGATAATGGAGGCCATCGGAAGTTCTAAGCAAGTACTGTACATTCACCACGCGTAGAAAACAGTGTATTTTCAAATTTACTTTCAGAACTAAAGGTCAAGACGATACGCACTGCAGGCCTGCTTCATGTAGGATATTTAACCGTGATAGACAGAGGAAAGGACATCGTATGTGCTAGAGAACATGAAGATGCGCTTGGTAAAACCTTCTTTTTCAACAAGTATAGTCTCCATTCAAAAGTGTAGGATTTAGAAATAGAATTAATAAATAGGCGAAATAAATTATAAAAAGGAAAGTTTGTTTTTTATTATTAGTCTTCTCTGTAAGGGGGTGGTTCATCACCACGAGCATTTAATTGATAATATTGGTCGTTTTCTTCCGTGCCTCGTTTTAACCGACTATAAACCCAATTCATACCGGGGACTTGTTTCCACCATTTGGGTTCAGCATGGTGTTGATTCCATACTTGTTCATTCTCAATAAAGGTGGATGGGGTTGTGTCGGGATTTTGCCATTTTTCCATCATGACTTTGAATCGCTGAAACAGTTTCTTGACTTGTACTCGACCAATGATCAAACATAGTGCAATGGTGCCGGTAATCACTACACCTAAAACTGCGGATTGCCACTGATCGCCCATGGTCCATTTGGGTGTATTGTAATAGTATTGCGGAATATCTTCTCGGATCCCACACGTATGGTTGGTACAATGACCAGGAATACCATCTATACCGAAATAACATTGCATATTATATTGACAACTGGAGCCTAAAGGCAATTTGGGTTGACAAGTCCTCGAGTGTTTATCACAGTATGACATGCGACTGCAGTTACCAAGTATGTCTAAATCATCTACATTAATCACTTGAGGTCCTCGAAAATCGACATAATTTATAAGTTCATCAGTAATGGGTATTGTACTGCAAGCTAGGCCGGTATCGTTCTTAATATTGTAGGGTGTATAAGTGAATGTGTATAAAGGTTCGATACTCATTTCGAATCCTCCTTGGTCTATGTGTTATGTATTGTCAGTTTAATTGTTGGGTTGGGGGGCTGGTGTACATACAAAGAAAAACTTACTTCGACTTTTGCATATAAGCCCTTCCTCTGTGGCGTAACAACTATGGACAGGGTAGAACTGACAATTGGCAGGATCAATACATCGCTGCTCATAAGCAACCGTCACATTTATGAATAGAATTGCCAGCACCCATACAAGGTACATTTTGTTTTATTGTGTTGTAAGTGAAAAAAGAAGTGGTAGAATAAAAAACGAAATATTATCTGGTACTTCCACCATATCTGTAAAACCCAAAAAAAAAAAAAAAAAAAACTCATTCAGACTCCGGAATTCATTCTTCTCCTTTCTCTCTAAATTACGAACTGTCATAATTTTAAATATCTGTCCTATGAAAAGTGTTGTTCTTAAACTCAGAGATGCATTTTACTTGTTTTAATATTGTCCCAACAGTATCACGACATAGATCACCGAATGATATTATGTTTTACCTTGTGTTACCTGGTGTGCCACACACCTACTTGCTGTACTCTGTATTTGCCTTTTTCCAGGCACACATCGTCGATTGGGACTATATGCACTTTCTGTGTGGTTCAAACGTTATCTTATTCAGGTGGGAAGTCATTATACTCTATTATACTCTATTTTATATAGGCATTCTGATTAGCAAAAAATACAATTAAATTAAATGACTTTCATCCTGCTTGCCATTAACATGACACAGTTTTCGCTCGGTAATGATAGAAATGAAAATATATGAAGGAAAAAGATGTCTGCCTCGAAACCGGGATTTATTATACCAATTTCCGGACATTGTGATTTAACAATTTGCTTTAGTCAGATTGACATGTCTGAGTCAATAATATATCGTGACAACCTAAAATCAAGAAAAATTGGTGCACGGATAAAACCTCTCAATTCCCCTTATAACTATTTGATTGTAAAATAGTGTTATTAAATGAATTTGGTGGTTATTCCTCCTTTCTCTCCGGGATATGTGGATATTCATAAAGTTTTGTGGTTCAATTATCTCAATTTACCAAAGAATACTTGACGTGTGGAACAAATAGTAACAATGTCACACACGATTTTATATTGTAAAGGGTTGTACAATTCTTGGGTGGTTTGGCTGTCAATCACTTAAAACGTTGGTATAACCAGCGTGTTGTTCCGATTTTTTAATTTGAACCCTTTTTTTTTATATATATACGAGTCTGTTTCTTCTTTGATTTTCTTGCGCTAATTATTCCAAAACAAAGATGTTGCCAACAATATCCCCAGTTTTGAGTCGGATAAAGTTCGGGGCATACAAACGGGAGGCAATCGAGATATTGAGTTCCTATCCTCATCACTTTGGGGATAAATTGCAGCTGCATTCAGACATATCCAGTTTATGCGCTCTTTTTTTTATTTTTTGTTTGGTGCATGATAAAATGTAGGGCAAAATTACAAAAAAGAAAAAGAAAAAAAAACTTTGTATCACCATGTCTGAAATATAAATCATCGCTTATTATAATTATACCTTTTTTATCTCCTATAAAAAATTCTTTCTTTCCCTCCAAGTATCTGATTAGAAATATGGCTATACTTAATACAACCCAAAGAGAAACATTGACCGCTATTGTGGATACATTTGTTGCGCCGCTTAACCAACAAGAAGAAGAAGCACTTATTCATAACACACTAAATACCCCCAACAATTGTTTTAGCGAAAGCCAAATATCTGATTTTTCCAGGCTCTCGGGCTCTAAAGTTAACGCCCTGGACCGAATTGAACAAAAGTTGTCGATCACATTGAGCCCTAAGCAAATTAATGATTTCACTATGGTCCTTAACCTACTATCTTATCGTCCTTCCTCTGTATTATTTACAGGGTATTGGACATTGTTCAAGGATTTGGACCGTTCTTGTCGTGAGCAAGTGCTTCTAGGTTGGAAAAAATCGTCTTATGCGATTTTTAGACAGCTTTATAATACATTTATGGGCATTGGTATAATTGAATCATACAATGCTATGGAGACACCTCTTTACGAGAGCATAAAGTATGCTGGTATACAAGGAGGGCACTCATATTTCCAGCATCAGCCCGATTATGCAAAAGTATATCATGAGAGACTCCACATGTTGACGACAGAAGAGGCTAAAAGCTATAAACGGTTTGATGCCATTGTCATTGGGAGTGGAGCTGGTGGTGGTGTAACAGCATGCGAGCTTTCTAAAGCAGGACTTTCTGTCTTGGTCATTGAAAAGGGGAGATATTTTCATCAGGATGATATGGAGGTAGATAATGATCAGTTTGCGCTTTCCAATATGTTTGATAATGGTGGCATTGTTCCTAATGCCAAGGGTACTGTAAATCTTATCTCGGCCTCCACTTTTGGCGGAGGAACTACAATTAATTATTCAGCTTCGATTGGGGTAAGTTTCTACGTGTTTCTTACTCACAATGGATGATGCCTAATTTTTGGTGTAGCCTCAGCAATTTGTCAAGGAGCAATGGGAAAAAAAAGGGTTGCCTTACTTTGTATCACAACAGGTTAGTCAGTCGTTCCACCCACCCCCCTTTTTTTTTTTGGGAATTAATGCACTTATTCATACTTTTTTGTATAGTTTGAGAATGATATTCAAAGTGTCCTCGACCGCATTGGAGCAAGTACTCAGAATATTGTTCATAGCGGTCCGAACCTAAAACTCATCGAAGGCTGCCAGTAAACAATAAATATCATTGTACTTGACCCTTTTTACTAATTAATTTTTATAAAGCAATCTTGGGTATGATATTACGCTAATGGCTCAAAATACGTCTGGCCGACCTCATCATTGCGGTAAATGTTACACGGGATGTTCATCCGGCGTCAAAAACAGCACGACCAACACCTACTTGAAGGATGCTGCCGCTTACGGTGCTAAATTTTTAGATGCTACGCAAGTCATGCATATCGTTACCAAGAGTGGTAAAGTGAAGGGTGTTTCTTGTAGGATTCATGGCGAGAAGAAAAATTTTGTATTTTATGCAAATACGGTTGTTGTAGCAGGTGGTGCACTTCATACGCCCGGACTTTTAAAAAACAGCGGATTGACCAATGCACATATTGGTAAAGATCTTCGTTTACACTTGTCAGCATTGACGGTGGCAATTTATGACGATGTGGTAAATCCTTCCGAAGGCTCGCTGTTGACGACTGTTAGCAATCAATTTGATAATTTTGATGGGTCGACATATGGGTTTAAGATTGAGTGCTTTACAAACGGTGTCGGTATTTTTTCTGGCATGTTACCGTGGTCGGGTGCAGCAGCGCACAAACAACGCGTATTACGACATCGTAATGCAGTAATTACGTTTGCAATGGCACGAGATATGGACTCACAATGTAGCGTAAAATACGATGCTTACAACAAAGTTGATATTGATTTTAATATATCAAAACATGACGGGGATACATTGACGGAAGGAATTGTCCAGATGGCAAAAATTCATGTGGCAGCGGGTGCGCGAGAAATTCATGTTACGCAGTCAGTTATAGATGCGTTTGTGTTTGAAAGCGATGAAGAGTCGCGCGTGGATAATCCAAGATTCTTGGACTGGATTCAGAGTGTGTATCGACTTGGACCACCTGTACCATCCTCAGGTCATCAGATGGCGTCGTGGTAAAAAATTATTTTTATTTACCCCATTGGTTTTTTGTTAAGCTAACCTAAATTTGTATAAAATACGATTAGTCGCATGGGAGTTTCTCCATTGACATCAGCAACTAAGCCAACTGGTGAAACGTGGGATATTTCTAACCTTTACGTTTCTGACTCTTCTTTATTCCCTACTGCTTTAGGTGTAAACCCTATGGTAACCATCCAAGCTATTGCTTTGCATGTTTCCAGACATATTATTGATCAACAACGGGTGGAAGCAAAGTTGTAAATATATGCTGTGTGACGCAACTTTTTTTTTTTTAAAAAAAAAGAATAAAGCTGCATTTTTTTTTTCGAAACAAAACTTGTTTTCATCCACTTTTTTTTTAGTAGTTTGCATAAAACAAATGACGAAAAAAAATTATCCTCCTTTAGAACTAACAGCAAGTCAATCTCAGACTTTATGTAGTATCTTTGATACATTTATAGCAGAGCTGTCACCGGAAAAGACACTAGCCCTTGTTACAAGTATTCAAGGCAAAGAAGACTGCTATGGTATTAATCAAACACAAGTCTCCAATTTAGCTAAAATCTCGGCTTCTTCCTTGGATGTAAAAGCAACCGTCCTTGATTTCTTTCAAAACTCGGTTGAACCAAGTAAACGCGTGGATTTACTTCGTGTCCTGGATCTTTTGGCAACACGACCAGGCTCTCTCTTGATGACGGGATATTTCCAGCCCTTTCATTTACTAAGTCAAGAGCAACGTGAACAAGTTTTGCTGAGCTGGAGAAAGTCTTCCATGCAGACCTTTAGAGGATTGTATAGCTCTCTGGCGGGCATCTGTTTATTCAATGCATATAGTTTAACCAACTCGCCTATCTTGGAAGCTATCGGTTATGATGCGGATAAGTTCTTTGAAACACATCCAGATTATGAACCCGTACAGCACAATCGCATCCCTATGATGACCAAGGAACAAGTAACTGGCATGACATTTGACGTAATTGTGGTGGGTAGTGGTGCGGGTGGAGGTGTGGTAGCTGGCGAGTTGGCACAAGCAGGGTATTCTGTCTTGGTGATTGAGAAAGGAAAGTATTTCCATCCTAGTGAAATGGTACAAGAGGAGTATCAAGGTTATAGAGACATGTATGATGGCGGAACAGCGTTTTTGGCTACCAATGGCACAACTCAATGTCTTGCCGGCTCTACATTGGGAGGTGGTACAGCATTAAATTATTTAGTTTCTTTGAAGGTGAGCTATTAATCGATATATATTTAGATATTCGTTTTAGACTAACGCTATTCTATATATAGCCTCAATATTTTGTTCGAGAAGAGTGGGCTAAACAGGGCCTTTCACATTTTATCTCTCCTCAAGTAATGTGAAAATAATAGGGAAAAATATATCTATGTTATTCTGTTATTAACCATTTAATAATCGACCTACAGTTTAACAAAGACCTGGAACGTGTGTTTGATCGAATTGGTGCAACTACAGAAAATGTTACAATGTCCAAGACCAGTGAAAAGTTTATCAGCGGCTGCAAGTAAGTAGAAAAATAAGACATTTAAAAAGTCTTTTATTAAAGCTTAATTATTAGACAGCTTGGTTATGAGGTTGAAAGAACACCGGTGAATACCGGAGGTAGAGCCCATCACTGCAATAAATGCATGCTGGGTTGCAAAGCAGGAATTAAAAACAGTACGGCAAATACATGGCTTGTGGATGCTATGAACCACGGAGCCCGATTCCTGGACCGAACCATTGTTACGCGTGTGTTGACATCCAAGGGTAAAGCCATCGGTGTTGAATGCCATATTCACGACTCTACAGAGGTAACTAGGCTTATGGCAAAACATGTTATTGTTGCTTGCGGTTCATTACGCACACCTACTTTACTCAAGAATAGTGGGCTTTCTAATAAGCATATTGGAAAGCATCTGGTGATCCAGCCAATAAGTATGGTATTTGGGTTCTATGATGAAGTAATTCGACAAAATGATGGGCCATTGATTTCAAATGTCTGTAATGCGTTGGATAACTGTCAAGGAGATCACTATGGAGCCAAGATTGAAGAGGGTATATTATTACCTGGTGGTGTTTCAAATAAGATACCCTGGTTAGGAGCAGCGGAACACAAGAGTATGATGATGAGACATAAAAGTATGGTATCCATGTTAAATGTCGTCCGTGACAAAGATTCAGTGGGCGTGGTCGATTATGATCCATCCAGCCCTAACCCGATATTTTCTTACAAGGTGTCAAAACATGATGGGACGTCGATGGTAATGTGCATTGAGAAGAACATGAAGATAATGGTTACTTCTGGTGCTCGAGAGCTGTACTCTCCTCAGCCGAATGTAGACCCCTTCAAGTTTAGAGATGACGAGGAATCTCGAATTGATAATCCACGATTTATAAAATGGATTGAAACAATTCATAAGGCGGGAGCATTGAATACGCCACTTATATCCGTTCACCAGCTAGGCACATGGTAAAGTTTGGTTACACTTAAATATGTAAACCGTGATACTAAATACTCTATGTAGTCGAATGGGTGTATCACCTAAAATATCAGCGGTTCAACCAACCGGTGAAACATGGGAGATCAAAAATTTACACGTTGCTGATGGCTCAGTCTTCCCTACCTCTGTCGGTGTAAATCCAATGGTTACTATTGAAGCTGTTGCATTGCATATTGCCCGTAATGTTATATCAAGCTTGGAGCCCAAGTCAAGACTTTAAAAGGAAACTTGTGTTAAAGCCTTACATATGTCCCATTTTTTTTTTGTCAATTAAAAAATCTACAAATACGTTCATCTTAAAGAATATATACCTTGGTTTAAAAGCATGTACTAATAGTAGCGTTCACGTAAGATCACGGTGTAAAATTCTTTTTCTTGAAGACCAGAAAAGTCTTTGTGGTATAAGTCTTTGATAAGTACATCAATTTACACATTAGACGTGAATTTATATTTAAGTAAATAAGTAATGGAAGTAAGGATGTAACAGATTTTATTGCTTATCTACTCAAATTCAAAGGATTACTATTTTAAATAGAATTTGTTTTTATTTCTAATACATAGCTAGCTTAAATGTGCCTCATGACCAGTTTTTTCAATCTGAATATTACACTTTCTTTGTTTACATGTAACAGTAAAAGGATTAAGAAAAAAAAAACCTGTAAAAGACTTGACTTCAAAATAGGACGAGATAGCAACAGCCAACATAGTATTTACTGCTCAACAGTTGTTTTTTAGTTTGTTAAACACAATTGTAAGAGTTAAAAAATTCTTTGGATTTTATTTTTATTTTTATTCAAAGTCATCAAGAGCACGTCCATGGGATTGATATTCTTTGGAAAACTTACTGATAATATCATCAGCTTCCAAGACATTGTTACCCTTGCTGTAAGCGTCAATATATCTATAAGCACGATTATAATATCGTCTATTGATTTTATGACCGAAAACAGCCTCATCATTGTCAAGAAACTCTTCAATTCTTGACTTCAGAGTATCAAACGAGTAATCACATTCCATTCGTGCATATCGTTTCGCTGCGCCCCAAGGTCTTTCAATCCAGTTGCACTCGCAATGGTACTTCGGGTATAAGGTAAAAAGGTGACCAGCCTTGAATGTTTTGGTCTCAAGCATGTTTTTTTGCGCCAGAAAATCCGGCTGCTGGGAGAGCAGGTACTCAGCGCAACAACCAGGCTTGACCGAAGAGTCGTGAGGTGTCCCACTCACACACAATCTTCTAAGATGCTCGTTTCTCCCAAGCAAACCACGTTCTCTCAATAGAACAATCATTCCTTTGAACTTCTCACGGCGCTGTAAACATAATGAAATAAAAATTGATATGAGTTTCTTCTAATTTGATATAACAAGTATGTATATTTACTCCGTGTTGGTGTTTTTGAACAACCTCCAAGTTGTCAAACACCTCTCCTTTTTCTCTCCGTCTTAGGATCTCCTTTCTTGCAGCTTGAGAATCGAAATCCTCGTACTTGTACATACTTTGAGGCCTGATGATGCCGTTTCTATCTACAAAAGTGGTATCCCGAAACCTATACTTGGTACAAACCGTCATATTGGTAGTCCCGGAATTCATTCGCAAAGGCTTTATGGTTTGAGCTTTGGTCAAAGGCAAAAATACCAACACAGTTAGGACACAATTTATCGAGAAGAGGAATTAAATCATTCAACTGGTTTGTTAAATCTTTGTTGGTCCAATAACCATCGCCGCTACTGTTGCCAGGGAAGAAGATGACTCTTGATATCAAATTGACACCATTGACGGTACCTCTCATTGTTCCGTAGCAGGGATACATCGACGAATAGGAGCTTGACTTCAAAGCCAAGCAAGACATCTCTCCTTCACATCGGGATCACCAAGGATCGATTTTCTCTTCACATGCTTACCCTGCTGATGAAGTGGAATTTCACCAGTACTCAACAAAGTTTCAAACCACTCTCTAGCGACACGGCGGCGGTAAAACTTGGACGCGTGAGGCCAGTGCAAATCAACCGCACGCGTTGTTGCTCCAACAAATGTTTCTCCTTCCAAAAGTTCGACCATCACTTGCTTCACCACAACATACTTCAAGAACTGGTTAACACCTTCTTGATGTTGATTGGATGTACAATTTCTTGACACAACAATCTTAGACTCCAACAGGGGCAAGGCGTCACGAATCTTTTCCAAAGCAGCTTCATCGGGTCTTCTTGGTCTTTCAATTTTTTCAGGTTGAGCTGCTGTAGTTACCTGTTGCACAGCGGGGAAGAAACTGTTGATAGGACGACAGCCTACAGCTGCCTTGGCTGCAGCAGATCTCTTTCTGCTAAGAGTCTCTCTCACAGGGACAAGTTTACGCTTAAATTTTTGGTGTCCTGTTTCGTTGGTTGCATTACTCCAGGAAATAGGGAAAGTTTCAGCGTTAACCTGATCTTCTTCGGGTTGAGGAATGTCAACGATAGCCTCATCGGAAATTTCTTCATTGGGAATGGAGGCAGCTTCTGCAATTCTTTTTAATTGTAAAGCTCTGGCTCTTTTGCCAATGTTCATTCTTTTTCTTGATTTAGCCATTGTATAAATTTATTGTTTAGATAATAAAAAGATCGATGACAGTGTCAATAAGTAAAAATTTTATTATTTTGATCGTTTTGAACTCCCGGTGGACAATAATTCCAAACCTAATATCTAAATCACTGTTACCTCAATAAGCATAGATGAAGTTACGAACCTTTTTACTTAGTACATGAAAATTGAATATGCACTTTCTCTTTTTCAGAGTTGATGATATTGAACCTTCAGCTACCCATCTTATGGGCTCTCGCTTAATCACTTTTAGTCGATATTGCGAACTTTTTAAACTCAAAAAATAATTGAGAATGATTCTTGTATAATAATAAGATGCTTCATAATGTATGTTTTGAATCAAAAGTAAATCTACTTGGTAGACCGAAAATGCAGAACTCATTTAAGCCTTTGTTACTGAATCTGTGTACACAAACAGTCCTTGTTTCATGATCCGATTACCGTTAATCCTGACCCTTCAGATGAGGCTCTAATAATAAGATAAATCTACTTTGCTTAGTTACCACAAAAAAAAAAGGATACACGTTAAGCGATGAAATTTATTTTCCAAGACCTAACTGCAATAAATTTAAAGCAGCAATATGCCTTCTGAATCAGTATTAAAAATAAGATTGGCATGGTTTGCGAAGTTTTCATAGTTTCAAGCCTTTTATTACCGGTCGTATACCAATATCACCTCTGCATTCAGTTTATCACTACAGCCAAAGAAGTGAAGAGCGAGATGTTTACCATTCTGCTTTAAAATGTTTGCTTTTATTAACCAGACCTGATGTAATGTCAAAGAGTAAAATGGTCGATTTATTCTTGCTCTTCGTTGACTCAACGTATTATTTAGAAGGGAAATGTGATAAACAAGATGCACAACCCGGATCGGACTAGTTATTTATTTATGCATTCAGCCTTGTCTGTCTTTTTTTGAAATACATGACGTGAATATGACCTCGTTAGTTATAAATAAAGAGTCTTTCTTTTCTCTCTCTTTATTTTCCTCTTTCTTTCTTCCAAAAAGAAACCGTTTTAGGAAATAGGCGGAGGTGGCGATAGTTTTTGGTTGACAAAAACAACAGTAATACAGCAGAAAGAACAGCTAGATACAGAAACCCACAATAGGAAAACATTCAGTGATTTACTTTTTTTTTACAATGATAGAAAAATGTTGGCAGGTAACTCTAAAAAGTAAAGGAAGGTAGTTAACAGTGAGCTTGGCTTGATCTTCTATTGTCAACTTCTCGAATATAGATGTTGCAAAGGTAAAAGGCATGATAGTTAGTTTAAAGAGCTTAAAGATGGTGTAGGAGCTAAAAGATATGGCATGCACACTGCATCGAATGATTCTTTGCTGCAGTTTGCTTATAAAATATTTATTGGGCTTATTTTTCTCCCACGGATATAAAGTTGGCGTTGGCAGGCAAAGAGGGCAAGATAATTTTAAGTTGTAGATGTGACTTGCCTACAGGGTATAACTCTCGCCTTAATTACACCAATGTTGTATATTAGCCAGAAGATCCTGGTGATATCTTTAGTGAGTTACAACTGATACTTGATGCTGTATATCAGTTCAACTTGTTCATGAAGGACACTAAAAACATCGTCAAAGAAAACGTCAGTTGTGACCAACATAAGGCATTCCTTCCTTAATTCTCAAGTCAGGGAGGCGGGCCTTTCGCACGCCTCTCATAGGCTCATGTTAATAGTGCTGTATGACATGATTTGTGGCACTAAATGCTTGTTTTAGTCCTGTGGATGTCACGCTTAAAAGCTCAATGGTGCAACCCAGTGGTGAAACATGGGAAGTCAAAAAAAAGTTACACGTTGTTACTGATAGGTCTCTCTCTCTCCTATTCCCAGCATCTGTTAATGTCACAGTGTTAATTCAAGCTTGGAATCTTAAAATCAAGACGTTAAGGAGGGGACTTAAATAAGTCTTATTTATAACAGTTGCAATTTCTATTCCTCTCTCATCATTATTACTTTTTTTTTGTCGTTGTAGGTACAAGGTACTAATAAAGTCAAATAAATATTACACTTTTTTAATCTATTATGTGCAACTTTAAAAAGAATGTTATTGTCGGTGGTCGTCATGTTTTTTTTAGTCGCATCATCTGATCATATATAAATAGTCAAATGAATAGATCTCACAATAGGTTGTCTTTAAGAAAATTCAAGGTCATGTTTTATGAGCCAAATAAAGAGAGAGGGAGAGGGAGAAGATATAGATAAGGATGGATTAGATACTCTCACTGATAACTTAAAGACGAGTTACATAGCGTTCTTGATCATAAATATGTTGAACCCGTCCAATTGGAAATAAGGGTTTTTTTTTTGTATGTAAAAATTCATGTTCCGGTCACTGAAAGATTGAATGAATCCTTTTAAGGGAGGTTCATGTACTCTTACATGTGATAATAACCAGTTTTCGTGTTACACCAGTTTTTGAAAAGGTGGAGAAAGCTTGTGATTTTTTTTTTTTAATATTTTTTTACACACGCGCGCGCGTATTATTATTTCTTTCCCTTCTTTCTATTATCCTATTATTTTTTTTTCTTTTTGTAATGTCAAGTAGTTTCAATGACGAGTCTTGGCTATTTAATAACAACCTGGTAGAACTGAAGCCCAGTTACAATAATGAAACCTTACAGGAGCCTGTTCCTTTTGAAGGTACTTAACAGAAGAAAATCATAAGAAAACACTGTATTCACATACGCACTTGTAGATTTTAAGTTTAGCTTCGGTATGAATCCGGATCTTTCACCCATGATGGATCCATTCCTACAAGAACCTTTTAATTTTATGCCAGCAAGTAATACTGTTTTGGATGAAAACGACCAAAAGGCATTCTCTAGTTTTTTGGATACTTTCTTTATGGACCCAGATACACAATTCCAATCAACCCAAGAGAACAATTTTTATGAATTTGAGTCAAATTCCCCTCAACAAAAAGAAGACGAAGAGTACAGAAGAAACTCTATTTTACAGTCGCTTGATGAGCAAAAGCTGTTACATCAACGGCTTAATATGATTGCATCACTACCTACTACAACAACAACAACAACAACAACAACAACAACAGGTGATCAGTGCAGAAATGAATCATCCTCTAAAAGTGTGACATCGGAGGAAGATAATATACCTCAATCAATATACCTTCGTCAAAGTGATTCTGTTTCTTCACCTTATCTTCATACAAAGAAACGTTCCAGTTCCAGTGCGCAACTCTATACGAGACCCACAGAGAAAAAGGCCAGGACGAATAAGGAATTATTAACTGAAGAAGAAAAAAGGGCCAATCATATCGCCTCCGAGCAAAAAAGAAGAAGCACCATACGCAATGGCTTTAAAGATCTTACAGATCTGATTCCTACTTTAAAAAACATTAATAATTCAAAGAGTACAGTGCTCTTTAAGGCGGTTGATTTCATTCGTTATTTAGAAAAGAGAAATAAGGGCTTAAAAGAAAAAGTGGGGTCACTCCAGCTTCGTGTACAAGTGGAAAGTCGCATGACGAGTAAACCTCAAATGACTGCTGTTCATCCACCAGCACCAGCGCAAGAAAAAATAGAGATGATGAAGAGGTTATCGCCCCCACCACCGCTACCAACATCATTATCATCATCATCAACAACATCATCATTGTCATTATCAGTGTTACCATCACTACCACTACCACAAAGTACCATTGTAAAAACCAAACCATTTATGAATAACCCCTCTCATTTACAAGGGTTACCAGCAAATGCTAGAAATGCTTTATTAGCACACAAGACACAACAAAAGCAGTTATTATTATTACAGGAACAATTACAAATGCATCAAAGGCTAATTGCACAACAGCAAGAATTAAAAGAAAAGAGCATTAAGAATAATAAGCTACCACCTATTTTAGGAAAATATGATCAATCCTCACTCTTGAAAGAACTGGAGGACAATGCCATTAGTGCACCATGATAATAATTATTATAATAAGAATAAAAAAAAAAGTTTATGAAGAAGATGCAGTAGTAGTAGTAGTAATGGCAGAATATTTCTTTAGTAACACACTTCGTCTTTGTTCCCATGATTCCTTTTCGGGGTTCTTATGACAAGAAGGTGGCGTTCGGTTCCATTGGTAATAGGTTGGAGTTTTCCTTAAACAGTTAATCCCGTCCTCTTCGTCTTGAATTTCTCCATAATATCTTGATCTCTGTTTCATTATCATGTAGATAATAAGAACCATTCCCAACAGAATAAGGCCTGCCTATTGTTAATTTTTCTTTTTTTTTTTTATTTTTTTTTGTACACCATTGTATAACCTACCTGCATTTACCATTGTAGACATGCTAATTAGCAAAACAAGGATGTAAAGATGAAGATTAAAATAAAAAAAAAGGAAAAAGGAAAGAAAAAAAATAGAAGAGAAAGAAATACTAGTTACATTTATATATATATATTTTTTTTTGTTCCAGCTTTTCTTTATTATTAAAACTCTATTTTTCTTCAATCTTCTTGGGTGTATCATCACGTCCAAGGCCATTTTGCTCCCAAGGTGAAAGAGCACCTTCAAAGTTTCTGAAGGCTTGGGCCAATTCAACGGGTTCAGAAACAACACGCTTCTTTTCCTCATCATAACGAACTTCGACATAACCTGTAAGAGGGAAATCCTTTCTTAAAGGATGACCTTCAAAACCATAATCAGTCAAGATACGACGGAGATCAGGATGACCTGTGAAGAAGACACCAAACATATCATAGGTTTCACGTTCCTGCCAGTTAGCAGCGTTGAAAAGAGGTACAACAGAAGGAACAGGAGATGTTTCACTGGCATAAGTCTTTACACGAATACGTCCATTATACTTCATACTCAACATATTATAAACAACTTCAAATCGGTTGTCACGGGAAGGGAAATCAATGGCTGTAATATCCAAAACAGATTTAAATTGAGTGTTGGTGTGGTCACGCAAAAAGTGCATCACTTGGTAGATAGCTGAAGGTGCAGCATAAATAGTTAATTCATCCTTATAAACACTGAATTGTTGAACAAACTTGGGCATCACTGACATGAGATATTGACCATATTCATGGAGATGATCATTGCCGGACTTGAAGTTGGGATCGGCTGATACTTGGTTTAAATCCTTTTCTGTAAAACGTATTCAATGTCCTGCTCTTCTCCTAATCTATAGTCTCTTTTTATTTTTTTACCTTGGCATTTTACACTGGAAGTAAAAGCACGAGCAGGTGTTGTACGGATAGCACGCACTAATCATTTAAGGCACATTAGAAATCATTCATTCCTCTTTCCATTCTCTTTTTCTTTACCTGCTGAAAGTTGACGTGGGAGGCGTGCAAGAGAAGCACTAATTAATCGTGAAGCCATTTGAAAAAAGAGTGGGGAGTTTCGTTGGTATAATTAACAAAAGAAAAAAAAAATCGCACAGGAGATTTTTATCTAACAGAAAAAAAATCTGTCCCCGGATTTTCACTGCCAGGCTGAACATCTGTATTTATACCCGATGACGTCAGAGTTTTCTTGTTTTAATGAAGAATGAACTTGGTAGATGTGTTCATAAAAAAAATACTTAGTAAAGATGTGTTAAACCGTGGCTAATAAAACATTTCTAAGTTGCCTCGTTATTTACACATGATAAAGTTGAATATCAACCTCACTGAATATTTTTATTTAGGCATGTTTGAACACGACTAAAGTTACAGCGTTATACTCGCTTCAATTCTGAGTAAGTGGAACTATATCTTAGGATCAAAAAGACTTAGAACTAAGCAGTACTTTGAGTTAACTAGTTAAGTTGAAACAATTTTTAATCAGGTACTAATGACTCTTCTAAAAAATAAAAATAAAAAACAGCTTTCAATCTATAATATAAATCCTCAACTTTCATATCAGCAGGCAGATCATTCGGCTTAAATACTACAATGTACGTCAACTTCTAGCTGTGGTCAAAAGATGCAGACCTTTATTCTCGTGTTTCTGGAAGCAATTATTTTACTGAGGGTGCTCTTATTTACGAATCAAATAGGAATGTTATGAACAATGGGCGTAGGCAGAATGAAGTACCTTGCATTTTTATGGAATGTTTGTTGATTGGAAGTGCATGAAGTGGGAGTGTGATATAACTATGTTTACAAAAAAAAAATTATCAAGCTTTATAAACGATTATTCCAAATATTTTGCATTTCGCCAAAATTTAAACCACAGTACGAAAGAAAATATGCTTGTTTACCATGGTCTGTCACTTATCAACTACATACAGATTGATAGAATGGTGTTTGTTTGAATCAAGAAAGTTTCACCAAAAGCATCGATACATCCGCAATAAAGTTGGAGGACTGGGTCCATAAGAGAGGCGCTATCGTACAAGAGAGATGCAAGCAGAGGCTGGTAGTAGTGGTGCTTTAGATACAAAGAAAGCGTTGCAACAGATATCCACGGTGGAAGTGTGTATGTTCTTTCTCTCTTTTTGACGCCGAGTTTCATCTGCAATATTGTCATGAAAAATCTTACGATGATCACCCGTAGCTGTCCGGGTTTCCAACATAACAATATAGCATACAAACACAAGTATTTGTTGAAGCGTGATACTCCGTGTTTTTGCTATTTACGAAGGCAAACATAAATATTATACCTATTTCTTTCTTTTGTTTTTTTGTTTTTTCATTAACCTTAAATTTGATGGTTTCATTTCATCCTACTTTTACCAACATCCCACAACAATCCCTTAGTAGCCCAAGCATTACGATAACTAAAGGCGCTCCTCCCGCCGCTCCAAACAACACTCTCGCAGTATCGGACAGTCTGATTTTTACTATCGACAACTTCACACAACAGCAATTTGCTTTGACCGAAGCCGAGACCAAAGAAGCGGTCAGAATCGCTCACTTGCTTAACTCTTGTCTGAATTTTTCTTGCAATCTACATATCAAATTCTAATTTTACAACACAAAGAAGGCAATACATTTTTCCCCCTCTGCCTAAAAATCCAACGCAAAGCAGTCCGTAAGTGGGCAGATAAACAGCTGATGATAACATCAAGAATAAGCTATTCCATTTATCTAAGCATGGATGGCTAAAGCAATTTAAATTTGTTTATCTTGGAAAAGTGTGTGACATACTGAATGCTACTGTGTATGGTCACCTCATCATTTTATCGTTGCCTTCTACACGTGTTTCATTTTCTTTGGATGCGCTAATGTAACTACTTTCAACTTGTTCATATTCGCTGTAGTTTGAAAGCAGCTTGATGGCATGTTGTTTCATTGGTTTGCTAGGTTCATCGTATGTTTGTAAATTCCTCCATGCCAGAAGGAATAGGGATTGCCGTTTTCGAATCTCGTGAGTCAACAGATCCTCTTTTGAAATGTTGTTGAAGGCCATTGTCACATGTTGTTGTTGGTATATTGTGTGGACATTCTAGAAAAGGTAACCTACTTAAGTGGCTATAGACTGAAAAGTATGAGACTCAGCAGGGCGCCAACTTATCGGAAAAGAACTGCAGATACCGTGTCACTCATTTAAATTACGGTTACCTTTGTGCTTTAAAGTGACATTTTATTTATCTGTACTACTACCGATCCGGTAAAGGAAGCAATGGGCTTTGTTTTGGAGTTTTGCTAAAGTTGGATCCTAAAATGATACTTAGTAAAGACAATGAAAGATAAGAATAGAAATACACACAAAAGAAGATTGGATGTAGGCATGAAACCGATAGGATGGACGGACCTCTTAAGGTCAACGTCATTTGAGCATTGCACAGGAGTTGCATGACTTTACCACGCTTTTTTGTTTGTAAAAGAATTGTTTGCATGAAAAGGGATGACTTTATGTTTACTTCACACGCGTGTATGTTTCCTTTTTGCATTAAATTACCGGAAAATGAGGTCCAACCACCTCTGTATGAGAACTTTGCAGGGTCGACATAAAATGGTGTCTTTATTTGACCAGCTGACGATTAAAAAGAGGTAATAGCATGGATTGACCACACTTCCGAATAAAAAGAAGGTTGTTCAATAATCACCCGATTAAATAAAGTACCGCTTAAATATTTAGAGAGAGAAAATTTTTCTTTGGCTGGTTAAATGAGGGACGCTAAGGGAGACACCGGGTTTAGGACTTTATTTAGCACACGTTGGCTAGGATACAAAGGGGGGAAAATGCGGGGTTGTATCAGCAACCAGATCCAATCATTCGTGGAAACACTAAGTAAGGTATAAAAATGAAGAAAAAATTTTCTTGTGCCTTTTTTTTTATTTTCCTTACCTTTCTCTCTCTCTTTTTTTTAAACTATGATGGAATATCAGCCTATCAGTCACCCATATAACTCATCTTGTGGCTATTGCCATGACCATGAAGAATCATATATATTTGGAGAAGATTCAATTAGCTGTTCACCAGTTTTTGAAAGCTGCTCCGTTCGATTTGAACAAGAACCGTTCCGTTACAATTATTTATTAAATTTGATGACAGCGCCTGATATGAATGCCTACTTATCAGTAGCTAGTTTTAATGATGATATATATGCTTTACCGATCCATTTACAGCGTCTCATAAGTGAAGCAAGAGAAGAAATACTTTTATCGAAAAATAAGAATTACACTGAAAAGTCTGCTCAGTTACGTCTAGAACGAGTTAGAAACCTCGTCTGGCAACGTTCCGCTGGTGACTTTTCGATACTAATGAACACACTTGTTGAATTGGTTTCTGATGAAGACGAATTAGAAGATCTCTTGAGAATCTAACTTGCACTAAACACACTTACTCACACACACACACACACACATATATCCCCCCTTTTTTTATTTTATACATATTCAATAAAAAAAATTTATTTCGTTTTTCGTTCTGCCCGTATCTTTCCTTCCGAGTTTCCAGCTGAGCTTGATCTACACTGACCTTTCATCCAATTGTTCAATTCTTGGAAATTATATGAATTGGACTTATAAAACATGTGGAGAAACCCACCCAATAATGGCACGAGGCTCAAAAGAAAAGCAATCACGATATTCAACACCATGCGCATCAATAACCAGATAGGAATACCCAATGTCGTAGATAAATAAACTACATTTTTTTTTTTCGCGTTCAATATGCTACACAGACATTTCTTAAAATAGACAACTTACTCTGATAAACTGATAAAATAGAACCCATCGTGCCACCAATAAATGGAACAAATCCCTATATTAAAAAAAGTTTAAAATCTCACAATTATTTTTAAATTTTTATTTTTATTTCCAGGTCTTTTACCAGTACTGAGCCGATACCGATAGGAATAGGACTCCAAGGAAAGATATTATCTAAACCATTAGAAATATCTTTGATTGTCTTCAAGCGCTTTTCCTTTTCATCCGTAGACATGTCTGGAGAAGGTAAACTGCGTTCCAAGTAAGGAAATTGTTTTTCTGCATGGTTCACTTGTTGCACTCCTATTTGTCTTGCCTTTTCAGCCATTTGTGGCACATGCAACCCTTTACCGATTTTCTCTTTCACGTAATTCATTATATTAATTTTTGAGTGATAAATAAATTAAGAAAAAAAAAAGATAACGAAGAAAACCTTTATATTTTTATTATGGATGGTAGGGGTTTTAGGTTTCAAGCATCCTCCTTTGTCTCAACCTGATCAATTTCACGTTCTACTAATCGAGCACGACGACACCACCTTCTTCTTCTGGTAAATGTCTGAATGCCTGGTAATCCACTCATTTGTTTCCATGCATTGTTGCCATACTCCCAACCATTATGGTCAATCTTTCCCGCCAACTCTCCCGTCATATCAACCCACCAATCTCCATCTGCCCAGCTCCAAACCTTGTTGGTAGTACGCTTAATAATCTCATTGTTTACAGTATGGGTGCTAGTCTTGACTGTGGACTCGGGCAATTTAAATTCCTCTTTGGCGGGTATAGGCTTTAATTGATTATCTGTCCAAGGACTTCGTTCACTGGGCATCATATTGGTTGTCCAGTTGACACCTAACCACCATCTTTGATTCTCAAACACCTCAAATTGAAAAATCATTTCATTGCGCTTCCCTGTTGAAGCATCTGAATCAGCGTCTGTTTCAATTACCTGTAATGCTCTTGATTTCTCTGATTTTGCCCTTGACAAGACAGAATAGAGCCAGTTTTTGACAAGTGTTGTTTTTTTGACGGATTTTTGAGGCCAAGAGAAATGGCCAAGGGTTGTAGTGATGAGAGCAACACCGTATGCCCAGGTAGCGGCCAAGACATGTTTCAAAATGATGTTTCTGCGCATAGCAAAGACAATGGTATTAAACCAAGGAGAAGGGCTGATTAATAAGACAGTACCTACAATGGCCAATATCATATGTGCACCCAGCATCCAGTTGAGGACAATCCAAATAGGCCAAGTGTATAATAATATACTCAAAACCGAAATCACCGTATCACTCTTGGATCCATCCAAATGAATCCACACCCGCTTCAGATTCAAGACAACATGATCGATAAAACTATTGACGACGGCTAAATCCTGTAAGGTATCGTCCAGCGATACTTGTCCCTCTGGTCTGATCTTTCTCGAGATCAATTCATCCTCTTCCTCCTTCTGTTGCTGAAGTCGGGTTACTTCATCATCTTCCTCGTCATGGTATCTGTCTCGCTTGATCTTTTCCTCTCGTCGTTGACGTTGTTCAGCACGCGCCTTCTCCATTGCTTCTCGGCGTGATTTACTCGTCTTGACCGAAAGCCAGTCTCTACCCAACTTGTATAATATAAGCATGGGAAGTCCAAACGCAAGTAGTTGCCATGTCCATAAACAACTCATAATCCATAAAAGTACCATCAGCACAGATTGACGGGGCTGACTTGTTCGCCACATGAGAATATCAATGAGCTGTGAGGTGCATTGTAAAGTAGGTCCCAGCACCACCAACAGTTTTAACAGCGGAATTGGTATTTGGTCCAACGTCTGTACAGTGTGGGGTGAAGAAAAACTGAGTATCTCATTCTCTCCCTTGTTACCTGCAGGTGCAGTACTTGATCGCTCAACGGATTTCGCCATGGGTTGATTAGAAAGCAAAAGAGAAAATAATAATAAAAAAAAAAAGGCGAAAGAGAGTCTGTTTATGTATAGAAACCTTAATATTCACATGCGAAAAAGTTTATCATTACGTCACGAAATAAACATGTATTAATCATAAACAGCAATTGCCAAGTGGATTTTCACGTAATGTTGAAGAATATAGGTAACTTATACTAGCGGATAACATGTTTTCAATTGACCATCATAAATGATTATATACACCCTTTTTTTTTTCTTTTTTCGCAGTGCATTCATTTGAAACTATTTGTGTGACAGCGGCATGGAATCCTTATTTTTTAAGTTTATGTAATAGTATTGGAGCTTTTCGTATAAAGTTGCTTCACTCTAGCAAGTATTCGTTTTTTAAGTGCTTGATCTAGTAACGTTCGTAGCTCGCCCAGTTATAAACCAACCGTGGTTATTTGAACATTAGAGCCGTATATAGACTAATAGTGTAAGTTTCATTCATATACTTGATCATGCAGTTAAATATTATACAGTCAAAAGTCACATTTAGAGAATATCAAAAGACCGTTTGATACAAAGCTGATAGCTGCTACAGTGGAATTTCGTGCTGTAAAATGTTTTGTTACACATCTAATACGACATGGAATTTGGTTATTGTGACTAATTTTTATCAGTAATGGATTAAAAAAACTCATGCAAGTATCGGAAACTATTGCTGATATAAAGTGTAGAAACGTACATTACTACGGATACCAGTTGTAGATGATGTATTTCTATCCGGTGCGCAGACTTTTCTCGTTCAAATAAAGGTTTATGTCCTTATTCAATGAATCCAACAATCATATCTTTATTATGCAAACCGATTCTTTTTTTATCATTTTTTACTAAATAAAAGATGAGAAATTTCCCCCGCATTGTTTCTTATGTCTATTATGTACATATATCCATGCGTTTAAAAGCTTCTGTGCACGGTTTGTACTCCAAAACATTGAGCGTACATAATTGTACTAGGCTCAATAGTCTCGATCCTGGCTTCAGACACCAGTCTGAAATGATGGGAAAAAAATAACTTTAATGATATAATAAAATGATCTAAATGTTGGAATTAAAAGTGTGTGAAAAAAGGGGGAGATGAGCCTATTTTGTTGGATGTGTGCCTAAATGGCAGTCGCGCATAAATAGTGCTGCTAAAAAGCACAAGACAGAGCATGCAACACCATACGCAAAAGCAGAATGGATAGCTTGTGCCAAAGAGGATATAATCACCACTTGCATTTCTGGAGCTAATGTACGAATTTTAGTGATGGATGTACGCACAAACTCAATAATATCTGCTGCCTCCGGTCCGGTGATGGTTCGATTTAAATTTGATTTGAAGCTGGATTGTAAGATAGCTGCAGTCACTGAGCTACCGGATAACCAGCCGAAGGAGCGACACAGGAAGATCATGGAGGTAGCGGAAGCAGTTTCAGAGTGTGGTACGTCAGCGACAAGCGCAACCATGGTAGCTACCAGGACAACGCCGAAGCAGAAACCTTCAGCCACCATACATAAAAGTCGAAATGGAATGGGTGTCTCAAGCGCCCAGGTATACGTTCCAAAAGCAGCCGTCACTTGTAATGCAATGATGCTCACAAGGAATTTTTTGTATCTACCAGTGGCGCCCAAATATCGACCCGCGGTCCAACAACCAAATGCAACCATTGCAGTACGAGGCAGAACCCACATACCCGCTGATGAAGCATTGTATCCTAAAACACCCTATTTTATGTATATGTGAATTAGAACATCTAGTCTTTTTTTTTATCACTGAATACCACTTACCATAAAGTATTGCGGGATCAAGTAGGTAAAGGTCATGGTTGAAGAGCATAAGAACAAATTACACAGACAAACTGCAACCACATTGCGGTTTTTGATCAGTGTACGAGATACCAAGGGGTGTTTAGCCCAATTAAATTCAAAGACTCCGAAAATTGAAAAGAACGTAATGGCTGTGGTTAAGAGTGTGATGATGAGAGGGTCATCCCATGCGTGGGTATTGCCACCTAAAGAAACACCGGTAACAAATGAAGCGTTTGCTATCAGCAAAAAGCCTGCACCCACAAAGTCAATGCGTTCGAGCTTCTCATGAAGGTTGTCCGTAGCATTGGATCCCTTGGCCAAATTGTAATTTTCCAGCTTATTGATATAAATATAAAGGATAAATAAACAAGGTGGAACATTGATATAAAAGCAATAACGCCATCCAATGTAGTCATTGATAAATCCGCCCAAAGGCGCACCAATGGTTGTACCAACCTTAAAACCTTGTATTAATAATTTTTTACATCTCTTTGTTGGTACTACCCAAAATTTTACAGATTTCCACTTACTGTTTGTGCCATATTGACATATGATTGGTATCTTCCTCGATCTCTCATGGGAATTAAATCGTGAATTACAACAGACGCCATGGTCATCAGTCCACCACCACCCAAACCGGCAATGGCACGTGCAATACTCAATTGTACCATTGATCCGGCAAGCCCGCAGAGCCATGATCCGACGAGAAAAAAACAAAGAATAGCAACAAGTGTTGATTTACGACCGAAAATGTCTGAAAGTTTACCGTCTATAAAGGGGCAAGTTAGGATATAAAAATCAAAAGCAGGGATTGAGGGGCTTACATAAAGGTTGAAGAGCCGAAGTACTCAACATGTACGATGTCATAATCCATACTGAAAGATTGGAACTAAACAAAGAAAGAGTGTAAGGATAGGCGAGGGAAACCAAAGGGATTGAGAATTTTACCTTTGAAACTCTGTACCTATTTCATTGAAAATAGTGGCAACAATAGACGTATCTACAGCAGCCAAAAACCCACTTGTACAAAGACTAATTTTCTGTTTAAATCTCCAATTTTTTTTTAAAAAAAGATCTAGATTTGAATCTTACCATAAGGTAACCATGGTTAAAGACACTTGACCCAATCTGTGCTTGATAAGATATTCAGCATCATGCTCGTCGATGGTGGTCGTGCTACTATCGCTACTGGCAAGATATTCTTCATCAACAGCCTTGGTATTATAAACCCTTTCGGTAGCACCCTTTAAAAGAGGATCACCTTCACGATTTACCATGATGTATGGAGAGGAAGAAAAGAGGATAAGGAGACTCAAATTTCTGTGAAAAAATTCAACATTCTTTAAAGGCATGAACTGAATTTGAAATTCAGTCGTGTAACATCTATTGCGTTTTTGAACACTCAATTGCGCAACTCCATAATTGCAACATTGCGTGCAACATTGCGTGCAATATACAGCACAGATATTTTGATAGGCATCATTAGATCTGTTCAAGAAAATGTGGGGGGAAACTGACTAACCGAGATGGCATTTGGCATTAATGTAGTGAGGTATGGCGGCGGCTGAATTGGGCATTAAAACGGTTTTCTTAGTTCTATGTCCAGATTCTTTCAAGACATGGACTTTTGTAGACTTATATTACCACATGTTTTAATATTATGAGTTTTTGTTTCTACTAATTCTTCTACGGTAAAATGCTAATGCGAAACTTTATCACTGGTATCTGAAACTAAAGAATGCACGGGCTAACACAAAAACTGGGCGTTTTCTGATTCGCTTTATTAGTGGTTTTTTAATTAGATTTAATTTTCATATTTACAGACATATCCAGAATTCTTTATCCGAGTCCTCACAAATGTTCCTTTGCATAATGTCCAGAAATTTCTTGTCAGTATGTCTCTTCTGGAGAAAAATCAGCTTCCTCTTGGGGACTTACATAATGTTCGTATAAATAGCCAACTAGCATTGACTTACGTCTACACCTACTTTTTTTTTCTGGAAAATGCGGATTACTTGGCTTCCTCTCCTGTAAACACGTATACAAAGAACACCAGCTATAAATAGTCTTACCTGATGAGATATCATTTTAATATAGAAAATATCGGTTTACTATCTTGATGTTTTCTATCGACCAAACAAGCTATCAACATCTTCAAAGGAGCTCCCTTTCTCGAAAGTGTTCTTTTAAAGAAGAAAATCCAGGGAGATGAAAAGTATCTTTAAATATAATAAAAGACACGATTGATAAACCAGTTTATATTCATGCAAAACAGAGTTATATGTAGACAAGAGCTAATTTTATCTACTGGATATATTTTATTCACGTATACGTATAAATCGCTCACCAAATCTGATGTGTAGAATAATGAGCCTTTAAGAAGCCTGTAATCCCATCCCACAGAGACCCCGTCAGTCTCTTCGAAAAGTATGTGCAACTTCATTCTCGCCTGTTTGTTTCGATTAAAAGAAGCGTTATTGATTTAAAACCGAGAGATGAGCGTCATCTTCGAATTTAACGCTTTAAAAGAAGAACTTACTTTTTATTAAGAACAAATGTAAAAAGTTTGATGACTTTATGAATTTGTACTCATGTGTGACATTTTATCCCCGTGTTTGTTCAATAATACTTTAATTCACAGTTTTATAAAGAATTAGCTGTAAAATATAATTTTGCTGTCGGGTGATGAACATGCTGTGCTTCACTTTGATGGAGACAATAAATATTTGCATCGAGTAGCAGTAATTTGATGATTTATGTAACATTCAGATCCATCACGGGATGTTCTATGCTCATATATAATGTCAGTAGGGATATTTAAGTTACTACCAGCAAAATAAATAAAAGGGAGGAGGATCCAATCAAGATTGAAATATTGGATTTGTAGCCATAATTTTTATAGCCAAATAGGAGTTTAAAAATATTGAACACACACGACATTCACAAACCATGACAAAACATCAATCAGATATGGTGATAATCCCTTCCTCCTTTATGGTATATGATAGTTTTCAAAAATAGAATTTCAAGTTCAATCAACTGATGACATCTTGTGATATCCTAACAAAAAACAACAACAAAAGCAGCAAAACGGATTGACATAGTTTACAAATTCCCAAATAAACGACTTTCGCTTTTTGACAATGCAATGGTGTAAGAACGCCTCCTTTAGGATCAAGATAATGCGCACATGTGTGTCCTAGAGCTACTAGGAGACAGACGTAGATCTCCCTCTTCTTGCCCCTTTTGCCGCTGACCCTGTCTCTCGGGTTTCGAGATGCAGACAACTGCACGAATAAAGTTCGCATCTGTTTAAATTGTTCCTTTCGAGATCATTCAATTGGAACAAATGGTTCAATCACCAATAGATCGATATACCTGTGACGTTTAAATTAAAAAAGGATCGTCTTGGTGCTGACCGCTGTATGACATGATTGAATTTGTGTGCAAATCGGAGATTGTGTACGTGTAGCGTTTCATTTGATGTATGTTACTCAAAGCCCTTTGAAATGTATTTCACCCGTCTTTTCTTGTTAATTCCTTCAAAATAAACCAAAGTCCATCGTAAAATGCACTACTGTGACGATATATTATGTAAAAATCTTATTTAATTGTAAATCCAAACCACCGAGAAATTTGAAATCTCGACCTGTATTTTTTATTGCTTAAACAAATTTACTGCACTTCGTCATATCTTGTTTGTTTGTTGTTTGTTTAAACAAAAACCAAATATAATTAAAGAGCATTCATCACAAGATAAAATGAGTGTCACTCCTATTTTGGGTTTGACATATTAACCACTACCTTGGGATAAACGCGATACCAGAGCTAGTAAGGACAATCTCTGGCATTAAATTTAATACTCGCCTGATATTGTGTAATGAAAATTATAAGATGTAAAAGACGATACGTAAGACTAATATTTGTTATCAACTACTCCTACCCCCTATCAGAAAAATATTGTGATTCGAAACATCTTTTTTCTAATCAATGCAAGAGGTGTAAGCATAGTATAATCCTAAAAGAGCAGGCTATGATGATATATCGGAGACGTAAAAAGCATGCTAAAAAAAATGATGTTTGAATACAAAAATGTGACTTTTGATAAGGGATTAGACACTATATATATAAGCACATTATTTTTTCCATGCCCCCTCTTTTATTTTTAAACAACATACAAAAAAATGTCCCCAAGGTGGAAATCAGATGCAACATTTGAAGATAAAAATTCGGCCGTAGCTGCTGATGAACAAGACCCTTTGATCTCGATTAGAGACCGTCAACAATACAATTCGATAGGTTCATCAAGTTCTATTCAGAAAAACAGACATAATGGTAAGTCATTTCTTTTTTTTTAAAATATTATTAAGTAATACGTATTATTGTTATCCTATTGCATTAAAATTAATTCCAACCCATCTACCCGTCTGTCTGTCTAAATCCCACTATTTAATTCGAAAAAAAAATGTATATATATTCCTCTTCATCTTTCTTTTACACAATTTTCTTTTCCTAATATTTTCATTCCTTACACACACACACACACACACACACACACAATGTCATCTACCCGTTCTTCCTTTACTGCTGTGCATACCATTTCCCAAGAATATCTATCTAATAGTGATAACAATAATACCACACTTGATATAGAACAGAAACCAGCGCCTGTGAAACCGCACTCGTTAACATTCTATAATCATACAGATGAGCTCAGTACTGCTCCCAAAACTCGTTGTGATACGCTTGTATCACATCTCCGGTCCTTCAGAGTCAAAGTATGTGTCGTGCGTTTTTTGTGCACAAAAATTTCTTTTTTCTAATTTCTATATATATTTTTTTTGTCATATAGCACAGAGAATTTTTAGCCGAATTTATTGGTACTATGATCCTTATCTTGTTAACTTGTGGTATCTCTGCAGAAGAAACATTGAGCATAAGTACCCACAAGTCTTGGTTAACATCATCTTTGGGATCTGGTAAATATTTACAATTTAAACTTTACCTGTTCTCTTTATTCACGTTTTCTGTTAATGTAGGTCTTTCGGTACTTGTCGCTGTTTGCATAGCCGGTCATGTATCAGTACGTATTATTAAAAAATCGCCATCTATGATCTGGATTGCATGAGGGTAGAAAACTATATTTAGAACTTGTTATAATTATAGTCTCCCTTTCTTTCTTACCCCTGACGATCTTTTTTTTTTCCACTTATACTGACAAACATCTTTTTTATTAGGGTGCACATATCAATCCTGCTGTCACAATTACTTTCTGGGCTTTTAGCGGATTTCCAACTCGTAAGGTCCCAGTTTATATTGCTGCCCAATTTACTGGAGCTTTTGCAGGTGCAGCATTATTATACACGATTATTGAACCCGCGGTATCACAATTTGATCACGGCCAACGTCAGATCTTGGGTGAGTTCGGTACAGCCGGTATTTTCGGAACATACCCACCCTTGTATGTAGGGATCGGATCAGCTGTTGCCTCTGAAGTGATTGGTACAGCACTTTTACTGCTTGTTGTGATGGTATCCGGTCATCCTAACAATTTGCCTTTCCGTACGGCTCAAGGTGTCATGATCGCTGCAGGTGTGATGACAATTTGTCTAGGTTTGGGTTATACTTCTGGATTCTCCATCAACCCTGCCCGTGATTTTGGACCCCGTTTATTTACAGCGGTTGCCGGCTGGGGTATGGACGTATTTACTGTGCATCATTACTACGCATTTGTGCCTATGCTCGCTCCTATTCTTGGTGGTCTCATTGGTGGTCTCGTCTTCACCGCCTTTATCGATTAGTCCAAACCAGATACCTTTTCTTATCAATAAATTATTCCCTGTCTTTTTACAAACAATATGACATGTTCCAAGAATGTATTCGGATTCTGCTGTTAATAGATAGAAAAGTAGAAATCCGAGCACATGATTATTATACGGGTCCAGAGATTTGGAAGTCGGCTTTTGTAAATACTATTGATATCTACAGAAATCCATATAATATAGTCATAGATCTAGCCAACAAAATGTAAACAAAGCGCAATCCGTATAGATGTTTAAAAAAGTACCGAAAATGTTTGAGATCGATGGGTAATTCAAATTGACCGCTAATAAAAAGCGGGATCTATTAGATTATGCAGTATCCCAAGAATAGGTTCTCTATTTTCGTATTCTTGACAAAGATAGTACTCAGCATCGATATAAATAATTACATAGAGACATTGCATGTTACAACATGTGTCGGTTTTAAGAAAGTAGTCTACTCGCAGGTACTTTCACCATTTAAATTTTACATAGATGGATTTATTATCGAAGCTTAACATATTATTGACAAGCCTGATATTACCCATGACAAGCACTCCTTGCAATATGTAGTGTTGCAATTTGGAAGCTTAAGCATTACGATGTCTTCTGGGTAACATACTAAAGTTGATACCGCTTGCAGTACATCTTCTAATGGTAAAATTATTAGACCAACTTTGACGACCTTGTCACAATTATAAAGTCTTATGTATTTTGTCTTCTCGCTATAATTAATGTTTGTTGATAAAATGATGTAAGACTTGACTTAAATCAAATTGACTGATGTCTACTAATTAAACTGCAAAATGACTGTTAAATAAAGAAGGTACTTCTTGCTTTGTATCTTTGTACGCCTATTTAAAATTTAATAAGTTTAACCGTTCCTAAATTGATACTAAGGTTTCGTTTCATATATGTAATAGTTAGATATCGCATTCGCGTGTATTGTAGAAACTTACAGACTTGCCAAGATATCCGCTTGCTTTAAAGTTTCATTTATCTAGGTTCTTAATTATTGTTAAGATAGGAGACTTTTATGAGACAAAGCAGCTCAAAAATGCTGCACGTACATCAGCTTGCCCCTTCCTTTCTAAAAAACGGTAATTGTTCCTGATTTTCCTCTATTTTGTACACATCATTTATGGCAAACTGTAAGGAACATCATCTCTGACGAATAAGTTTTGACAGGCGACTTATCTGATTTTTGGTTTACATTTTAGCGAGATAATATTGTATTAAATACAATATAACTGAAGTTTAATAATATTACTGGTTAATTTGAAAGTATGTTTATAAAGATTTCAGAGGAAAAGTATTTGCACATACAGTAACTAAGTGGTGTATGTAGACTGATGATTTGCATAAATATCAATTACTTCCAATTAATATCTCACTTAGGAAGGATCAATATACACCCCTTATATACATTATGTTTATTACACAAATAGTCTACAGAAATAACTTCCGGCCTTGTTATTTAATCCTATCCTGCTGCTTACATTGAAAGGCAAAATACCTGACAAAAAGGACCGTCACAATTGACTCTTCCCAAAACTGTCCTCTTTTTTTTTTTTTATTGCTTTCGTTTCTGTATACTTTGCTAAAATGAATTTTTATCAACACGCTGGTCGTATTCTCGACAAACTTGCCAGACATGAGGGTACCATCAAAGGCTTGATTATCGGCGATCCCAAAGTTTGGGACAAGAAGAAAATGTATGCCCTTGTTTGCGAGACTTTGAAATGTAAGAAGGAAACGATCTAAACTTTAGATCTCGAAGAGATCATTTGAAACAATTGATTGACATTTTACTATTCTAGATAAGCAAGTTTTAAATGAGCTCATTGACAAGTCTAAAATTTGTGAAGTTGAAAAGAAGGTACGTTTTGACGTTTTGCTTATTTTTTATGCATTTTTTGACCTTTGTATGTTTAGTTAAAAAGATCGCTTGCTCTTGTTTTGATTCACGATTTGATGTTTACTAAAAGAGGTATCACTGTTCGCAACGATGTTCCCTTAAAGCAATGTGTCACCCGCCATCATGCTAGACTCAAGTCAGAATTAATCAAGATCAAGATTAAAAGAGGTGCTACCTCAGACGAAGATTTGGTTAGTCAAAAAGTGAAGGATGCCGGTAAGTTCAAATGATAGCAATTAGAGGATGCTTGTTCTAAAAACTTGGTTGATTAGTTCATATTCCCAGATATGCTCGTGTCAACGAACATAAGCTTACAGTTGGTAAGGCTATCAAGAGTTTCCAGAACGAAGGCTATACTCTTATCGATTGCCCTGAAGATCTGCGTGAATTAAAGTGAGTAAAGACTAAGGGCCGATTTCATAAATGTAAAAGTTTCGATAACTTATAATTACGCAGGCCTAAAGAATTCTGTGTCGATCGTCATTTGCGCGATATGCTTATTTTCCACCAAAAAACAGATTTCCATGCTCATCCTTTGTACGTTAATGGCAACATTATTTTGCAGGTAATTCATATTTGAGGCTCAAATTATATAGGTTCCTTATTTTTTTTTTTTTTTTTTTGTATTAAAGGATAAAGCCTCTTGTTTCCCCGCACATGTTTGTAATCCAGCAAAAGGTGCACATGCTATTGATGCTTGTGCTGCTCCAGGAAACAAAACTTCTCACCTTTCTGCATTGATGAAGAACTCTGGAAAGATTTGGGCTTTTGATTTGGATTCTCGTAGATTAGATTTGTTAAAGAGATTGACCAATAAGGCTGGATGTAAAAGTAAGTGGTTATATACTTTATCAGAAATTGGAGAACTAAACATCTATTACAGATATCAACCCTATCCATGGATCCTTCCTTGAGACTGATCCTAATGATGCTCAATATGCCCAAGTTGAATACCTCCTTTTGGATCCTTCCTGCTCCGGATCAGGTATCATTAGTAGATTAGACCATCTTGTTGATGATGATGATGAAGCAGAAAGTAAGATTAGGCAGTGGTGATATATGGGTGCACATGTTAACAATATTTTGCATAGAGGATGGGAAAGACGCTGATGGTAAAACTCAAGAGGAAAGATTACAAAATCTTGCCGATTTCCAAATATCTATTATCCAACATGCCCTCAAATGTAAGTGCAAGGAAAGTGTTTTATATAATCCTATGTTCTAATCAATGCGAACAAAGTTCCTAGCGCAAAACGTGTCGTTTACTCTACATGTTCAATCCACCCAGAGGAAAACGAACATGTTGTAAGAACTATTTTGAAGAGAAACCTAGACTTTGAATTAGCTCCTCGTGACACTGTCTTACCTACTTGGGAAAGAAGAGGTATCCCCGAAGAAATCAATGGTGACAAAGGTAAACGAACAAAAAAAAAAAAAAAAAAAAAAAAAAAGAGAGAACAATATTTAACCGATCTTGACTTAGATCTTGCCAATCGTCTTGTTCGCACAGTGCCAGCAGAAGATTTGACTAATGGCTTTTTTGTTGCGTGCTTTATTAAAAAATCACCCAGCGAACAAGGTGAAAAGAGACCTTTAGAAGAAAATGCTAACGTAGAATCTTCTTCAAGTAATCCTTCAAAGAAAAAGAAGAAGAACAATAAGAAGAAGAAGACTGCATTAACACAATAAATTGATTAAAAAAAGCTACACTTTGTTCTTGTGACATTATGAAAATATTATCGTATGTTGAATTATTTGAATTTTTCAGTTCCAAATCAAGACTTTTTTCTTGGCATTATATTTTCTTTAGTTTTAAGAGTTAGTTATCAACTCAGTTTTAAAATATATTATAATCGACCTGTCATTATCCGAATAAAATAACAACTTTCACATTGTTCGAGACACATTTTTCCGGTAATTGCACGATAAAGTAATACTATTACTGGTAGATATCACACATGTAACACGTTTGTGTGCATACTTTTATCGAGATGGTAATCAGATGTACTTTTAATTGATTTAAATACTCAAGCTTTGCAATCCTAATGTTTACACGTAATTTTAATGTAATTTTAATGATCGGTGGGGGTATGATCCAGGTAAACCTCATTTTTTAAAACAGCACTATTTTCAGGGTTTTGGAGATAAAAACGGAAAGGCGGGGAACCACACGCCGATTTTGAAAAAGTTATCTGATTTTTTTGTCGGATCAACCCAAAGAATTAGTCTAAAAAAAGGAAATTAGATCTGATTACAGAAATATCCATTTTTACACAGAAATTGGGTTAGTATTACCTTTCATAGCCAAACTTGAGATTAAAAAACAGCGCCGCATCAATCGTAAGATACCAGTATAATTCATATTTCACGAAAAATATACGCTTCATTTATACTACATGGCATTTTAAAATCACGTCAGATTAAAACATTCTGTTAAAACAAACAAGGATGTGAAATTTTGACATTTAATCTTTGTTTTCTTTATAGAATGATATGTTAAGCGATGTGGGTAAAACGATTGCCCGCAACTCTTTAAGTAACACGGCAATTCCTAATACTGATAATTACACCATTAATTCAACTACAATCGTAAAAGAACAGATCCATTTAGTTCCGAGTATATTTCTGTACTACACCTAGTGACATCTGATTCGTACCAAAAAAACGCCGTTAGAATACGAACATGACATTATACCTTTAGTGGCTATAAACGGTTTACATTTTTTCTATTTATTTTATGTGTATACGATTCGAACGATATTTATAAATGCACAGTTTCGTATCAGTTGTACTGTAAAACAGTAAGTAAGTGGATCGATTTTATTCTTTGTTTGTGCAATAGACTTATCAGATCTAACATTTGATAATCAAACAATTAATATCAGAAGATTCTCCGTTTGAGTACAGTGTAGTAACGCGAAAAAAAAAGTTGGGAATGTATTGTACAATGAGGACCTCGAATTGAAATCATACAATTAAAAATCTTTGACTTTGAATAAAATCGATTCATAGAATGATCTGACTATTCCAATGTACCACTGGTATTTATCCAGACCTACTCTCACAATCTAAATCGCTAATTGTCACTTATTTTATCTGATTCTTCGTTAATAAAAGTCGAACAGACTGTATGATTTTGTTTGCGATCCTACATTGATCAAATATGTAGCGTATACTTGTAAAGTACTATCGCAATGGCTTCACAAAAGAGAAGCTTCGGGATTACAATCGGTTATCATTCTGGGTCATTCCTACTAGCACGCTTTTAGAGTATCCCTTTTTTTTTTTTTTTTTTTTTTTTTTTTTTAGTGCTCCACATCTACCATGCTGTGAAACAATCTGGTAATTTTTTTCTTTGTAATTGGATCGCCAATAACTGACTGTCCGGATATTTCTCTGTTTTAGGAGTATAAATACGTATAAGAGATACTGGCTGTCTTTTAGTTTTCTTTTTCTCTTTGTAATTATTAGTATTGAAAAATGGCATACACCGTCAGAGTAGGAACAAACTTTGTAGTGGGGTATATGTATACCGTCTTCTTCTGGGCTTTATTTATGCTCTATTGTATCTTTTATCAATTGAACAAACTCAGAGTCTATCACATCAGAAAGCAAAGAATCGCTGGTAATGACACCAAGGTTGTTACTGATCTACCCGGAACAAAGTTTTTCGCAAAATTAGATCGTGTTGTGCGCATTCCCTACTGCACTGAAATGATTTCTATCAAAGATATCATTGGCGTCTCTTTATTTGTCTTTGTTAATGCTATCTTTAGTTTGTTTGCTCCTTTCTCATATGTTAAAGGCGAAGAATTTGTTTTGGCAGCCTCTGGCTACATGGATCGTCGTGTTTCTTTCATTGGTATGGCCAACTGGGGTTTCGTGTTCTTCCTTGCTCAAAGAAACTCTCTTTTGACAATGTTATGTGGTTGGACCGTTGAAGAACTTCTTCCTATGCATCGTATTATTGCTCGTATTGGTCTTCTCGAATTCATTCCCCATTTCGTTTTGCGTATGTAAGTATAAAAAAAAACTTACATGTAAATAATACCGAACATTTTATTAACTCTTTATGTTCAGTGTACAAGGTTACCAAAGAAATGGTATCCCAATGGAAGCTCTCTTCAAAGATGCTGAATACACCTCTGGTACCATCTCCATGTTTGGCTTTTTCCTCATGTTCCTCACTTCATTTGAATATGTCCGTCGTAACTACTTCGAAGTGTTTTACTACTGTCACATTATTTTCATGATCATTGGTATGGCTTTTGGTTGCTGGCACGAAACCACTTGTTTCGTCTTCATGTTCCCCGCTCTTGGTATCTGGTTCTTCGATCGTGTCTACCGTTCCTACAATAGTTGGGGTTTGAAGACTACCAATGTTCGCGTTGATACCGTTGCTCCTACCACCGCCAACCAAGAGGGTATTGTCAGAGTTTTGTTCGAAAACGGCAACATGTCCAGATTCAAGCCCGGTCAATATGTTTACGTCATTATGGCCAAGAGTGGTCGCAAGTTCTTAAAGTACGCTAACTGGCATCCTTATACTATCTCTGAAATCTTCCGTGTAAAGAATAATGCTGACGGTGGTGTTGAAGAACGTATTATTGAAAACGCTGTTAACGAAAAGGGTGGAAAGGGTGAAAAGACAGCTGTCGAATCTCTTGATATGGTCTCTATGTCTGATACTTCTAGTCTCCGTCGTCGTGCAAACGGTCTCCATAGTGATGGTACTTCTACTGTTGCTTCTTTCCATTTGAAGGCTCTTGGTAAAAAGACTGATGGTCTCTTAAACTATGCTACTGCCAATCAAGAAATCAAGGTCATTGTTGACGGTCCCTACGGTCCTCATCTCGATTATCAAGATTACCAAGTTCTTGCCTTGTTCGGTACTGGTATTGGTGTCACCCCTGCTTTAGCCGTTATTAAGGACGTGATAGAAAGAAGATGTAGCGGTGTTCGTACTGTCGCTGTTGAACACATCTATCTTACCTGGGCTATCAAAAATACTGGTAAGTTTTACTTTTTTAAAATACTACACATTTTACATTTATTCTAATCTACTGCATAACAGAGGAAATTATTCCCTTCAGAGATATGTTTGAGTACTGGACCGACAGACTTAAGTCATCCGTCCAACCTCTTCACTTGACCGTCACTGTGTTTATTACAAGAATGTCTGAAGGACCTGATGTCTTTGAAAGTCTCCCTGCCTTTAACATTGTTTATGGCCAAAGACCTGATGTTGGTGTTCAAATGGACAAGATTAAGACAGTCAACGCTGGTCGTAGAGTCTGGTCCCATGCCTGTGGTTCTTTTATCTTCACCAAAAACGTTATCAACGAATCAATCGCTCGTGGCTTCCACGTTCACAACGAAACCTTTGAATACTAGATTGGTTTTTTTTTTTTTTTTTTTTTGCAAAAGAAAAACCTTTTCATTACATTACCCTGAAAATATCTTGCTGTATTATATCATATTTTCATCCCTACTCCCTATAATATATTATTTCCCTACTCTTAACACCTTTCCCATTTTCTTAATGTAGATATTGATCGCATATGTACTCCCATATTTTATATATTTTTTTAATAAACTTGTACTACCTAATTTAACCCTCCAAAGTATAAACTACCTCTTTCTGCTGAGAGATATAAACATTTACATGTAATTGTAAATTGAGAGGGTAAGTAGTATTTATATTACAAATTGATACAATTTAGTAGAAATATAATCTTATTTTAAAAAAGGGGTTTTACTTCTGATCGGTGATGTTATTTTTATTCTAATATTACGACTGCGGCTAGTCTTCGCTATAAGGACCTCCTTTGATATTACTTCTAATCACAAAACTTTTTATCACGGACATTAACAAAAAAACTTGTATATATGTATTGCTTCAGTATTAAAGATTTAAAAAGAGATACTTAATAAATTTAGGTCAACTTGACTTTATTTAGACGTACGCGCAGATTTTACCTCCAATTTTAATTAAAGGTCGATTTTTAGATCTCATGCTAAGACTCGTTTGCTATGCAACTTCTGCGTAATTGCTTGCTAAAGAGTAATTCTATTTGTTCTTGCTGCTCTTACTGAAGGACTTTCAGGTACTACAATCAGAAGAAAGTTCACCACCAGCAGTAAGAGGCTCCTATTGAAAGCAAGCTGCTTATTCTGAGCTGAATAATATCCGTTTCTGTCTGCGGACGCTTAAACGTCATCGATTTTCAGAGCTATTTCATTGGGAAGGTGGTATATTGCTCTATAGTCAATAATTTTAATCAAAGAACGCTGGATCTTCTGGTTTACTCAGCTCATTATTAATCACAAAGTAAAGTCAACCTTGATATAATTATTCTCTATTGCAAGAGATGTTTTTTCTAACGAAGGGTGTACAAATAGTGAAAAATACAATCTTGGAAAAATATAAGGACTTCGAAGCGAGACAGTTGTTAGAACAAGATAAAACAGAGCCTAGAAAGCGGAAAAGGTAATTAAACAGGCACATTTTTTTTTTTCGGAAAGCCATGGTGAATGAATTGAAGAAGACGACAATACCAGATCAAAATATACCCTTCAAACTCAACCATCATTTTCACTAGGTCTTAAAACTACTGACAAGCAACTAGCTAAAATATGACAAGGTGTAAATGAAATAAAAGGCGTAGTAGTTTACCTTAGCTAAAACTACTCGAGACGTATCCATAACAAGTCAACTACGTCCAATCGAGATCAACAATGCACATTAATTTTAGATGATATTATCATTTTTCCTCCTTTCCATCGTGGTTTAGATGAGCCAAATAGATAACATATCGAAATTACCCGAGTATTTACTTTCTACTAACAGAATGTGTTCAAGGTTTAACAGATTGACTATGCAAGGATTTTCCGGAGAGCCGGCAACTAATTTTTTTCTGTGACCTATCCCCCAGATATGTCACTCGACGAGCCTAAAATTATAAACCCGCAAATTGGTACAGCACTGTCTTCTTCAACAGATCTGTTTTAATAGTATACAGCATTATAATGTATGCCTACTATAGAACGTCATGTCATAGCACAGTGAATCAAAAAATTCTTCGGGGATCAATTTCAAGCAATGATGCTTCTGATTTAGTTCTAGTCAAGGTACTTTGCTGCTCATGAAGCGTTGAATGCAAACCAGAACGCTTAGACTATTCATTTTTTTAACAGGGAAATTCCTTGGAGTGGATGACTGTGGGCACAGTTTCAGAGGCAGACCCCAATCTTTTAACGCGCCAGTTACAACAAGCAGCATTTGGAACCATTCACGATGCACAAATACTGAGATGTTCGTTTACAGATTCCGAATCCGAAGAAATAGCGATCGAAGATGAAGTTTATGAGCAAACAGCATATTCCAGACGGATAAGAAATCATTCGACGATACAGGGACAAGACGTATTGGTTGCACTTTCCGAATACGGAAAACTTATATTTATGACAATTCATAGTGAACCGGATTTAGATGTGAAACGATTTGAAACGCTTACCGAAGTAATATAGTTGGAATATCGGACTGAATATTTCACTCATACATGGCAAACATTTAGGTTTATTTGGATAGTCCCGGATTGGAGTATACTAAGATTGGCAAAAAAATGGCTGTTGATCCATAGTATGTTTAAATTATGCGTATTTTAGACACACTTGCTAGACTAACGATCACCTATTCCCCCTCTTAAAAAAAGCTCTAGAGCGATTGCAATTGCTTCGTTTCAAGACAATTTTGATATACTGATCCTGAATGAATCTATGTCCAGGATCAGATTCGATCCTATTAATGGCGTAGGCATACAAATGATTACTTGGTCGGGATTTGCTTTAACCTTGACTTTCTTAGCGTATTTCTGAATTTGAGGAAGGGGTGATTTGGCATATGGAATTTTTACATACGGAGACGACATCAATGGACAGGATTGTATTGGCTTTGATTATATACAAGTAATGGTTTTTTTTGGGTCACTCGTTGTGTAGTTTTATAGCTTACATCATCTAATAGTGATATTGAACGTGTGTGTCGTATCGTTGTTTACGTAATCGATGCGTTAAATAGCGAGAACGTTACAATTGAAAAAATTGGAAGGTTACCTTTAGAGCGAAGTGCGTACCAACCCCTCATAGAAACTAACCAGCATGAACTAAAAAGTATATAATCTAGATACTCCCCTTCCACTTTTACTTATACCACTGAAATTTCAGTATGAGACATTCGTATTGGTCACTGTGAGTTTCTACTGTTTTTAAATCGATCATGTTCTAATAAATTCATAGGAGCAACAAGTATGTTTGTTGACAACGGAAGATATTGCCTGCGGCAATGTTTTGTATCCAACAAGCGTTATTCCAAGACAATTTGGATGCTCAGAATGTAAGTGTTATAAATTGAAAAAAAAAGGAATTTATGCTTCCTTTGTTTCCTCACATTTAAAAACATATAGATCCATTATTCACTGCTTTTGCATCGCAATTGACTCCAATGGATGACTATGTTTATCTTGGATCCGCTGAAGGAATGTTATATAAACTTGTGGTACTAACTGATGGTGATATGCACTGGATCCCAATACAACAAACGAATCCTATAAGTCAATCCATGTGTATTCTTGGAACAATTAATATGATAGATCAAGATAGCCCTCATGAAGTAACGAATGCAGACATTTTATTATACGCTGGTGAAAGTGCTGACAGTCAAGTTTTAGCGGTAAAAAATAAAAATTGGTTTTACAAATCTAATTATTTATATTTTTGTTTCTTTTATGGGGGATTTTAGATACCTTCTTCGCAACAGTTAGATCAACCTGTCATTCGGCATACTGTATTACAAACATTAGTCAATCGCGCTCCACTGACTGACTTTCAAGTTGCAGATAATTTCAGAGACCACCAGGATGCTTTGATAGCATGCTCTGGACAGGACAAACAAGGCTCTCTCAGTATTATTACACATGGTATTGAAACATCAGCTTTACATGCATCCTCGCCAGAATGGAATGGGTACATAGCTTTATATATTTATGGGGGTGTTTTTTTTTTGTAAAATGGATAATTGATAATTCACTCTCTCCCCAGTGTATCACGTTTATGGAATTTGATCGCAATCACTTCAGAGACACGTACAATCCCATGCTTGCTTGCATCTTCTGCCATCGATACACGTCTCCTTTGCGCTGAAGGTAAATCTACAACAGATAAATGTTGATCTTTGTTTTTAAACAAATAAGCTTTCTGTAGATGGTCATATCAAAGATATAACTCTTGATACCAAAATTAAACATAATACAGAGACTGTTTATGCAAATACAATTAACATCAATGATCAGGATTTACTGTTACAAATCTATACAGAGGGCATTTCTATCATAGATATTTCTAAGAAAGGTAGAATGAATATGTTATTGTAATCAACTAACTTACGTATTCCGATATTAGAAAATGATAGTCTTGTATTGCAATGGAACCCAAATATTCAAAACGGATACAGAATTGAACTTGCAATATCTTGGCATGACGGTGACGATATTTTTGTAGCACTCTGTATAACGCAGCTAAATACTTTCACATTGCAAATGTTAAGTATTACAAATCAAAGTAAAGATAACATTTTAAGGTAACCTTTCTCAAAACATAAACAATACAAGTTTTTCTTTTTGGTTAGTAACACTCGAAATATCTATATCAGCCCAATTACTTTACATGTTCAAGAGATGGAAAGTTTGCCTATGCTTGCTTGTCCGAGTTATATTGGACAATTTGATATAAGGTATTTACTTGACATTTAAAATTTCTAGCCATATCAACTATTTTGACATGTATATCTAGATCACGTTCGGTACTTGTGATTGGTACATTTGATCCATCTTTACTATTTTATACCATGAAAAGCAAATCTCTACAATTAATTCAATCTCTTGATTTAGGTAAATTTATGGTCATTCCTTCTAAAAACATATACGGCTAACAGTTTAAATATAATTAGACTGCTTATCCCCGGGTCAATTCACTGTACCTCACTCTGCAGCTATTATACATTCTACTAAAGATGAGCCGCTATATTTTCTTGTAGGATTAAGACAAGGATCTGTTTTGAGTTTCAAGGTTGATTCAACAGATAAAATTTTGACAGATGAACGACCTCATCTCCATAACATTGGCTCTCGTGCTGTTCGACTTTCGCCGCAGTATCAGTCTCAGAATGCACTTTATGCTTTATCTGAACAACTCTGGAGAATGACATGTTCTGACACGAACCAATTAGAGATGGAGCATATTTTGTTGCCTCGATTTAGCAAGTCTATCGACGCCTTTGCTCCTTTTGACTGTGATTTGCCTCTGTTGCATACTACGGGAGAACCTCTGGCTGTGATGGCTGATGGTAAATTACATATTTTCCAGTTGAGCTTGAAGAGCCAAACGAATACTTTTAAAATCAACCTGGGAGAGGTAAGTGAAATTAGCGGCTATTTCGCACCTATTGTATTAACAACCGTAACAAAAAAAATGATTATAGACTCCCAGGAAGGTTATCTATGATAAAACATTAAACTACATTATCACTATTACAACGAGTATGGAATCAGGCGAACGTAAAAACTCCATGCGACTTTTGGATCCTTCCAGTGGACAACCTCTAGCAGACAGTCAATTGCTTTGGACGGATCATAATTATGGAAGAAGTGATTTAGTTCTTTCTACTGCTGGTAAGTAAGTGCACTATAAAAAATATGGGTGATCGAACACTAAAGACGTTGTTTATATGCAGAATGGTCTGTTGAAAATAACGGAAAACTGTATAAATATCTTTGTATTGGTATTGGCCACCCCAAAGAACCATTTCATTCTTTTCGGTCCGGTATGTCAGCTAGAGTGTCCGAGACATTAATGAACCGAGGCACGCTGCTTTTATTTCGATTAAAAGCAAAGCCTGATAAGGCCTCTGGGTTTTCGCTAAAGCGAGTTTGGACACAGGATAAATTACACGGTGGTGTATTTGCAATAAGACCTCATCCTGCTGGGTAATTTTTTTAACGTCTGGTACATGAGCAATAATATTAATCGCAGTCTATACCATAGTCTCTTATTTTCTGCAGGAAACCATTTGTATCTGTATAGATTAGTGAAAGGAAGGTAAGGAAAAAAAAAGGAAACAAAATCATCTCCCCCCCCCCATTTCTATTTGTACTAAAGCCCATCTAAAACAAAACAAAACAAAAAGTCTTGTAGAAGTAGCTCATACAACTCTAAGATTCACAATCACTTCCATACAAGAAGATGGTGATCGCATCTGTGTTACTTCACACACAGACTCAATATCCTTCTACCAATTCAATCCTGATACCAACACGCTGGAATTTTTGAAGAGGTAAGAAGTAAACAGACTACTATCTTCAAGAGCATGCATTTTGACACCTTATGTAGTGATGTGACGGCACGTAGTATTCATCATTCGCTTATGCTGAACGGCCGTCTTGCCGTAGGTGTCAGTCAATCAGGCGGTATGGTGGCCTTATACGATGACCCCAATGATAAATCTTTCGAGAGAAGATTACAATGTCTTTTCTCGTTCCACTACCCCGACATTATAGTGAAGCCAAGTCTCGCCTTATTACGGTCCCAACATGATTTGGACAGTGATAAAAATGTGTTGACAAGACATCTTTTACCCTGGTCTCAAGAGGTGGGTACAAGCACGCTAAAAGACAATTCTATCTCTGTTCCGGTTAAACCTATTGTGGGTTGTACTGTTTCGGGTGGGATTGTTCATGTGTATCGTATTAGTCCAACGCTTTACGATCTTTTGAACACGCTTGAAAATTTACTGCTTCAATTCGAGCCTACGTCGCCCTTACTGGGATCTGCAGAAGATTTCAGGGAATGGTATTGTCGTCTCTCGGGTCAAGAGAAGGCAACAGTACATGGCGATTTGGTGGAATCTTACTTGCGATTGTCAGAAAAAGAACAACTGGCTGTTATTCAAAATGAAGAAGGTGTGACCAAACCTGAATTACTGCGAGTGATCAAGTTATTCTTGCATGATTTGAGTAAGGATTCCATGGAGGATGATGGCGATTCTAAACAGCATGTCTGTCTGATGAATGAAATCTTATCTGTATTTGAAAGATATAGATAGTAAATGTAACCTACCCAAAATGATTTTTGATCCCATCCTCCCCAACTTGAATGATTAAAATTAAATATTAACTTACATGACCTCCATTTCTTTTTGGCTTCTGAAGTTATCAAATATATGTATCAAGTGTTGCCCCTCCTCAAGAAAAAATAACTAGGAAGCGATGTGAAATGTGATTTATTTACATTAAGAAAACTAAAAGCGTGTAAAATTATTTATATTACTCTTGATGAATTTTCGTGTTATTAGAGAGCCAATTGACTTCTTCTACGATTCTTGTACCGATCGTTTGAGGGTTCATTATAAGAATATGATAATCGCTCACAAGTCGGTTTAAATGAAGGTTCAGTAACACAGGTATCTAATTACAAAAGAAGAAAAGAAATCAGAAACAAAGCATTTCTTCCCCTTTATATAAATAAAGCGTACCTTTTTTAAATTTTCGGCTGTGATGGAATCAGTTCCGGGGAAATAAGTAAAGAGGAAGGGAATCTGCATGCCGGGATTATATTCAAGCATAGTGTGTGATAATTTATCCAATCTATTTCTGGTTTGTTCCCAATATTGTGCACTACAGCAAGCAAACAGTCTGTCAATCCCACATATACATAAAAAAAAACAGTAAAACTTACGATTCTGCCACAGTTTTGTTAGCATCAGATTCGGGTAAAGAGAAAATAATGGCGCCTGTTTCATCAGCAGATCGACAAAAGATTTCTTTTTCGGGTGTGTTCATACGAGTCAATACATCAAAAGTCTGATATAACCCATCTTTACGTAAAGAGTTCTCATCGAGTCCGAATTTTTTCTTGAACCAGTTGGATGAAGCGGTTTCACTATCATTGACATCGATCATTAGTTGCCAAGCAGGCTTTGCTGTATTATTATTCGCCTGTCGAGATTGTTTCAAGTCCATCATTTTGTCTCTAATACGAGGGTATATATTCAGAAGAAAATCTTCCTTTTTCCAGATCGATTGCTCTGTTAAGCTCTATTTCATATTTGATTTAGTACAAGAGACAAACGCACACACATAAGGGGGGGGGGGACTTACGGGGTCCATGGTTTTTAAAGCGATTGTTTCTGCTTGAAGAGATTGATTGACTCTTTTCATAATGCCTTCTGATGTTGCATGTTTAGGTTTCGCTTTGTAGATGGTGTCATGACTGGGGATATAAGGATTCTTTGTGACAAGAATCATATTAAACCTCCACTCCTTCTTTCTTAACAGCGATTGATTATGACGTTTTTGTATAGCTGCTCTAGCACGAGAAAGCCATGGCTTTCCAATCTTCTTTAGCACTTGTCTTGTCCTGATCGCCTTGGTCGCAGCAATCTCGATCTCTTCATCAATTACCTCGCCTAAAATCGTATTCAGGATGCGTTTGGCTAATTGTGATTTGACGACATTGAAATGCATAGCAGCCATCTCCTTTTCTTTTTGCTGTTTGCGCAATACGTCTTGTCGATGTTTCTCCATAAGTTTTTTACGTATTTCTAATTCCTTTATACGTATACGTTCTTCTTCTTGTTCTATCTCCTCTTGCAATTGTTTTGCCTTCATTGCTTTTTCCTGTTGCAGTCTCAATTGCTGTTTTTTTTCTTCCTCAATTCGTTTATTTCTTTCCATCGCTTTTAATAGCTCTCGCTCCCGTGCTGCTTGTGCTGTCGCTGCGGCAGCTCTTGCTCTGGCTGTCTCTAACTTCTCTAACTCACGTTTCTTTTCATCCTCTCCTGTAAGTTCAGTTAGCTTTACGTTCATGACGGTAGGCATCGATTTGTTTTGAGCAGGTTTTGTATCCTTGTCTTGGGGATGCTGACTGAATGGATTGGGTTGACGAGCGAACACATTTTGATTTACTACGGGTGATTTTTCATCATGTACACCATTGATGATATCACTAAAGGATCGATCTCCTTTTTTGGGCTCCACTAAAAGCATTGATTTTGTCTGAGGAGGGTTTGAAAGAGGTTCCAAAAACACAGATACTTTGGTATTATAATGTTTTTGACCGAAGCAAAGTGTGGGTTCTCCCAACGAATTATTAATGATGATACCATATAAAACTGCTTCTTGGAACAATTGCTTGACAGAATCATAGGCCAATACTTGTCGAACATCTTCGGCTTGAACACCACCTGCTTTCAACATGTAGGACACGTTCATGGCTTTGAGGGCTCCTTTACGTACCTCTGGAAAATGTGTTTCCAGCATACAAGCCATCAAAAAAGATGTATCGGGATCTGCAATCAACTTGAAAAAAGCTGAATAGAAATTTTGACTAGCCTCGATATTTTCGGGCTTGTTACGTCGGGAGGAAGATTCCATGATTTCATTGTTACGTTGAGATAGTGCTCGAAATTCCAATGCTCGTTGAATGGGTTGGCTTCTGAATAAATTAATAGGAAGTGTCATCGCTTGTCGTGCAACATCCTGATCTCGGATTAAACTAATGATATTGTAGGCTCGGAATTCAGCTTCGTTCTCTGTTTCAATTCCTTCTTCTCGGAGATCGTCATAAAATTCCATCAAACTCACCAATACTAACGGATAATTTGTTAATTCTCTATTTGTATACGTAGCCCTTCTACTTTTACATACCTTTACGAAGTTGTTCGGTTTCTTGTTGCTTACTAAACTTGCCTTCATCCATTTCGCACATTTCATGTAAACACAAGATATGAAATCGAGCAATACGTTCATGGGCTTGTACGGCATGGATATCACGAATATTTTGTAATGTAAAATCTTGACGAATTGAACGTGTACGATCACGTACAAAAGCATGGCATTTTTCCAACGAATTATTAGACAACACTTCATCCACTAAGTAATCCAATGTATGCTAATAGGGACAGAAGAGAATATGAGTAAGAAACGGACAACGGGTATAAACAAATAGGTAAAACATACAAGTAAAGCATCGGGTGAACGAACATCAGATGGCAAAGGTTGATCAATACCCGCCGCAGATCTTCTATATGCCTTGACGGCTCTTTGGGGATCTAAATTACCAGCATTATCCATTTCAAGTGAATCCAAACCATTTTGAATTTCTCTTTCCAGCATTTCAAACTCGGGACACTTGGTTTGACAAGTTCCTCGAAAATCAATAGCGTCTTCTAATCGTGTTGGATTTTCTGGATCTGGAATCATTCCTTTTTCAATCGCTTGTTGTCTTTCACGTACTCGTCTTTCTTTAAACTAGCGTGTAATATGTTTAGAATCCTACGGGCATTTACACGAGAGTCGAAGATAACTTACTTGGTCGTATAAAATACTTTTGGATGTGCTTCCAAATCGCATGGCTCGATCTTCTGCTGTCATCTTGCCTACTTCTTTCACTGGAGGTGCGGATTTCATCGTGTCTTTCTTATCTTGTTCTGCTGCTGCCCTACCGGGCTTATTTCGCAAATAGGGGGACGACATGCCTCTGACACTTGCCCCTCTACCTCCTCGGGCACCTCCTCTTCCAACGGACATAGCACCCGCCACTCTGCCTCTAACCCCTGTTTGTTCAGGTGCTGATGTCAATGCTTCAGCTAGTGGGAAAGGCTTCTTGAACTGACTTTTTTCGATCGGGTAAGGTGCTTTAAATGGACTATCTTGGGGTGCTTTAAAGGGACTAGAGTCGCTGGAACGATTGTTTGATAAAGATGGCTTAAAAGGGCTGGATTTAGGTGCATTAAACACGCTATTTCCTCCATGGCTCGGTGTCTTGAAAGGACTGGTGTGCTCCATAGGTGGTTGTTGCGGTTTGAAAGGACTGGTGTGCTCGACAGTTGGTTGTTGTGGTGTGAAAGGACTGGCAAGTGGGTTAGGTTGATGACGAGTTTGGAACGGACTGACTGTGGGTTTTTGGAAAGAACTGACATTTTGTTGGAACGGACTAGCCTGGGACGTTTGGAAAGGGTTTGCTTTAGGTGCTTGGAATGCTCCTGCCTGTACGTTGGGTGTGTTATTGAACGGGCTGGAATTATTCGATGTATTGAAAGCCCCATTGTAAGGTGTTTGGAACGGGCTTGCTTGTGGAATAGGTGCACTGAATGGACTCGTATGATTTGTTTGAAATGGACTCGCTTTGGGTGTTTGAAACGGAAACGGGCTAGCGTGGTTTTGATCATTCCCGGTCTGGGAAAATGGGCTTTTATTGTGGTGCCCAAATGGACTCTGATGTTGTTGATTAAAAGTCTGGGTAGGTTGACCAAATGGACTAGCGTTGTTGTAAGATGTCTTACGATTAAATGCTCCTCCGCCGCCGCCAGTGGGTCCAAATGCTTGATCAAAAGCGGTATTAAATCCTTGTGTGGGAGTTGTATTTGAAGCAAAAGCTGAATTAAATGCAGCTACTCCATGTCCTTTATTGAAAACGCTCTCTTGCATCGCTTTTCTTTTTATTAACGAAAAAGAAAATGAATTGGTGAGGAGATACAGACAAGACACAGGGAAAATGCAAATTGTTTTTTTTTAACACACACACACAAAAAAAACACACTCCTAGCCAATCAGCAGCAAATTTCACGTCATCGCGTAACTGCGCACTTTTATTATTTAGTTTTTTAAGACAATTCGGAAACGAGGCTTTCCAGCTCTGAAGTCTTCTACTGCTTGAACAACGTTATCCATATCATAAATTTCTATCCAAGGTTTGACACCATGTGTAGCAGCAAATTCGAGCATTTCTTCAATCTCCTTGGGTGAACCAATGGCAGAACCACTGATATGTACTTGGTTCATCACGAAGACCACAGGATGAAGTTCAGGGAAATTCCAGTCTGGCATACTTACATTGATAAAGTGACCGTTGGCATGCAAAAGTCCCAAATAGGTGTTCCCTACACAGTAAAAAAAAAAGTTTTGAGTACACTTGTTACACGAATTATTAAATTACTTTACAGTCAAAGTCTTGTCCAGTTCCTGTACAAAGAATATGGGTCATAGATCGTCTATACTTGGCCATGGCTTCTTTATCGCTGGTTACAAGGTATTCATCGCAACCGAGTTCTAAAGCGACATCATGCTTCTTGTCGTTATGAGACATACCAATGACCTTAGCACCCATGGCTTTAGCCCACTGAACACCAAAGTGACCCAAACCGCCTGTTGTTATCTGTAAATTATCTGTGTAATTGAATGCCTACTTATAGAAAATAACTTACCGATACCCATGATACCCACGACGGAGGTGGAATTGACATTTTCACGTTTTAAAGGCGCATAGGTGGTAACACCAGCACAAAAGAAAGTAGCAGCAATTTCACTCGACATATTATCGGGTATTTTAAACGCGAAACGATAATCACCTCTCCAACGATCCGCATAACCACCATAGGTTTTATCGCCATTGGGCCATTTGGAGCTATAAGTACCGACAAAATTATTCATGCATAAATTTTCGTTGCCCTCTTTACAGTTTTGACATTGATGGCAACTACCACATTGAGCACCGACACCAGCACGATCGCCTACTTTGAGATGAGAGACATTTTTACCTACTTTAGCCACCACACCTACAATTTCATGACCAACGACACATGGGTAAAGAGTAGGTCCCCAGCCGGAATCCATGGTGTGAATATCAGAACCGCAAATACCACAATGTGTAATATTTAATTCTACAGAGTCTTCGTCCCATTGTTTTAAGGTTAATTCGTTTGTTTTGGCCAAAGGTTTGCCTACATTGATTCATTATTAGCCTTTGAATAGAAGTAAAGTCTGTGTGTTAGAGGAGCAAAAAAATACCTTTTCCAGCACATGCCCAAGCGTTGAATCTATTGTTATCTGTCATTTTTTTTTCTAAATTGTTACAAGAAAAGAAGAAAGGATGAGATATGTTATTTTGCTGGGGGGTTGCTGCTTTATATTCTGAAAAAAATTTAGTTTCATTTTTTTAAATTGCTTTGACAGTGACATATTTCCTTTTTTAGAACATGACAGATTACTGACGCTTTGACTATAGACTCATTCGAATGATATCATTCTACTATATCACTTAAGTAAAGAGCTACTGCAAGATTTGGTGTTTCCATTCATACGCGTAAACCAGGAAGGTGATACTTTTCTATGAAACTAAGCCATTATAAAAAAAAAAAAAAAAAAGAGCCGTCAAGAAACATGCTTTCATCCATCTTTTTTTTCATCTTTTTGATGAAAATAAGGGTCTTACTATTTTCAACACCCGTACATGTTCTTTTTTATCCTTTGTTTTACAAAGAAAGTCGCATGTCCTACATAAAATAATGGAAAAAAGTGTACCGTTTCCATCAAAATCACAACGTATAAAGCAAGCGATAAAAAAACGCTGTCAGATCAAACCACCCGTGACATCTGATCCTCGTTTATTCCACCCACGGGCAAAATCCGGTATTATTGCATGCATTGCTCTGGTAGCAACTGCAGGTGGGTTCTCTAGCACCATTTATTTTCCAGGTCTTCCATACATCACACGAGATTTAAATGCTACACCAATTGCCACCACACTCACTGCTGCTTTATTTATTTTATTCTCAGGGATTGCTCCCGTCGTTTGGGCTTCCTTATCGGAATACTATCATCTACGTAGGTTCATCTATCTCGTTGCCATGGTTATCTTCATGGTGACCTCCGTAGCAGCTGCCTGTATCAACAACATTTGGGCTTTGGTTGCTGTCCGCTGTATCCAATCCATTGGTGTCTCTAGTGGCATGGCAGTCGGTGCAGGATATATCTCGGATTTATACCCTATTGAAGAACGCGGTGCAGCGTTTGGTAAATTCATCTTTGGTGTGGTCTTTGGTCCCCTCTTGGGTCCCATCTTGGGTGGCTTCCTGATCATGTCTGCGGCAGGTTGGAGAGCCACCTTTTGGTTTTGCTTTGCATTCGGTGCCTTGATTTTTTGTGTGACATTTCTCTTTTTACCAGAGACTTTTCGTGAACCCACGTGGGATAAACCAGAAGAATTACCTCTACATGGTGTAAGGGTAGAAGAAGAAGAAGAAGGGAAAAAGAAGTTGTTTAATCCATTTGCTGCATTTGAGTTACTTAAACACCCATTCATTCTATTATCATCTGTATCTACAGGCTTTTTCTTTGGCGCCATGTTTGCTACCGAGACTATTTTACCCAACGCGTTCAAGAACAAGTATGGATTGAATTCATGGCAGGTAGGACTCTCATATTTGGGAGCAGGTATTGGAAACCTATCGGGTTCTATGTTGGGTGGACGTTTATCGGATCGATTGTTATTAGCGGCACGAGCCCGTCGTGGGGAAGGCGCACCTCATGTGGCCGAAGACCGATTAACGATGAACCTCTGGTTTGCAGGCTTTTTGTTTAACCCACTGGGGCTCCTTATCTTTGGTTGGGTGGTGGAACGTGAACTTAGTTTTTGGGGTGCCATTGTAGCGTTTGGTGTTCAATGCTTTGGTAATGTTCAGTTTGTGACGACAGTGACAGCGTATTTGGTAGATGCCGTCCCGGGACGCGGAGCTGCAGTGACGGCCGTAGCGAACTTTGTCAGGTTCACGTTTGCTTGTATTTTAACCTTGATTTCTACACCCATGACTGAGGGTTTGGGTGCGGGATGGACCAGCACCTTGTTCGCGTGTCTGTCTTGGTTGGGCATCAGTATCATGTTGGTCTTGAAGATTTGGGGGCATCGGATGCGTGCATGGAGTGGGTTTTGATATATTTTATTTTTTCTTATGGGGTCACACTGTCCGCTTGAGCGTCTCCTTTATAGGAGAGACGCATGATGGACCCAGTTTCTATTTTTTTATTGGCTTAACTTATACATTCATTTTTTTTTAAAAAAAAGCTTACGGAATGAAACAGTAAATAAAATAAAATTTTCCTTTTTTGTTTCTTCACTCCTTCTTTTTTATTATTATTATTATTACACTAAATATGACTGAAGGTAGAGTATATTCATAGGGAAATGGAGGCCTGAGAAAGAGTACTAACACAATTTTTTTTTTAAAAAAAAAGAAATAGATCTCAAGTATAGACAAAAATATAAAGATCTTCGAAAGCGTATTCGAGATATAGAAGAGGTAAACCTCTCATAACGAATCGGTTTTTTTCTTTGTGACCAGAGCTAATGGACCATGCTTCTCTTTTAAAAAAATAAAACCAACATAGGAAAATGACGTATTGAATGTTCGACTCTTTAAAGCTCGTAAAAGTATCCGTCATCTCAAGTTGGAACGAACGTAAGTCTATCTCGAATACACACACACACTTACACTTACACGTACAATTTTTTTTTTTTTGTTTGTGTTTAGTTTCTTGTTAGATCGTATGGAGAAAACAAGTCACCCTACTTTGGATTATAATAGTGATCATTCGGATATTGGCTCAGAAATCTATTCGCATGATGAATCCGACATGGTATTAAACAATGATAAACAAACCTCTTTTTTTTTATTATTATTCATTTATTAAACTCTCATGTTTAGTTGATTCACAAGTTTCAGGGCAACAGTAAACACAATAATGCCGGTCGCATGGAGAAATTAATCGTGAATAAACCACAGCGTAAAAAGAAGGATCCCAACGCACCTAAAGGACCCGGCAATGTGTTCTTTTTGTATTGTCGTTTGGAAAGAGATAAAATCAAGGATGAACATCCAACAGAGAATCTGGGGGAAGTAACCAGACTTCTCGGTCAGAAATGGAAGTCTCTCTCCAAGGAGGAAAAGACGGTAATGTACTCTATATGTGTTTGTATCTGTGCAAATATTAATGTGTGATATAGAAATATTATGACATGTACAAGCGCGAATTGGAAGAGTATGAAGAAGCTATGAAGACGTATACATTGAATGGAGGAGGACCTAGCACGGGTAATCCAGCTGCACTTGGCAACCCCATGGTATCCATTATTTCATCTCCTACCCAATCCACCGAAATGTCCATGGACTTTCCAAGTGATCCTCCTCAACCTCCTTCACCCGACGTGTCCTTTATGGACGAAGAGGAGAAACCGCTTTATAACCCAGATGCATGGCCATCTTCCTCCTCCTCCACCACCAATCCCGCCGCAGATATCCATCACCATCAACATCACCAGTACCAATGATGAAATAATAACTACTGCAAAAGAAATAAAAATTTTAAAGAAAAAGCTTCTTTTATTGAATTACTTTTATGATTTTCTTAAGCCAACTAATAAAAATCCATTTCTTTTCCAGCTTCACGTTTTTTATAAATTGGTTTATGAGGCCTCTCGACTTTTTTCTTGACAGTTGGATTTTTGCTTGGGATGAACACGTAAATCTTGTGGATACGGTATCAAACCTTTCAGAAAAATGAAGAGGGTGGGTTTTTTAATGGATGATCCTACAACAAACGCAAAGACTGTGTCATAATTGACGTCACCAAAGAAGCCGGAGGTTGTTAGTAATTCAACGTTACTGAATCTTGTTGTTAACTCGAAATACGTTTATCTTAGGGACAGCCAAAGTGCACGTAGTCATAACGTAAGATCTGTGATTTGGCTATCCTTTAGACCTGGAAACAAGAATATATGATCATAAACAATATAATAATTACGAATAAATGTATATCGAACGATTTGTACTTGTTTTGACAATTCTACCATCACTCATTCGCCTTTAAGCTCGGTCGATCTTAATCTTACGCAGAAATACTAAGGTAAAGTCCGAACGAGTAGCTGAAAGTAAGCTATGACACACATATGCTGGTTCAAACTATGCTGGTTATGGTAAATTTGTAACTAGTTCAAGTTATTAAATTATATTGACCTCTTGGTGTCTATTAAAGTATCATAATCCAACATTACGACGACGCGCACCCTGGCTGTCCCTTAGAGACCCGGTACAAAGTTTTTTTTACAAATACTTTTAGCAACAATGAGGCTCTTTTTTGGCAATAACGTCTGAATCGAAGTAAAGAGGATGGACTGGTATAAATCCTTGATTTTTATACTTGTTGCTTTGCATCATCTATTTCCTTGTAGCATCACGTTTTACGTATTGGTTCATTAGCCTCTCGACTTTTATTGATGGCTGGGTATGGGTCGGGAGAAATACGTATCATGTGGATACTGTGTCAATCCTTTCATAAAAGAAAGTAGGCAAGTTTTTGATGGATGATCCCATGAACGACGTAAAGACCATGTCAGAATTGACACTACCAAAGTAGCCGGAGATCACCACTATAAATGACTGCAATTAAACTGTAAATTCCAGTAACTCAGTGTTACTGAATCATGTCCAACTCTTAACTTTTTTTCGAATGAAGCAAATGGCTTCATCTTCTACTCCAACGCGCGAAAGGTCAGCACAGTCGTCAACATATCTATCGTGAATGAAAATAGAGAAACTACTTGTAAAAAATCAATAATCATCAAGAATAACAAACTTTTCACAGAATGAGACGGCTGTTTGAGCCTCATCTATTGCTGTTACTGGGTTTGTAGCATGGCTGTTGTCATATTGGCAGTGCGAAAAAGAAAAAGAAAAGCTATGGCTTTTGTTGATATCTGTGGACCAAGATGTTGACTATCACAAATTAGAATCAAACCTGGATATTTATACCAGACTCGGAACTTCAAGTACTCCATGAGGAGGTCTCCCGTTGTATAGAGAGGACTGGCCGCAACCAGTATCTAGCAGAAATTAGAACACTTCTTTAGATAAGAAAAACATGTCACATTTTAGTGTTTTTCTTGAGGAAGCGAAAGACATTATTATTAACTAACCTTCACAGTTTTAATAATCTGCTTCTGTTGAAATAGCTTTGTAAAAAAAAAGGGGGGGGGGGAAACCGAAAAAAAAGTGTGTGAATGAATTTTTATTTCGGGTCTCTTAGGGACAGCCAAATTTTCTTAGGGACAGCCATTTTTCTTAGGGACAGCCAGGGTGTGCGTAGTCGTAATGTTGAGATTATGATACTTTTATAGACATCAAGAGGTCAATATAACTTAACAACTTGAAATATATACACATTTATTATAACCAACATAGTTTAAACTAGTATATGTGTTTTACAGCTTACTTTCAGCTTTTCGTTTGGACTTTACCTTAATATTTCTGCGTAAGATTATGATCAAAGGAGCTCATAGGCGAAAGAGCTATGATAGAATTGCCAAAATAAGTATAAATCGTTTAATATACATTTATTTGTAATTGTTACATTGTTTTTGATTGTATATCCTTGTTCCCAGGTCTACAGAACATCCAAATCACAGATCTTACGTTGCGACTACGTGCACTTTGGCTGTCCCTAAGGAAAATTTGGCTGTCCCTAAGAAAAGCGTTTTTATTTATATACACTGATAAATAAAAACTGGTTTATGACATTATGTAACTAATTATCCAAAATGTTTCAGCCTTATTACTGAATTAGCCACCTTTACTTATTAGTTGATTCAAATACACGCATTGGTCCATATCCACTTATTGAATAAAAACCATTTATTTTATATACAGAAGATCTACGGTGTTTCCTCACATGTTTTTCAGAGTTAAAAGCAGCCAATGGAGGATGCCATTTTGACATCATTTTGCAAAGTCAGCAAATCTCCCCAATCTACCGCTGGGTGCTTATCAACCAGAAACGTAGGACTGCTTTTTGTTTTTTTTCCAGTCTAAACATTATTGTATCTCCCTGCAACACAACCTGGTTTATTTTTTCTTGTTTCCCTTACATTTTTTTTTATACCATGAGTTTCCTCCGTGCTGTCACCAAGACCGTAAGTGCTTTAACTAATTTTATAAAAAGAAAGAGGTGTGTCTGACATGCCATAGTCTGCTTTCTTGCGTCCTACCGTTCAATTGCGTACACCCGCTGCTTCTTTGTATGCTCGTTGGATTTCCACCGAAATGAAGAACCGTTTAGACAAGGTAAAAATGATAGAAAAAAAAAGGATGGAGAGAGAAGGAAAAAAGACGAACTAAGCGTGTTTTTTTTGTGTAGGATATCAAATCCAACGATGTTGTCTTATTCATGAAGGGTACACCTGATCAACCTATGGTAAGGGAATACAGAAAAAAAAAAAGTGTGTGTAGAAGGAAAGGAAAAACTAAAAGCAGTGGTTGATTGTAGTGTGGTTTCAGTCGTGCTACAGTTCAAATTATGCAAGTTCAAGGTGTCGATTTCGATAAAAAGGTTAATGCATACAATGTTTTGGAAGATGCTGAATTAAGAGATGCCATCAAGGAATACTCTGAATGGCCTACTATTCCTCAAGTTTACATTAAGGGTGAATTCGTGGGTGGTTGTGATATCTTATTAAACATGCATCAATCCGGCGATCTTGAAGATTTACTTGTCAAGAACGAAATTATTGAAGCTGAGGAAGAAGAGGAAGAGAAGAAATAAAAAGAAAAAAAGATTCTTATTTTAGTAAAAAAGTGTATATTATATGACCAAAAAAAAAATGTTTATTGTGTATTTTAAAATGAGACACGTTTGGCAGTTTGAACAAATTCACGGATTTTACCCAGATCTTTCACACCATTTGTTTCCACACCAGAGGAGACATCCACCATCCAAGGCTTCACCTGTTGAATTGCAGAGGCTACGTTGTCAGGATCCAATCCACCCGCTAAAATCACAGGGAAGTCCTTATTTCCCAAAAACTCGAATTGTGTATGATGCACAATCTCTTGAGCAATACGCCAATCGAATTTCACACCTTGTCCTCCTTGAGCGTCAGAAGGTAAACTAGACACCTTGGCATCTAAAAGAACATATTGATGACTTCCAGGTTGTGTCAAATTAGCCATTTGAGATGGATGATAGGATTCGCTATCAATATGGAACGCCTTAATTACAGGCACTGGTAAATAACGTGCCAATTCTACAGATTCTGTGCCATGCAATTGAATGAAATCTAATCCAACCTCCGTAGCTACTTGTGTCATGTATTCAATACTTTGGTTGACAAATACACCCACCACCAATGGCTTTCTTGCACGGGATTCTAATAATTGTCGATGGATTTGGAACCAATCGGATGTAGTTGTAGAAGGAGGTGTAGCTCTTGTAATGTTTAACCCACGTACACCATTGACAATAGCAGAAGCTGTCTCTAGACTGACTTTACGCTTGGACTTTTCTGCAAAGATTAAACCGATTAAATCAGCACCTGCATTAGCTGCTTCTACTGCAGCTTCCACAGAAGAGATACCACACACTTTAACAAGTGATCCACGAGGTTCCTTAAGGGCAGGCACAGGATCTTTCTTGGGAAGACCCAATAAATCCGTCACGAATTCCTTTAAATTCCAAGCACGCATCAAAGCCTCACCCACAAGCACACCTTGAACACCACCCTTCACATACATTTCCACATCGGCTCTTCCAGTAATACCCGATAAAGCACACAAGATAGTGCCAGGAGGTACCATTTCAGCTAATCGACTGGTGGTTTCCATATCTACATCAAAACTATGTAAATTACGGTTGTTAACACCAATGAGTTTAGCACCTAAAGCGTTAGCACGAGCCATTTCCTCTGCGTTATTGACTTCCACTAAAGGTTCCATTCCCAAACTCTTGGAATAATTATATAAATCATGCAAGACAGTATCATTCAACATGGCCACAATTAATAACACGGTATCAGCACCATACAAACGACCTTCGAGGATTTGATAACGGTCTACAATAAAATCTTTACGAAGAACACAAGGTCGATTGGGTAAAGTTGAAAAGGCCTCACGTACTTGACGCATGTCATGAATGGTACCACGGAACCATTTAGGTTCGGTCAAGACAGAGACTACACTGGCACCAGCTAATGCATATTGTAAAGCTTGTTCAGCAGCATTGGCAGCTGCATCGATGTTGCCCTTAGATGGTGAGGCACGTTTGACTTCTGCCAAGAGAGCAGGACAGGATTGCTTAAGACGAGCTACTACATCAGAAAGAGGTGGGGCAACATGCAATTGCAAAAGCTTTTCTAAATCAGACATGGTTTGACCGGGGATTTCCTTGGCGGCTTGAACATCCTTGACACGTTGAGCATAAATACGAGTCAAGATGGAAGGAGCATCACTGTTATTGGTGGTAGTAGTGGTGGTAGGTGTTACGGGTTTCTCAATAGGCGTAGTAGTAGTGCTGACGGAGGGAGAAGGTACACGTAATTTATTAGGCAAGACACCTGCAGCAGGATTTAAATCCCAGGTACCACCTGTCAAATTCAAAAAGTTGCTAATCATGGTATGACCGTTTTCACACAAGATACTTTCAGGATGGAATTGAAGACCTTCTACCGTGTATTCCTTATGACGAACACCCATAATGACACCATCATCTGTGTTAGCCGTGATTTCCAAGGTTTCGGGAATAGTGGAAGGTACACCAGCTAAAGAATGATAACGCGTGACCAAATTATTTTGAGGTACGGATTTAAACAGACCACGACTATCATGTTTAATTGGCGATGTTTTACCATGGACAATATCTCCAGCATAGGAAACAGTACCACCATAGACTTCAAACATACATTGCATGCCCATACAAATACCAAGAATGGGAATCTTTCCTGCGAAATGAGCAATGGCTGCACGCGAGACACCGGCATCCGTAGCAGGATGACCAGGACCGGGAGAAATAACAATGTTACGAGGTGCAAGTTGTTCAATTTCTTCTAAACTGATTTTATCGTTACGGTGGACTACCACTTTAGCTCCTTGAGAGCACAAGTATTGATATACATTGTACGTGAAACTGTCGTAGTTGTCAATTAATAGCGTTGTCATTTGGCCTTTTTTTTTTTTGGGAAGAAAAGTAAAAAAAGAAAGAAAAAAGCGTCGGAATAAGGGGGAGGGGAGCAGAAATAAATAAAGAACGGAGATTGGATGGTTCAAGTCAATCTGACTCACATTTTTTCTCTTTTTTTTTACACAAGTGAACACAAAAAGAGTGTTATAATGGCTTCTTTCTTCATACAAGAAATCTTGTTGCAAAAATATTAGTTTTATTTTGGTAGACAGGTAGCAAATTCACGAAGCAAAAAATTAGTATGGTAGCCACCTGTCAAATATTAAATAGAATAAGCTAAAGTCCTGTAGACCGTGCAAGTGCAAGAGGCGGGATTTGTATATTTGGCATAATTATGGCCCATAATTATTATTGACGGCGTTTGCCTTTAGAATTTTGGGGGTTTGTTTTTTGTGGTTTGAGTGGGAAAGGGTTATAGACAATAGAAGAAAAGAGATAAATATAAAGAAAAAAGATATAAAATGATAATAATAATTAAAAAAACAAGGTGTTTTTTTGTGGCATGGCCTTTAAAATTCACCTTTAACCGGTATATATGGATCATCACCGCCATGTTCATGATTATCTCCCTGTGTAGATGTGTTTGCCGGCATATTCAGCGAATGACTTGTATCTGAAACATAATCGCCACCATCCGCATCATACTCACCTTCGGGAATGACAAATTGATGACCCCCAAATCGAGGTGGTCTTTCCATATCATGGGGATTTACAGTAGAAGGCTGTGGAAAGTAGTATAAATGGTTACCACTGTCTCGGTTTAACTGCCTAGGAAAACCAAACGGATAAGGCACCATATCTGTAAATGAATGATCTCCCTGAGGTGGTATGCGATATATATGTGGAGAAGGGTGAAGCGGTACACGGGGAACTGTAACATGATCAACATCATCTTCATCTTCTTCCTCTCGTTTTCTTTTTCTTTGGTACGATCTGTCACCATGACTGCTTGATTCACCCATTTGTTTTACGTCGTCCGAGTCAGGAAGTTCGGTTGGAGCATGTTTCTTTTCTTTTGCGCGTCTGTTTTGGAACCATATCTGAATACGTTGTGTAGATGTCTCAAATTGACGTGCTAAATTCTGTTTAGCCTCTGAGCTAGGTCGAATAGTTGTCTTGAAGAGATCTTCTAAAATGCGCGTCTCCTCCGCTGTGAATCTTTGGCGGGGACGGATAGGTGTGCCATAGGTCTCTGAAGAGCTGTTACCGTCGTACTCTTCATCGCCTTGTTCTTCATTAGATTTTTTAGGATTTCTCGTGCTCATATGATAAAGAGAGTTTTGTGAATATTAATATAAAAAAAAAAGGGAGAAAAAATGTTATGAAAAAACCGAAATTGCATATTAAATAGATCATGATTTATCAATACTTACATTATGCGAAATAATAACTGATAAACAGTAACAACAGATAAAGTGTTTTTTCTTTTATTATTATTGTATAGGAGTGTATTTAATATTATTCATGCATAAGAGATAGATTTTATTGTCCTATTGTTTTCGTGTTCTAGAAAATAAACTCAAAAGGTGACTCTGTTTTTGATTTGTCTGTATAAAAAAAAGACTTCTATTTCTGTGTGTGTTTTTTGTTTTTGTGCCTACTTATTTCTTTTTCTTTTTTTTTTTCTTCTTCTTCTTCTTTTAAACAGAATATAACACTCTTTATGGAAAAGGAAGAGCCTGTTCTAAATGAGAATACGCTTCAATTGTATCAAGACTATGTTGGAATCAAGGATCCCCAAGAATTACGACTTCATTTAAAGCACATTCAAGACAGACTTGCCAAAGTAAAAAAAAAAAAAAAAGGGACACACACTGGACCTTCTGGAAAAAACTAAAAAAAAAGCTTATAGGAAGGAAAAATCTTTTATCGATGTATTCAACGCTATGAATTTGCATTTTCCAGAATATATCATCGATTCTTTTACCAACGTATCCTTGATTTGGGACACACGATAAAAGAACCTTATTTTCTAGATATTGGATGTTGCACAGGTAAGACAGGTTCACAGAAAAACAAAAAAAAATGATCTTTTAATAACCTTTTTTTCCCAAATTAGGCACAGATCTGAGAAAATTACTGTTGGACGGATATCCGGCAAATTTTCTTGTGGGTTTAGATATTGAACCCACCTACATTGACTGTGGTTATGCTCTCTTTCGTGACAAGGATCATTGTCCTATTCAATTCATTGTAGGTGATGTCTCGCTACTCACCACTCAAATGAGCGTGATCCATGCAGGCAGTGTATTTCACTTATTTTCAGATATTCACATGGTACGTGACTTTTTAAGGAAACTCACGCGCGTTTTAAAACCAGGTGGGATTATGGCTGGTTGTCATGTCTGTGCTGAATCCTCCACTCAATACTTTCGTGCCTCTAGTCAAAGTATGAAGTTTTACATTGGCATCCATGATTTTCAGGATTTACTCGTCTCCCAGGGTTTCACCGCCATCGAATTGGAAACACGGCCTCGCATTAGTCAGGATAAGGAAACTTTTACAGCTTTTTGGGTTTCTTTTTACGCTGTATACCAACCTGCATAATTGTTTTTTATTATTTTTTATTATTTGTTAATTCATTAATTTAATTAAATTAAAGAAAGAGAGAGAAAAGAGAGCAGTGCTCTTTTTTTTTTTTTTTGATTATCTTCGACGTGACACCTTCTTTTTACCACGCACTTCTTTACAATACCCAAGATGACCAGGTTTAAACGGTAACTTGCAGAAAATACATATATTGTCTTCTGCATCCTTTCGATTACTCAAGGTAATCTTTCGACGGTTGCTAGGGGGTGGAGAAACAGGGGACACACTTCGACTTCGACGTCCCGCTTTGGAGTAGGACGAAATCACCATTTGTGCCTGTCTACAATCTTTGGTTAGATGCGTGGCATTCTTACCATGAACATAACATCCTTCTCCTTCTCCAATGGGTGAAGGGGAGCGTGAAGAATTACGATACCGATGACTACTACTACTACTACTACGTCTTGGTGAAGGTGACCTTCTTCTACTATAAGAAGGTGACGCAGAACGTCCCTGTTCTTGCTGCTGTTGTTGTTGCTGTAGTTCTTGTTGTCGTAGCTGTAATTGTCGTGCTTGTTCTTGTAATTTTGCTTGGTTTTGTGCTTGTTGTTGGGCTTGTTGTAATTGTTTAATTCTCTGTTCATGCAATAGTTTTTGTTTTAACAGGTAATGTTCTTGATGTGGATTTTGCGGCTGCTGTGGCTGTGGCTGCTGTTGTTGCTGTTGTTGCTGTTGTTGTTGCGGCTGCTGTTGCTGTTGTGGTAGCTGTTTTTGCTGTTGCTGTTGTGGTTGTTGTTGCTGTTGTTGCTGTTGTGGTTGTTGTGGTTGTGGTTGTTGTTGTGGTTGTTGTTGTTGTGGTTGTGGTTGTTGTGGTTGTGGTTGTGGTTGTTGTGGTTGTGGTTGTTGTGGTTGTGGTTGTGGTTGTGGTTGCTGCTGCTGCTGCTGTTGCGATGTCAATGCTGATGATTTCATATTCAACATTTGTTCTCGTAAAGTGCGTACACGCTCTTTTAATGCATCTGGGAAAGGTATATTCTTAGCTCCAAACATTTTTGCCGTTTCCACCACTTGTAAACTGGTCATTCCTGCAATATTTTGATCAATTTTAATTTGCTGGGGAGTTTTCTCTGTGTTAGTCTTGGATCCTGCAGCTGTGCTAGGCTGTGCTGGCATGGCCTTGACAGGCGCTTCGTCTTTCACAGGTTTAACAGTTGTGCTGGCAACCGCAGGCGCAGAGGCAGATGCAGGAGGAGGAAAAGGTGCAGCGCTAAAAGCAGCGGGGAGTGGAGTAGCAACAGCATGGGTAGCACGGGGAGAAGGTGATAAGCTTTGAAAACTCAAGGATTTTACTAACGCAGCAGGAGAGCCTTGCGCTGACACAGGCTGTGATGTTGTCTGCATTGGCTCAGATTGTGGTGATGTTTGCATAGGCTTTGTTGCTTCTTGCACAATAGGCGGAGTTGGTTCTTGCATAGGTTGAGGTTGTGATTCTGTTACTTGCATAGGTTGCAATACTGTTTCTGACACAGGCTGTGATACTTTTTCTTGTATGGGCTCTGGTTGCACTGACACTGGTTGCTGTGGTTCTTGCACTGATGCGGCTTCCATAGGCTCGAGTTTATGCGTATGCTCTACTATCGATACGGCATTTTCACCAGCACCAGTAGCACCACCACCACCAGCAGTAATCGCAGGCTTATGATGAATGTATTTGGTAAGTATGGTAGGACTGTGTAACTTGGGCACTCCGGGTAATCGCGTGAATGACATGTAAGGGTATTTGACGATCACGAAATCTGGACAATTGGAAGTAGAATGATTGGCTAACAGATGAAATTCGCAGTCCTGTTGATTGACTTTTTCGTGTTGTAGATGGAGAGCGACGTGTGCCGTCTTTGAGTAAAAGACAAAGTCACCTTCATTTGCGGTGAGAAAGACGACAGCTCTTTGTTGTACGTCTTCGAGATTACAATGAAAGCTAGTGGTAGCGTCATAATCCATGGTGGATGAAATCATGTCACGGATGTTCGCGGGTAAACCCAAGAGATAAGCATCTGTCACGTCGATTTGAGCTTCCGTAGCCAATCTGGAGAAACGACGATTAGCCATGTCGATCGTTTCTCTGTCTGGTGAAAAAGTAAAATTAGAGATGATGCTCAAGACGGTAGCAGGTCTGGCAGGAACATCAAACTTGCACATAAGCCTTCTTTTGACTTGTGACCAGTTTAACCTGAGATTATTGGCGGGTTGGAACGTCAAATGAATCCACATGAAGCGTTCATAATTGTTGGAACTACAAGCGAGTAATAATTTAAGCCAATCCTTTTCAATTTGTAAGTTCTTTGTGACGAATTCTGTACAATAAGCTTCGAGTTTTTGACAAAAGTCAAAGACACATTCGAATTGTTCTTGTTGAGGGTTAATGAGTTCGTCTGTCTTTAATTGAAAAACAAATGAAGGTTTAAAGTCTTGCTCTGGTGGCGACTCAGTTTTGATATGAGGCGTTTGTTGTTGCGTTTCCACTTGAGAACATAATTCTTGGATTTCTTTGCCAACGTGTTGAAGGCTTACCATACTGGTGGCGTTTGGCTCTCCATCCTTTGGAAGTAGACTAGACCACTTGGCTAATAATCCAATTAGGTCTTGTCTATCCTTGTCTTCCGCCTGCATCATTTCTTTTTTTCTCTGTTATTCTTTATTGTGTTATTTTCTGAGATCTTCCTCTCTGTATACCTATCTGCTAATTTTTTTTTAGCTACTGTTTACCTGTTTTAAGTAAAACAAGGTAAAGAGTAAAAAAAGAAAAATGCAATTGTCCTCAATTTAAAAAAAAAAAGGTGACAGTCACTATTTTTGGACGATCGTTTATGGTTTTTTTTTTTTTTTTTTTTTTGCTATTCTTTTGTCCAACTCATGCTATTATTCCATTGTCGTTTAATACATAGACCATTGGGATCGTTTATTCAGAAAAGAGGCATGAAAGCATATATCCAAATCTTGGGACAAAACTCCCCCGAGGGACCACCCAGTCTTATTGTTCACTACGACAACCAACGATATTTATTCAACTGTCGAGAAGGTACACAACGTCTCTGTGTGCAAGAAAAGGCTCGATTAGCCAAAACTTCCAATGTCTTTCTTTCAAGACTCTCATGGGATTGTCTTGGTGGATTACCCGGTATGCTTTTGACTTTAACGGACGCTGGTATCAAGCATATCGGTATTCACGGAGGTAAAAATCTTGCTCATTTTATTGCTTCCACCCGTCACTTTGTCTACAGGTAAAAACTACAATTCAAAGAACTTCAAAAGTGTAAGCTAACGATGATTTAACCCTTTGACAGAACGAGCACCACGGTCGATTTGCACGAAATAGACGAAACATGTCAACCTTTTACTGATAAAAACCTAACTGTCACACCTGTCATTGTCCACTCAAAGAAACACAACAAACGTAATTACCAAACGTACAGCAGTAACAGCAGTGGTAGCGAATCCTCTTATTCTTCTTCTTCAGACAGTGAAAAGAGACTTTCGAAAAATGTTGAAATGACTGTCACCGAAGCTCAAACTTATCGAAGAGGCGTAGTCAGCATGATGTTTACTAACACCGACAATGGACAAAAAGCACCCGGTCATACCATTGAAGCTGAATGTTCTCCAAGACCCACTGTGCATCCACTTTCCGAAGAAGCAGCTAAATCAGCAGTTACAGCAGTTACAGCAACAACAACAACAGTGGCAGTAGAGGTCAAGGAAAAGGCCGGGACTCGTGTTGTGAATAACAATCAGCGAAATTTCTTGATGAAATCTTTACCCAAATCCAAACCCGATACGTCTGCCATTACTTATATCTGTCAGGGAGCTTCTGTGACACCTAAATTCAATAAGGCTGCTGCCATGGCATTGGGTCTTAAACCAGGTCCAGTGTATGGACAATTACAAAAGGGATTAGATGTGACTTTACCCGACGGTCGTGTTATTACGCGTGATATGGTATGTGATCCTGAAGTGCCCGGTCACGTATTTGTCGTTGTGGATTGTCCCAATACCTCATATATTGATAGTTTAGTGAATTCAGATGCATTTGATAAGTATTTGGATCCAGAGGGAAAATCAAAAATTAATGTCATGATTCATCATTTGGGAAATAATGTTATTCATGATGAACGGTATAAAAAATGGCTTCAACGATTTGATACCACCACCGATGTAAGTAGAAACAAAAAAAAACAAAAAAAATCAGAAAAATGCTTTTTGAAACACACACACACTTACCGTCCATTGATATATAACGTAGCATATTTTTGGATCGACCGATTTGTGTGCACAAACTGTCCAATTTACATCACATGCTATTGGACAAGTCAAACTCAATAAGTTGAATGAATCGATTTTCCCTATTCCACACTATAGCAACAAACCAGCATTGGACTTATCTACAGGTAATTTTTTTTTTTAAAAAAAAAGAAAATTTATTTATAGGTACGCACAGAAATATTGACACGTAACCTTAAAAAAAAAAGTTCAAGGAATTCCAAAGAACAGTTATGCACTGAAAAATATGACCAGCTATAATTTAGAACCACGTAACGGTATTGCGCATTTAGATCGACCTGATTTTAATCATACGAACTTGAATCTTGCGGAAATCAAGGAAATTGATGAGAATCACGAGTACACCCATGCTGTGAAATTAGCACGTATTGAAGCGACTAAAGTGGATACGAGTGAGGATTTTCCCGGAAAAGATGTTGAGGTTATTACCTTGGGAACCGGAAGTTCGATCCCCGCCAAATATCGCAACGGTAAAAAACAAAAACAAAAAAAAAACCATATTTATTTTTTTTGTTTATTAAATGATGTATAAATAGTAAGTGCTACGTTGGTTAAAATTCCAGGGTACGGGTCCATCATGTTGGATGCAGGTGAAGGTACATATGGTCAAATGATGCGTAGGTATGGACCGAATGTGGACAAGGAAATGAGTGATATTCGATGTATTTTTGTGTCTCATTTACACGCCGATCATCATTTGGGTGTGATTCAGTTACTCAGAAAATGGAACATGGTATTGATATAAACAAGTTTCTTTTTTTTTATCGAGCGTTTTTATACTAACAAGTGATAAAATTAGGCAAACAGGAGAAATGATACGATTACTGTTGTTGCTCCGTTTGTTTATAAACACTGGTTACATGAATACCGTCATGTTGAATACATAGGGTCTCATAGTAGAATCAATTTTATTCGAAATGAAAATCTCTTGTCCAGAACCGAACCCAGAGGACATGAGCTTAAACAGTAAGTTTTTTTTTTTTAGGACCTAAAAAAAAAAAGACACTAAAATATGGAGGCGGGGAAGAATAGTTTAAATGAGTTAAAGAAGGCGCTTGGTTTAGAATCGATTGAACCTGTTGAGGTCATTCATTGTCGATGGGCCTATGGTTTATCTATCAAGCATCAATCCGGCTGGAAACTTGTGTATTTATTTGTATATGTTCCATAAACAACAACAAATTAAAAAAAAAGGTGTTCTTTTTTTTTTCTAGTTATTCTGGTGATACTCGACCTTGTGATAAATTGGTCGAAGCAGGACAAGATGCCACTTTATTGATTCATGAGGCAACGTTAGAAGATGCCAGTTTGGATAAAGCGATTGCCAAACGTCACACTACAACGGGAGAAGCGATCCAAGTTGGAAAAAGGTGAATAAAGAATAGTAACGTCATTCTGTGATGTTGTAAGCTAAACTACTTTTAAATAGAATGAATGCCCGATTTACGTTGTTGAATCATTTCAGTCAACGCTATCCTAAATTGCCAGTCCTCTCGGAAGAACAGTCCAATGTTTGCTTTAGTTTCGATATGATGTCCATTCCAATCAGTCAAATGCCCTTATTACCCAAATACACCAACGCTATTCAACTTGCTTTTAAAGAAGAAGAAGACGATGGTTGAAACTAAAAATCATTTGACTTGTTCTTTTTTAAAAAACGCCCAAAAAAAACTTGTGTTACAGAGATAGAGTAATAATCATGATGAAACTTTATCATATGCATTAAAAAAACACGTAATAAAAGTCTTTTTTTTTTTCATTATTTTAGTTTATAACTCTCTTTCTTTTTTCTCAACTTTTTTTTTTTGTTTTTTTCAACACTAACAAAATAAAAAATAAAATGACTGATTTTGCTCCTATTAATACCTCTGCTCCAGAGATGGATTCTCCTGTTCCCTCTGCTATTGCTCGTAAGTGATTTCATCCTATCGTCATCATAAGACAACTAACCTGTATATTTTAGCCCCTATTCGTGATACTTACAAGGAAAATGCCTTTGATACCCCTCCTCCTTCTACCAAGCCTACTGCTCCTCTTGCTGCTGCAACCACTCCCATCCCAACTGCTGCTGCTGCCACTGCTGCTCCTACTGCTGCCAAAACCCAGGCACCCAGTCAAGCTAAGTCCAACTTCAAATATACCTCTCCTGCTGTTAACTTCGAGGATGGTAAGTTTTTTAAATATAAAAAAAAAAGTTCTATGACGTGATTTATTCATCATTTTATTTTATTTTCCAAAAAGATGCTCCCACTTATTTAAAGACCAAGGTAGAATCACTCATTTACTGGGAATATCCCAAGAAGAGTGCTACAGTACTTGTGGGATCACTCAGTATCCTCGTGTTGACACAATATTATTCTCTTTTGCAAATCATTGCTGGTGTATTCACGCTTGTGACTGGTATGAATTGGGTCTTTGTCAACACACACAAGCAAGGACAACGATTCATTGGAGGTAAATCAGTGGAGAACATATCTAACCCACACAGTGCTCGTCTTCAAGCCAAGGGTACCTATATCCCCCGTGATCGCGTTTTACGTACAGCTCAATTAACTGTTGACGTGGTTGAGGTGATCACCCAACAAATCACAAAATTGGTCTTGATTGAAGATAATTGGAAATCAGCCATTTCATTAGTAGTTTCTTATTTGGTCTGGACTCTTGCCAAGTTTGTCCCCACCAAGTACTTGGCTGCTATCTTTGTTCTCTCCTCATTCTCCGTACCTCGTTTATACCTTCAACATAAGGAATTGGTGGATGGTCAAGTAGCTATTCAGTCCAAGAAGGCATGTGCTTTAGCTGAACAATATGGCGGTGTTGCTGGTGGTAAGGTCAAGGAACTCACAGAACAAGCTAGATCTTTTATCAAGAGTAAGACTTCCGGTGCTGCTGCCACCGCTTCTTCTGCTGCTCCTGCTGCTTCTATTCCCACTCCTCAAAAGACAGAGTAAACAAATCACCCTCATCGTCTATCTCCCTTGTAAAATCACCCTGTTTTATATTAAAAAAAAAAGACATGTTTTATTAAAAAATTATTATTTTTGAACAACTTGGAGAAGCGGGGTAGTTTCGGTTGTGGCTGGGTATCTTTTGAATAGCTTGTGATACAGGGAAACAACAAGAACTACAAAGTTTTAAATTAATCATGATTATAGTGATGTGCTTCTCGTTGATTCTTACAATATAAATAACCCGCTGAAAGACGAGCACCGCTTTTATAATGACCATGTCTTACACAGGTTCTTATTAAATTCTTAATAAACACATCATCACCATAATAAAACGGGGCATACTGCACTAAGGATTGAATTTGGGGTGTGGTACAGACTGCACCTTTTCTTAAACAGAGTAAAGTTGCGGGACCTTTGTACAAGTGCACATCACGCGGTTTGAACCCGACCGTGATATGAAAATGGCCATGGCCGAGACCCAGAAACCCTCTCATTCGTTGCCCCCATGGCCAGTGCAGCACTCGATAATAAGTTACCGCCTCACCTTCCTCTGTACTGCCCAAACCTAAATCCACAGGCCGTTCCCATTCACTGGCTTGTCCAAATTCGTTTATCACAGTGTCTCGTACATGCTTAAGTGCGTCTCGTGCGTGCTTTCGTGCTTTTTTTCGGTTGCTTTCTTCTTCTTCTGCGGGTGGTGGCATCAAGTACCTCATATCTAAATGGTTCACTACTGTAATGTGATGACCACTGCCTTGATCCCGCGTGATCCGGTTTTGAATCATTTCAGAAGTGACATGCTCAGTAGATTGATTCCCAAGTTGATCAATGTACGATCCATGAAGTGAAAGGTATCTGGACTTGGCTTCAAATACCATCTCAGGTTCGCCATGTTGTTCCATACTAGGTCGATTATAATTATTTAAAAGAAGAAACTCTATCAACTAGACAATTTTTTTTTTATTTCTTAAATATGGCTTCGGCGATTATAAGTTTTTAGGCTCACATCCGGTGATTAAGACGCAGCATTGACATTATAAATTATAAAAGTGCCACAAAGATATGGAGAACATTAGTTTTTTTATTATTATTACGAGATCGCGGCCCCAGCCCACTTCGGTAATTTTTTGACCTTCGCTTCGCTACGGTAAAAATAACCTACGTTCATGCTGGGGGCGATCTCGCGCCTGCAGCGGGCCACCGACGCCACTCAATGTTTATAAATGGGACAAAAATAGATTTTATTGATAATGAATATTTTATGTTTAATTTTGTATTCGAGTTAGTACTTCAGTAAATACAACGTTGTCTGTGAGTCTTGAAAATGACTGCCCTTTCAGTAACATTACTTTGAGATTAGCAGGATTACGGACCCGTGATAAAGCAACATAAAGTTGACCGTGCGTGAAAACGGGTATGATCAGACAATTGGTGCAAAAGAAAGAGTTTGGCCTTGGTCGGAACTTACAGCCCCTCCCAGCTCACTCAATGCTAATCAATTTTTTTCACTCAATGTTTTATGTACTGTGTTGGTCGGGACTTACAGCCCCTCCCAGCTCATTCAATGCTAATCATTATTTTTTTCACTCAATGTTTTATGTACTATGTAGGTTGGGACTTACAGCCCCTCCCAGATCACTCAATGCTAATCAATTTTTTTCATTCAATGTTTTGTGTACTGTGTTGGTCGGGACTTACAGCCCCTCCCAGCTCAGTAGGTGTTTATTATACTCATACATGTCTGTTGCTTCGACCTGCGCTTCGCTTGGCCGCGCAAAAAAAAAAAAAAAAAAAAAAGAACAGTCCGAATTACTAAATATGGTATATACTGCAAAGTCAAAACAATCATTATAATATTGATACATGTCTGTTGCTTCGACCTGCGCTTCGCTTGGCCGCGCAAAAAAAAAAAAAAAAAAAAAAGAACAGTCCGAATTACTAAATATGGTATATACTGCAAAGTCAAAACAATCATTATAATATTGATACATGTCTGTTGCTTCGACCTGCGCTTCGCTTGGCCGCGCAAAAAAAAAAAAAAAAAAAAAAGAACAGTCCGAATTACTAAATATGGTATATACTGCAAAGTCAAAACAATCATTATAATATTGATTATTATGATGATGATGAATTAGACTGAATTCTTCTTTGCTACTGCTGCTGCGGCTGCTGCTGCTTTTTCAGCAAGATCTTGTCGTCTTGATTTACTCTCGGGATCAAAGTATGGTCTCTCAGCCTAAGTGCATGTATACAAAGTGTTAGAATAAACAATAATAAAAAGCATTTTATAAAATTCAGCTACTTACAGTAGGAGTTACTCTCCAGCCATGACGTCTTCCTACAGTAAAGTAATCAAAGATAGCGGTATGGAATGTCGAGCGATTATCCCAAATTGCCACACTATCTTCTTCCCACTTGAATCGAACCTGAAAGTTATGGCCTCCACTCACATGCTCATACAAGTGATCTAACAAGAGTTTAGATTCACGTGTACTGAGACCCACAATAGACTTGGTGAAACCCGGTTGGACAAACAATCCCTTCCAGCCAGTGACAGGGTGAGTACGCACGATGGGGTGAACAGAATCGACGAATTCACGACGAATGAAAGTTCCAGTACGTTTGGCATTTTCGGTATGGATTTGACCCGTATGCACCGCGCTGAGTCCCTCCACAAATTTTTGAAAGGGAGGAGAGAGACGATCGTAGGCTTCGTAAGCAGATGCCCACATGGTATCACCGCCCGATTCAGGGGAAGTGTCAATCTTCAAAATAGAAATACCTGCAGGTTGGTTCTCGTAGGTAATGTCGCTATGCCAACCTAATCAAATAAAGAAAGAGAATTAGTTGAATTTTATGTGTTTTGACTGGTCACTATGTACCATCGGCGGCAGCCTTGCTTTCGAAATATTGAGTGAGCGTGGGACTAAGAAAGAGTAATTAGACGATCCTGTTTCTACTTTTTAACAAACAGTAAAAATTCTTTACTTTTTCTCGTCATAGAATAAACTGATAACCTCGGGAAGACCTTCGGGATGTCCTATCGTATTATGAATATGACTGAGATAAACAATTTTTCAAATGAGTCAAAAAAACAAAATATATACAACAAGAAAATAAAACTTACGGACGACCAAAGTATTTTCCTAATTCAACTGCTTGATAAGGATCCAAATCCTGATTACGAAAGAAGACAACACCTCTTTCAGCGGCCAATAAAGCTAAATCATTCTTTTGCTGATCGGACAATTGAGAGAGTTGAAGACCATGGATTTCTGTACCGATGATAGGAGTCAAGTCAAAGACTTCAGTTGCGTTATCGAAAAGCGATGCTTTCTTAGGGTCACCTCTTTTACCAGCATCTACATGCTCAAAAGGTTCAAGAGGAGGGTACTATAGAACTTATGGTCAACATCAAAGAATTATGGAAAAGTATTTAGTAATAACTTACGGAAACTTGAGGATAAACTTGATATAAACCCTTCTCACGAACCAATTTTTTTAAGTCTAATTTCTTAAATTGTTCAGATATGGTTTCAGGCGTATTGGGGGGCATTTTTAATAAAAAGGATGTGTGTTAATAAGTCTTTTCTATCATCAAAAAAAAATAGACCCTTTCTTTTTATAATGTAAAGATTATTTGTGAAACGTTACTACTACGATTCACTTTTTATAAATTTCAAATACGCATCATTTTTTGCGTGCCCGGTAATTGGAATCGCGTCAGATGAAACAGCTCATTCGCAATAGATTGTCTATCTATATTTTCCCCACACACACACACACACACATGTATCGCGGGAGGCGGGGAGGCGGGGAGGAGAAATGGTTTTACCTGTATAGATGTTCGCAATATTGTCCTTATAATTCCTCATTTCTATTTTTGATGAGGCAAGAGATAGCGTGCGTGGGTAGAAGTGAGAGGCTTGTCAAAGTGAGTGTGTGAATTATCTAATATCTCTCTTTTAAGATGGTCCTGTACTTTCTTCTGTTGAGTGCGTGATTACATTTTTTTATGAGCATTAATATTTATAATAATAAACAAGCAAAATTGCATCAAAATTTGAAAATAATTTACAAAGGAAGCTATGAGCTGACGCTAAAAAAGTCCTTATTAATATTGACAGTGTTACATATATTTGCTTACTGTCACTGATTAAAAAAAAACTCCAAAATCCATTCCATTAAAAAATCATTGTACATCAAAGGTCTTTAAAGACACAAGCGAGAAGAATAGTAAACATTTTATTTATTACAGCTCAAATAATGATATTAAATTATTGTCATTCATTGTCCTTACTTAATTATAAACTGTTTCTAGTTAAAATAAAATTACTGTGATGTGATCTTTATGTTTATTGCAAAAAAATTCATAAGTGCTATTGATTTTTTTCCTTTATGAAATATTATTTTAGTCACTATAATATAGGGCCAATTTTTTTTTTTTTTTTTTTTTTTTTGCAAAATATTATTTATTAAAGGTTTAAAAGACTGCATGACACAATTGAGTTAAGAAAAACTCTGATTTAAGCCGTCTTTTGTTCAGCTTCAGTCTTCTTTTGTTGAAGTTCCTCCTTACGAGACTTGCTCTTGGGATCATAATAAGGTCTCTCGGCCTACATATAATAAATAAAAAGGGGAAAACGTAAATACAAAAAATTCAACCTATTGGAAGATATAAACAAATTTCTTTCTTACCTGAGTAGTGACTCTCCATCCGTGACGCTTACCGTCATCAAGGTAATCAAAGATAGCAGCATGACTTGTAACACGGTTATCCCAGACAGCGACGGCATTTTCAGTCCATCTGAATCGAACTTGGAAATCATATCCACCAGCAATATGATCATACAAGAATTGGAGGAGTGTATTGGATTCATGTCTGCTAAGACCTACAATACTACGAGTAAAACCAGGTTGAACATACAAGGATTTCCAACCAGTTACAGGATGAGTACGGACAATAGGATGGGTATGTGTATTATTTTGACGACGAGATGTTTTTCCACTGGCGACAGCACCATCAGCATGTTCTTTACCAGAATGAACAGCTTCAAGCCCTTCTAAAGTCTTCTTAATTTCGGGTGAGAGACGATCGTAGGCAGTATAACCAGATGCCCATAATGTATCACCGCCGGCCTCTCCAGGAATTGTGTCAATCTTCAAAAATGTGAAGCCAGGAGGTTGGAGTTCGTAACTAACATCGCTGTGCCAGCCGTCAGAAGCCCGCAACTGAGTGGTAAAATTACGTTCAAAAGGCGTACCAGGAACATCTTTTCCAAAGTAAATGGGAAGAATTTCGGGCAAGTTGGGAGGGTGGCCGGCAACGTTATGGACATGAAGAGGACCATAATGAGATCCAAGTTCAAGACCTTGGTAAGGATTGATATCTTGGTCTCTGAAAAATACAACACCACGTTCGGCAATGAGTAAAGCAAGGTCGTCCTTTTGTTGATTAGTCAACTTGGATAATTGAATGCCCTCGATTTCAGTACCAATATTAGGAGTCAAGTTAAAGACCTTAGTAGCATTTTCATAGAGTGAAGACTTTTTGGAATCAGCGCGGTGACCGACATCTTCATGCTTGAATGCTGTGAGTTCGGGATACTGTTTTACATAAAAGATAAGGGTTAGATAAATTCGTACTTTGATTTTTTGTGTTTATTCTACATACAGTTGTTTTGGGAAAATCAAGATAATAACCGGCTTCAGCTAATTGCTTGATATCAATTTGGTCTTGAACAGGAATGACTTGTTCATTTTGGTTAGGAGGAGACATTTTTACTGTACTAATTTGAATGGTTTCTTGATGTATATATTATTTCTTTGGAACAATTTATTGTCAGTATTTATACTATTTCGAAATAATAGGTGATATAGGTGATATAGGTGATATGGCGTGCTTTCCTGGATGATGTTAAGGTAAGAGAATATTTGCAATTTGATCTTGGATACTACTGAGACAGCATGTTCATAATTTATTGCGCAATTCAGTTTTTTGTTCCCATCGCACTGAACTCACTTCTTGCAAGCAAAAAAATTAATGCGAGAGGGGAGCCATAAATAATATTGATGTTCGTAAGTAATCTGTAAAAAAAAAGGGGGTACCAATATTTGTGTAATCACGACATTTGCATAGTAAAATTCGTTATGTGTACATTTAAAATGTTTTTCTAAAAGAGAAAAAAAGGTCGGTACAATACCGAAAGAAGGAGAACGGTTATACATAGAGCACATTCCTCTCTTCATAGTCTGTCCATCCTTTGGATGTATTATTTATCACTAACAGCGTATGATATGCGAGACCTGGTTAAAGAGAAAAAAGTGGGACGAATAAAGTCACATTCACGGCCCAATGTGTAACCAGGCGATCAAACAAGTTACAGTTGATCTTTCTGGGTGCAATGAGGCGACGCTATAATATTAAACAACGACAACGATAACAAAAAATGCATTGTATATTACTAAAGAATTTTATTATATAACAAGGAAAAGAATAGTCAATCTTGGGTGAATTAGCTTTATCAATAGTGTATCTGTATCACATTAACATAAACAATCCTTTTCAAGTGGGTTAAAAAAAACCCGGGCTGTTGATTAACTCCATAATAAGATTGTAGTGTTTAAGATTGTAGTGTTTTTTTAATTGGGATATCTAAATGTATGAAATCGCTCATAGGTGAGAAAAGTCAATAGATATTAGGTCATAATATTTGTTATTGTCTCATTGTCACATCCATTTATTTAAGAAACTTTAGCTCATTTCGTATTCATTTCATTATATTAAACATCATAAAAAAATCGATGTAAATATATTTAGTTTAATATTTTGTGATAATATAAACTTTTTTTTTCTTTATAAGACTTTTGGCACTAGGAAAAAAAGCTGTTGAATAGTCTTGTGTTTAATAAATTCTATAAAGCCCCCGTGTATATATATTATGGATGATTATTTGAAAATTCTCAATTTAGTTCAATTTATCCGGTTTTATTAGACTACGCTTTTGTTTATTTTTTCCGTAAAATTATTCAATTAGCGATATGGTCAGGATTTACATGATCTTTATAAGCGTATTTAAAAGCCCTGATCATCTAGCTTGAACTACGCAAATATCTACTGTGACATGGTATACAATTTAAGATTTTTCCCTCAAAAAAAAAGTTGCCTTTTTCTACTGCTGGTCTTAACTGAAAAGGTCTTACCCAATATTGGGTATGACTTTGTGTAACAAATGAATATAGTAAATATGCAGAGTATGTGTACCATGAGGTCCGTGCGGACAAATTCATACTGCCGTTCTCCAATAAGTTTGCTTTGAATAGACTTTCATGTATGATTAACCGTCAGGTCACTTTCGATTCTGTATGTGTAATAATAGCTTCATTTACCCTTTACAACATATGATAGGGTTTAGTGACGTTTTTCTGTTATCTTGGCATTCTGTTATAAACAATACCGAAGACGTTCTTAGTGGTTTATAATGAGAATGAAAAAAAAGCTAAATTTACTGGTAAGTCATCATGTGTAATTGTAAGTGGCCAAGTGTCTTTTTGTAAATGCTCAAAACTCATGATAGTTTTTCTTTCGTATAATGTGATATCCTTTGCTATATACTCTAGGTCGCATCTTTTTTTATTTATTTTTTATTCTTGGAACTCTGAATTTCTCATCGTATAAGGCATGTTACTATCTATCATCGGTGATCATTTCTGACAACATAATTACAATGTGTTTTTTGGCAATGAGGTCAACAAATGACCTTTCATATAATATGACACTAATTTATCTCTCGTTTTTATAGTAACTAAATTATTGTATTCCAGGTATTACATTGTACATCGTCAGAAATTCAATTTAAAAGAATTTTATTTACTACCAGTTTACTCAGTTCAGACAAATAAAAACAGGGATTGAGTAAAAAGCGAAGTCTATAATTTTTTTTTATCTGGTGATACCGTTCTTTCAAAGCATGTCGTATGAATAACGCGTCATTTTGTGATACCAGGATCACAACCTTTCCGATCCAAAATTAGACTCGCTCGTGTTCCTCGAATTATAAAATTCTAAAAAAAATTTACTTCAGTAAGACGATAAACCTTTAAGCCACGTTTTCTTTTCTTATAAAAACTTTTACTATTTTTTTCAACTCTTTTACTTCAAAAAAAAAAATACAAACAACGGTTATATATTACTGATAAAAAGTACAAAAAGAGCTTCCAAAACATTGACAATCAGTAAAGTTACAAGCAATGTCAGATAACCAAATAAAAACAAACAATACCCCTTCTGGGGAGCTTGATTTATCTCGCTATGAGAAGATTCCTATGGACCTAAACTTTTCCCCATTGAGGGAATACTTTGAAGGAATCCATTTATACAACAACAAAACCGAGGTAATGGAAACCCCATCATCAGCTGCTTATAAAACGATGCCAGTGGGGATTCCAGGATCTTTAGAAGCTATTGTCACTCATACTCAAAAAAAGAAGCACCATAAAAGCCGAAGAAAGCCTGTAGCACATACCTTGCCAGATGATGAATTAGAAGTATATATGGAGAGACGATTACTGCGGCAAAATGATAAGCCAAAGAGTAGTCAACCTTTTATTGTGGGAAGTTTACAAGAAAAACCACCTGTCCCTTGGCCAACTGCTTTGATGACAACAGCTGACAGCAAACTTCGCAATCGTTTGGTGAATAGACAAACTGTGAACTGGCCATTGTTACCTCATCATCATAATCATTTCACAGGGGATGAACAAGATATCATTTTTGATATGGAAAATGATTTCTTCAGTGATGGTATGAATAATGAAGATCCCCGTTTTAACACGAAATAATTTTTATCGTATCATTTGACCGTTGGCTCTTAATTTTTGTCAACTATTACTAAAGCCATCGTCATATGCCCTACCAAGTTTTACAAAATTAATAAAAAAAACATTCCTAATACTGATATTACTTGCCAGCTGGTTAATTCTATCCATAACATTTCATTTCAACGATTGTAAAGCTGAACATTATCCAAATGCTCTCTTGAGTTTTCGGTATCTGTTTTAGTAAATACGAATCCGATCTAGTTGATTGCCTATCTATCTCGAAATGATAATGATAAATCCTGCTACAATTTTTAATGCAGTCACTTCTTATTTTAATTGGTTTACTTTATGACAATAGTTGCTATCATGTGCATATATTAGTTTTACGTATCTATTAATCGCTACTAAAGACTTAGAAAAATGTTTTTCTCACTGTTAAAAACTTGACTTATTACTTCAAAAAACTAAAACAAAAAACTACTATAGTAGTACATTTATCGAAGCATATTATTTGAGTATGCTACTACAGAAAACGATACCTGAAAGACAGTATTATGCAATTCTACTTTATAATAATACTGAAGACAAAAATGTTTATTATATACTCTTTTAATAAATATTTTTTACGCAAAGATATAAACTTTCACGCATTCACAATGCCTTTTTCTCACAATCTGTCCCTAGTTTGCTTATAAGCCAATCAAAAACGATAAACGTAATATTCACGTGACTATCACGTGATTTTTATTTTTAAAGTATACGGGAATATAATTTATATTAAAATAACAGAAACAAGAAGCTGATTTGGCCGAGTTGGTCTAAGGCGCCGCACTCAAGTTGCGGTCTCGCAAGAGGCGTGAGTTCGAATCTCACAGTCAGCACTATTTTTTTTGCGATTCTTTTAATTCGTGTGACGTTGATATTCTGGAAGAATTGTTGTTTCTTGCTTTTCAGAGCACCATATATAATTAAGAAACTCTATCATTCTCTTCGCTTATTTTTAATATGTAACCTTTAGTTTCACCTTACAAAACCATAACCAGAAAGATACGGCTTTAACTTCGTCACAAACTTTACCTGTAATAAGTCTTGCTGGCTGGCTGACTAAAAGTTACATTCAGACATGTCTACATACGTTATTCGCAACTAAATAATGACGGACTTACGAACTAAAAATATAGTCAACGCATACGCTTGCTTCTTTTTATTAACCTACGAAAATTTCAAATCAAATGGTGCTTGATTTAATTCCATAAGTCCAGATTACATGTCTTTAATATTATTATTATCCTGCAACAATGACAGGTTAAAAATCGGCATTCAGATTAAAGGGATAATGAGCTTGAAAAATTGTTGGCCATTGCTGAGCAAGCCTTTACGAAGAACTCTTATATTGAGCGGGTGTTCTAATCCGATTTTTTAAAAAATGGATGAGGCCTACTTGGTAAAATATCCTCAAAGCTTAATTTAAGCCGTAGAACTCAATGTTTGGTCGTAATATGTACTCGGGACCTCATCCATTTTTTAAATATTGTTCAACGAGTTTTTAAAAAAAGTTTAATCATATATAAACTTTAAGAATTTAAACGCAATAAGTACTCCCTTTATACTATCCTTTACTGAAATCCCAATTGCTAACACCCTCTTTAAATACATCTTGATTGAAAAAAAAACAACTATAATCACTTTATTTGTTGACAAGGATTGGCAATGTTTAAGATTATATTGCTGAGCCCCTTTTTTTCTCTTCCTTCTTTTCCTACGTTATTGATGGTAATTGATGAGAGTTCATAAAAAAAAAAATAGTAATTGTTAAAAGAAGAATCGTGTCAGAAGCAATGAATACTTTTAGCTTGTATAACTCTTATCGATAATAGCTTCTCATTATTCTAGATAGAATAATTATTTAATTGCATGGACGTTAAAGCTATCACCATTGTAATATTGACAAAAAAGAACTCAAAGATTTCTTGCAGAAGCTGCTTATATGTACGACGTACAGCAAACTAATAGTATCAATATACACAAATAACAACTGCTCCTTTAAAGATTTAAATCTTTCTTTCAGCTTTTCGTCTACTTTCGAATTCGGTGTTGTCCAAATTTCGAACGAATTGCTTGGTTCCGTCTAATTTTACGAAACAGCCGATATGAGCTTCTCTGTCTATCTTTTTTTTTCTATGTTGTTTAACCGTTAAAAAAAAAAAAAACTCGATTTAAGTTCTTTTGTTGCTTTCAGTAATAATTTAAGTCTAATGTAACGGGGGACAGCATCAAAAATGGGATTAGATATTCAAAAGTTTCTTAAAAAGTAGTTCTCCATTAGTAAGTCCCATTATTGGGAATTCATCAGTGATATTTAATTTCTCTTGTTGGACCAAATTATCTGTATTACTAAAGCAGCTGGTGCAACTACTTCCCCTTTCCGGGGAATATCTTCCTCAGGATTCCAGGGCTTTGAATATTTCTTTCAAATGACTTCGTTCAGAGTGGTACAATTATATTTTTTTCCGGATTTTAATCCAGGTACAGGAAGCTCATCAATCCCGTACGTGGGTATGCTTGACCAAACCTAAAATTAGTTATTAAGAAGACCTACAAGGCACTATGGCTGTTTGAAGGCTTAGTTCAGAAGCGTCCAATGTTCATAAATTAAACAGAGACTAATTGAAGGAAAAACTAATAACAAAGTCCAGGCTATTTACTGTTGATTATTTTCTTACAGGTACAATTATGACTCACACGTGAAAAAGTAAAAGTGATCGGTACAGTGTCTCGATTATATTGCTGGTTACTCAATCAATTTTTAATTTCCTTTGTACACAAAGTATGAATCCTCGAATCGACTTTTTTTATCTCCGTGAAATGAGACGGTAAGCACTGTGCTACGATCGAATCAAGAGGAACAAAAAAATATTGGTAAGCGTGTGAATATAAAGATTTATATTTTCGTATATTTTTTCTCAGCTGTTAGTTTAACCGTAAGTAGAGACCAACCACATGAGGAACAGTCAATCGAAAAAGAGCTGGTTAAATGGTACGTCCTTATTCGAGCTAGCAAATACAAGAAAGTTAATTTGTATCTTTTTAATAGTGACACACATGTAGTGGTTATTTGATTAAATGTAGAAATCATATCTATACCGTAAAAAAGCTCTTTAAGCAACAAATAGACTTTCATATCAATAAGATAAATGTGTCACTTATAAATGTCTTTTGAGTTACTAAAAAGACTCAAGCTAGCATTAAAGTCTTCTGCACGTAGATAAGTCAATAGTGTATTATCAACCAAATACTTTTATATTTTAAAGCACTACTTTGGGTGGGTTTACGCTACCCGTATTCTTCTACTTTTATAGTGTATCATGTTACTTGAACGAGGAGGCAGGTTAACCGCAATGCCTTTTAAAATAGAACATAAAATCTGACAAATATGTCTAAAAAAAAGTAAAGTACGTGTAAAAGCATACTATATGTCATGTAGTTACCAATTTTTCTATATCAAAATGTTGTAACCCATTGGTTAATTGCATGCATGCCATACCAAGTACAATACACAACTCACATAAAATGTAACGGAAAAAAAGAGCGTGTGTAAAAGCATGAATATATAACACCATAAATTTAAAGCATATATAAAGGACATACTTTTTGAAGAGAAAGTAATCATTATTCACTAGGCAATTAAAAAAATGCGTTTTAACTTTGCAACTTTGGCATTAGCAACTACACTCCTTATCTCTGGAACACAGGCTGGTACTGCTCCAAAAATCGAAAGTTGTCCGGCTTTATCTCCCCGTGCAACTGCTGCTACCAAAGTTACTGATCTTCGCCCCGATGATATCAAGGTTGTCGCTGCCCTTGGTGACAGGTACATATATTAAAGAAGCTCTACCCGATTGAGGTCTAACTTTTACATAGTATCATGGCTGGATTTGCCGCCGAAGGCATCCAAGGTACCTCCATTATCAACCTTAAGAGTTTGAACGAATACCGTGGCGTCAGTTATGGCGGTGGCGGTGATGCAGGTGCTGTTACCGTCCCTAATTTTATTAAAAAGTATAACCCTACGTTAAAGGGCTCATCAGTTGATGAGCATCTCATTGAACTCTGTTATGGATTGCTCTGCCCTCCATTCCAATGTATGTGTAAAATTATTTTTAAGTTCCTTACCTATACTGACCTGAATATATAGACAAACCTGCTAAGGACGTATTAAATGCCGCACAAAGTGCTGGATTAGCAATGAATCTTGATCATGAACTCGACTATCTTCTTCCTGCAATTAAAAACTTACCTGGTATTGATTACCAAAACGACTGGAAACTTATTAATATGCAGATTGGAAGTGAGTTTACATACATATATAAAAACATTGATGTGAAGCTAAATAATAGCTCCTCTATGATAGGCAATGATCAATGCGCTTCTTGTATCAATGCTTTGGTTCCTTTATTGACTCCCAAGGCTTACGGAAAGCATGTCACAGATGCTATTGAGCGCATCAGAACTACAGTACCCCGCGTACTCATCAACCTGAGCAAGTATTTCAAATTACAGACTGGATAGCATATTAATTATATTTCAAATACTTAGTTGGCTCATTCAATGTAACCCAGGTTTATACCGTTACCGCAGGCCAAGATTACTGCAAGCCATTCCAAAATACCGACTTTATTTTCAACTCCCTTGAATGTCCCTGCGCAATCGACAAGAAATACCGCCCTAAGATGGATCTCGTATCCGCAGGTATGTAAAATAATATATGGCATATTCAATAAGTAACATGATATTATTTTAAAGGTTATACTGAACAGCTTCGATTAATTCACCAAAAATATAAGCCATTGAGAACCGATACATTCGGTGTTATGTTCTCTCCTGCCAACATTGATGTCTCTTCTTTCCCCGTTAATGGCTTGAGGTTAGTTATATAGATAAACACTTGTAGATATCCAGGACTAAATAATGGTACTAGTAATATTGATTGCTTCCACCCAAGCACACTTGGTCATGAATATGTTGCCAAGGTACGTCGTAAATGATGCAGGCGTCATTACAATTATTAATTTTTCATTATATGTAGTCTTTATGGAACACCCTTTTTGTGCCTTTGGAAAGCAAGCCAAAGGAAATGAGATGGGTTCACGATTTGGAAGTTTACTGTCCCTCTGAAGTTGATCGTTTCCAATTGGATTAATTATCAATTCTGTTGTTACACAAAATGTGTTTAATAAAACTGCCTGATGATGTTGTGGCTTATTTTAATCAATGATTTATTATTTTATACAGTGCGAGAATATGCAAATTAGAGGAAAGCAAAAGTGTGTTGGTATTAATTAGTATAGTTTGAAGTTATTTTGGTACGGGTACACCCAAGAATTTGGGTAAATAACGGGCCCAACCGAGTTGATGCAGTTTACGTACAAAAGCAGGAGTAATAGCAGCAGTAATACCGAGTCTTACGGGAAGTAGAAGAGTCTTATGGATGCCGTAAGCTAAAATAAATACAGAAGCAAAAGATGGGGTATCATCTTCGTTCATGACAACATCTGAGCCATTATCTACGGTTGGCTTCTTTGTAATTCCAAATCTCGCGCCAGTATCGTAAAACACATCTAAGACACCCTTTTCTAAAGCCTTTACTTTATCCAGTCCTACTAATTGAATGACACCAAATGTGACACCCAAATCTACTACACCAACACCGAGATAGACAATAACGCCTACTGCGCCGTATTTTTGGGTAAGTTCTCTCAATTTTGATGGTTTGGGTTGAGCTTTAGCAGCCTGAATTATTTCGGGAGAGGATGCCATAGAAGATATTTCAGAAGCTTGTTGTTTTCCTGACGAAGAGTAAAACCGCAAAGTAGGTTTCGACCTAGCAACGGAAATCCTTCCGACAAATGGCTCTTTGACAATATGTCGAAAGACTGGCTTAAAGGCAGGTAATATACGTTTACCAAACAAAACATTACGGATTACAGTAGTTGAACGGACTGACATATTGATTACTTCGTTTGCCTATCGTTGGGTTTGATCAAAACCTTGTTAATTGGAAAGAAAAGAAAAATAAAGATTGAAAATCCCTTTTTTATTTTTATTGAAGACCCGGGGTCGGAAGCAATTTGACGCATACTTCTTTACTTCGTGACTGCGCAGTAGTAATACCGTACCTGAATTGAATCACCCGATAGGTAGCCTTTATTTTTATAAGCCGCCTACTTGTAAAAAGCTTGTTCAGCAATTACGTTTGACACGGCTATTGTTGGTTAATAGGCTAGAAATATACAAAATAAGATTCAGATTGCAGTTTATTATTTAAAAGAAAGTTTATGTTCTGGATCCCACTCTTTGTCTTTACTAATGACGATACAGTTAATCTATATTGTTTGCCCTATGCTTTAGACATCGCTTTAATGACACCAATAAAGCAAAACTCACCGTAGCAACATAATCATAAAAATACTACAATTAGTAGTAATGCAAGTATTGCTTCTCTACTCCTTTTCGTTTAAAGAAAAAACATCCTAGCCTATAATATCATCTACAACCAATTCATTTGAGTTGTATTTTTTTGTTAGCCATACTGAATTTATTGGGCCAATAAACCATTAGCTACACTCAATCATAGAAAGGTACAAGTTGGGCCTTGAAAAAAAGACTTCAAGTTTTATTGTTTAAAGCAAACAAACATTATTGGCTCTTACAATTGAGTGACTATGAAAATAATTGGTGGGTATCTAAAAAAGTAAATACCTTTGGGTGCGCTTTAACGGCCTCGTTTTGACGAAATGCTAACTAGGAAAAGTTTCGCCATTTTTAAACGACATTCAAGCTCATTTTATGCTGAAGCTAGTAAAAAATGGGCTGGTACAAGAGCGATGCAAGAATTAGTTCAAAGTAAACCTTCAGTAGTAGGATTAGGTTCCGGGTCCACTATCGTGTATGCTATTGAGCATTTGGCAAAGACAGATTTAGCTAGAACAGTGACATGCATACCAACAAGTTTTCAGACTCGCCAGTTAATCCTTGCACATAGTCTCAAGTTAGGCTCATTGGAACAGTAAATATTAGCAGCCAGCTGTCAATGTTCAGTAGTTATTAAGCTAAAAAAAAAAAAAATAGATATCCCATCATCGATATTACTATTGATGGCGCAGACGAGATTGATCCACGTTTAAATGCTATCAAAGGAGGGGGTGCCTGTTTATTTCAAGAAAGACTGGTGGCACAATCCTCGCGTAGATTTTTGCTTGTCGCAGGTGATTAAGGATGCGTATAAACATCTATCAAAAGTTTAATGTATTTGAATAGATGCAACCAAAAAATCTAAAAAACTCGGAACACAGGTAACTAGCCAGATTTAATTACTGCATTCTGAAGCTGAAATCTAATCAATAGTGGAGACGTGGCGTACCAGTCGAAGTTGTTCCTCTAGCACTGAATGCCATTACATACTCGCTTCAACGCATCTTTCCTGATGTGCATATTCAGCTTCGAATGGCAACACCTACTGATAAAGCTGGCCCTGTTGTCACAGATAACGGGAATTTGATTCTAGATTGTGACTTCGGACCTATTGACGACCCTGTTTTATTATACAAAGAAATCAAATGTTTGTCTGGGATCTTGGACGTTGGCCTATTTTGTAAAATGGCAGAAGCAGCATACATAGGGGACCTTAAAGGAGATGAAGGGGTGATACTGACTAAAGATTGATTGCAAATACAATAAAACCATAACCTGCTATTTTCAGAGATTATGAAATTGTTTTTGCGACAAAATTAAATAATAATGGGCACGATTGTCATTAAGATACAATGTCTTTTGTATTATTATACATAATTCATTCGAAAAATGTCGCAAGGAGTATGATTGATGCCAAGTCACTTTTAATAAAGATATTGTAGCAAGATTAGCATTTACATTTTTTGTCTATTATTATTTGAAATATATTTATTATTCTATTAGTTATTGTACATATTTATTTTACACTTTAATATTTTCCACATTCGCCTCTAATCTATCTACCCTGTCTAAATAGCTGACATACTCTTTTATCGTACTAGAAACAACGGCTCTTAAACGAGGTTCGCCCATGTTTTCTGCGCCAGTAATTTGTAGTGCGTCAGCTAGCAAAGTACAAGTGCGGGTATGAAGTTGGTCGTTATTCGAAATGAAAATATCGTCCCTTTTACGGTGTGTCTTCTTGACATTGCTTACACCATTGTCTTCGGACTTGTAGAAAAATTCTGTAGATATCAGTTGACATGCTTTATCTAACTTTCCGGCTTCGACCAATGCCACTATATAGCGATTCCAGTTGTGTTCATCAAATGAGTATCTGTTTTTAGAAAGTTCGGTCCAGAGTGCTTCCACATTGTCATACCGTTTTTGAGCGATAAGCGAGTTGACATAAACTGACAATGCAAAAGGGGATACTTGCTTTGGTTTCAACAGCTTGCTGATTTCGGTAGAGTCTTGCTCGTCCAGCGTTAGTAAATTGGTGTAGTTGTATTCAATGTCGGGCACAGGTATAGGTTCCTTAAATAAGGGGTCAAGATTTTCTAATTTTGACGTGTTGTTTTTGTAAAGTGCATTCCACATTGATTCAACTGCGTCATAATTGGCTTCTTGCTCAAAGATATTCATGAGTGTGACAAAAACAGGAAGAGTGGTGGGTACAGAAAGTTCGACCATTGTTTTGTATGATAATTTGGCTTGCTCGAAGTTACCTGCTTTAGCATAAGTATCAATGATCGGAGAGAATAGATATGCAGAAAGCTTTGCTTTTGTCCTAGATCCATCCGGCGAAGCCTTGTTTAAAATATCCTCAATCGTTTCAGGGAGTGCTTTATCATAGTCTACATGATCGACTGCATCTTTCAAGAGTCGACGCTTGTGGTGTATTGTGATAGTTTGTTTGGAACGGTCGATGACTTCTGTTAGAGCTGATTCAGCAAGATCTAACTTATCAGCTTTGATGAAACCGTTGATCAAGACACTCCAAGTAACAGTTGAAGGTTCCCATCCAGCTTGAATCATACGGTCCATTACCTTCTTTCCTTCATCGAGTTTATCGCATTCGAAATAAGTTTGCATCAATATAGTCCAGCAGACAGCCCCAGGTGTAATATTGTTCGATTGCATAGTCTCAATGAGTGATTCAACAGATTTAATCTCTTTACGTCTTGAGTAAAAGTACATTAAAATACCATATGTATATTCATTGGGGTTGACAAATGATTTTGACATACGCTTGTATGTATCCAGCACTTTGTCCATAACATTATTTTTGGTATATACATATAGTAATGCATTGTATGCGTGGGAAGTGGGTCGGTACTTTTTTTTGAGAATTTGAAAGATATTTTCTGCTCCTTCAATGTCGCCAGCCCTAGCATAAGCATTCATCAATATAGTGTACGAATGCGAGCTTGGTTTCACTCCTGCCTGTGTCATCATGGAAGCCACCTTGTGCGCACCTTCAGGATCCCCTCGTTTTGCATAGTAGGACATTAAAGGGTTAAATGATCTTGCTTCCAGACCCATCTGTTCCTTGTTCATCACCTCCAGTAACATGATGGCTTCACGAATGTACTTGCTTTCAACAAGACCCTTGCACATTAAATTATAAGCTTCACGAGCAGGTGGAAGACCACGACTGGCTTGTTTTTTCAAAAGTTTTAGGATATCCATGGCAGAGTCATGGTCATTTAAAACGATAAAACATTCAATGAACGAAGAGAAAATATAAGGACTTGGTGTGATTTTATGCGACTTCATATCATCCAATAATTTCCTAGCGGCTGCAAGTTCGCCTTTCTTGGCGTACATATCAATTAAGGTACCAAATGTGATATTATCCGGCAGGAGTCCTACTTCACCCAGCATGTTATAGATTAATTTTACGCCGGCGACGTCGGGTTCGGGTTTTTTGTGAGCATGAATATCAATCAAAGCATTAAAAGTTACCAAAGTGGGTACAAGATTTGCCGCCATCATTTCCCCCAGTAATCCCATAGATCTGTCGATATCACCAGCTCTACCTACTTTATGAATCAAAGAAGTCATCATACGTACAGTTCGAGGGATTTTTCTTTTTGTCATAATGTCATTAATCTCCAAAGCATATTCAGGTCTACCGGCACTCGATAAATATATAACCATGTCTCGATATAAAACAGGATCCAATTCTTTAGATTTTCCTGCCACATTCATACCGATCTTCGTCCATATCCATTCCCAAACTTTCTCAGCCATTCTATCCGATCTACCTCCCAGTTTGATGTTGTCCATAAGTAAAGCTGTAGTTGAAGCTGTAGGCTGTATGTTCCTATCCAACATTTCCCCATAAACATACATCGATTTTTCAGCAACCGCCATCGGCCCTATCGATTCGGCTTGTTCTGCGTATGTAGTTAACATAATATTAAAAGGCTTTTGTGCTGCCCCGTCTATTGGTGATGAAACAAATAATAGCTCTTCGCTCTTCAAATCCTCAAATATTTTTTCCATAGCTTTCACATTGCCATTCAACCCAAGTGACCGCATCAGTAAAAGTTTTTCTTTTCGACCCACTTGATATCCTAGCTGCTTCATATCTTCGACAAGAGTTAACATATATTCGAGACATTGTGTATGATGTGTTTTGGAATGATTGAAGAGCTTAATGAGCTGTCTGTATTGATCTCGGGAAAGATATTTTTGAATATGTCGACAGGTCAGATCGCGGTAACACTCCCAAGCTAATTCTGGACTATCCTTTCGTAACAATGAAAAAGTATTGTCGATAAGTGATTGCGCAATGGAAGCATTCGATTGGTTGAGTGCAACAGAGAGAACGTCGTCGTAATGATCCGAATTATTTGATTTTGACATTTCTGACGAGCTGGTGACTGTGGTAACCGATCTATTCCAGGAGGTTGGTATCCAAGGTCGTGGTAAGATATGTTGATGGGGCGTCTGGGTAACTAATGTATTTTTATGTTTTGAAGTTGTCAGACGTCGTCTAGGTTGTGATAGTTGACTTTTACACTCTTCTATCCATAAAGTCGTAAGTTGTTTGGAATTTTTACATTGACAGCGCTAAATAAAGGCACTAATTAGGATTCATGTGTATATCGTTTTGTTGAAAAAACTCACCCGACTTTGTTTGCAGGACCCTGCAAGAGTTGAGGTCAACATATTTCTGGTAAATATGTAATAAAAAGAATGGGGGGAATATTTTAGCTATTTACAAATGAATTGTATTCCCACTTTTATAATTGTGGTCCTATATTTTTAACAGTGCCAATTTTTTTTTTTATATCCCCTGCCCTGTTAACTGCGCCAGGCTTCAGGTTTGGCTTTTGACAGATTATTGGCCATTTCATAAAAAGACCGAAAAATGATGACGTTTCCTTGCTGGTCCTGAATTTGAAAGTTTAATGACCTTCTTTTTGATTACAACCTTTGACGTGTTTAAGCATATTGTGCCTTATATGCAGAAGATCTTTTTTTTTAATAAGAGAGAGAGAGAAAAGAGCTGAAGTAACATGGCTTTTGCAGATACTATTTCTCAATTTGCAGTTGTCGAAATCAATATCAGGCAGACAGCTACGTGTTCAAGATATAAAGTCTGATGTCAAAAACTCCGTGTCATACAGGAGTCAGATACTCGTGTAATTAAGCCTAACATACATCTTAGCCAAACTTTTTGTTCGTCTCTAATATTTTCAGGTTATTACTGTGACTTTAATAAATAGTACAATAATAATTAAAAAAAAATGCATGAACTGGTTTAAGCTTGGTTTTTTTTTTATTCCTGTAATGACCTTGCGGTTTAAGTAACCGCATCCCTAATTCTTTTAAAATCCAAAAATAATCTTCAATTTTCCTAATTTATCTGCCTTGTTTTCCTTGGACTTTATTATACTGAGTTCTGCACAAATTTAATTCAAAAAGACCATATTTCATTTACTATTGTTACACCACCATAAAATTATTTAATAAAATCTTTAGTTTGTTCTTTACTATAATCTGATTTAGTCTTATTCATATAAGCCTGATTTCATTATAAATATATATAACTACTATAATTGTACGAAAGCCCTTCTTATAAATCAGCACTGAATAGTCTTAACAGTTGTATTTTACTATACTCCTTCGAAGACCCAGATAACTGATTCGTCGTAGCATTTCCCTTTTATAGCTTTATATTTTATTTTATCTTAGTTGACAACTTATAGTCTGGTGCTCACTTTTTAAGAACTTTTCTCTTACTCTTTTTCTTTATTTCACGTTACCGCTTTTACACTTAAACAAGCCAATAACACTATACCTAACTTTATAAAGACAGATATATTAAAATGCCGTACTATCTTTAATATAGATTAATCACAAATTTTGAACTATAGTAAAACATCTTTTATCATCCGCTCGCAACTCATTATAACTAGGAACGATTACGACAAAAATCTCTCTGACAATATTAATGCTGGAAAAAACGACAGTAAACGTCACACGAAATACAGCCGAAGCAAAAAAGAAAGTGCTGACTGTGAGATTCGAACTCACGCCTCTTGCGAGACCGCAACTTGAGTGCGGCGCCTTAGACCAACTCGGCCAAATCAGCTAGATGCTATTACAATTTTTGAAAATGTAATATTCCGTTAAGTTTTATTTTTTTAAAATCACGTGACATACACGTGGAAGAACTATGATTGGGTGGAATTCACTTATTTGTGTGTTGTTAGTGGACTCCATTGTGAGCTCCTGTGCTATGAGTTATATAAGACGGATTACGGTGGTTTTATTTTCGAGAAAAAAAAACCTAAAAATGTAAGGAGTAACATTGTAGTTTGGAGTCTGAGAAATTCGAGAAATAAAATAACGAATTAAGAATAGAAATAAAAAATTTGACGAAGTAAAATTATCAAACTGCAAAAATAAACTAATGTCTTTATTATACAATAAATTGGGTTCTTTATATACATATTCAGGGCTGGCTAAATATCAATCATTAGATTGAAACCTGTCAAATATACAATAGGCGTATTGTCAATTAAAGATCGAGCATCTCATGGTACCTTCGAGAATCTTGTTATTGACGAGCGATCATTTATCATTGGATTGTATTATCTGGAATAAATGTATGACTATTGTTTTCTATTATATTTATGAGTAATCAATGCGTAGTAAATAGAGTGTAATAACATGTATTTAATTTAAAGAGTAATGCAATAATGATTTATAGAAAGGTTATCAAAGAAGAAAGAAAGAATTGATGATAGAGTTATATCTGTATATAAGCTCGATCACAACAAAGTCATAATCTTGTGCTATTTTAAGACAAATTATACTTTGTTATGCTTCTATAGGTCGAGTATATTTGTTCTTGATTCTCCATATTTGATGATGCCACCTAATTTAGTATACATTTGGCGTTTTTATGCCTTCTCTGACGCTCATTATCGTCATACATAATAAATACATTTCGTTGCCGTTGTACCTATCAGCAAAACATGTCTTTTTTAGCCTAATCAGAAAAGCAGATAGTACTGAGATGAACAACGTAAAGGCTTTGATTGTACTATTATTGATTTACTAGGACCCCATATGAATCAACAGAGAGAAGTCACTAAGGGCAGACACGTCCTACAGAGCGTTATTTGGATGCCTTCTCTTTACACCATATGTATTTATAAAACCAGAGGCAACGCAAATCACGATTTATGACAATTGAGGGATAACCACTTCAATACATACTGTATATAATATTGTTTAAAGAAAAAAGAAACTACTGGGAATCAAAGTTCCAGTGATCTTTAGTGGAAATGACTATATCTAATTGCAAGCTCAACTACTGTATATTTAAAGAGAATCAGGTGAATTAAAAGCCTGATCTGTTTCACTAGTTTATCTATCGTCTGGGTAGTTAATCCTCGGAAGCATCTTGATATTTTTCAACTGAATCCGATACACTTGTCTTGGTTCATATCTACAGCTTTGTGAGAATGTATTTAGCGGCCTGCTCAAGTATGCTCTAATTAGCAGTAAAATAAAAAAGAATACTCATAGTCTAGTATTGGAGTTACTAAACTTCTGATCACTATGTTTTACTAAATTTAGTGTTGAGTGCAACGTATAAGAGTTGATACTATCGAAGGCTTTTTTTTTTGGTTCCATAGTGTCGATGATTTGACGCAGATTTTTTTTGGAGATTTGTGTTCCCCTTTTTAAAAATAGTGCCCCCTAATTTTTTTTAAAGTCATTGTCGGGAGAAAAGAATAATATTTACTTGGCTATCTTCAAAGGAAAAATTCATTAACAGTTGTAAGCTACAATTTTCATATTCATGCCAGAATCGTTTTTACGCAGATACATTAGTAGCCAATAAGAATACATACGTTTACATTGTACTCTTTTAAAATATTGTGTCGACTGTGATCAGTACATTCGTCATATTATAAATACTTCGGATCAAAAGTGAGACGTTCATAACTTAAATTTGATAAATTACATTTACGCAATCGCAGAAGTATAAGATCTGTCTCTTTGCCTGAAAATTAAGTTTAAATCGGCTGACTATTTGTGAAATATCTTGTCATAAAATAGTTACTGATTTAGAAATTCATTTTTCAGGCATCTGCTCAGCACTTCGCAATCGTTTCATTTTTTCGGTCGAACAAATATCCGAAGTATTTGAAAGATTTTTTATTCGAGGTAACTTGTTTTTTATCTATTCTAGCTCTCATGTTAATTAATGGAGAGAAATGGGCCTGTGGTAAAATTTGAGTAGGACCTGTCTAAAAAATAAGTGTTTATTAACTTTTCTATCTCTAGAAACCTGCATCAAAGTAAGATAGTATTAAGTTTCGAAAAGAAAGCAATTTAAACAGGTCAAATAGGGTCACCGTGCAACTCATTGTAAACATACAGATCGTGTGTTGGTACCGATTAAAAAGAAGGGAAGACCCTCAACACAATGTAAACGCTGTCGAGAACTTCGCATTATAAGACAGCTTCATGTAAAGTGCGATTGTGAAGATCAAAGTAAGCTTCAGGTCAAAATGAAGTACACACAAACACTGAGATAATTAAAAATAGGCCCCAATCCACCTAAAAAGAAAAAAGACTCAACGATTGGTAATTATTTCGCACACACAAGTTTGATACACAAACTTAATTATTTACCTTTTCTGTAGCCATAAAAAAAAAGATGAAAATTGACATTTTACGGCCGATAGCACCCAAACAAGAGGTGAAGCCAAGTTGTTGTGGTGGAAAAAAAATGTCGATCATGCCCATGTTACCAGCAGCACCAGCATTACCAATGCCACCAAAATTACAAGCACCTCCAGCACTTCCAGCATCACCAATGTCCTCAGCATCCTCAATTTCATCGATGACCGGAAGTTGTTGCACAAAACCACCGACATTACTATTTGAAGCAGTTCCATTACCTAATATACCACCACCTACATCCTGTTGTGGACCGCCTTCTAAAAACCAACAAGGCGAAACTATCCGAGTGGTAACTTGCCGATGCGGTGATTCTTGTGCCTGCATTGGATGTGACGCTCACCCCTCGAGGGCAATGAAGGAAGGAAAAAATGATGTTTATATTGGATTTGACAGTATCAACAATAACCGAAGATTATCGATTGCTTCAATGTGTTCCAGCAATACTTTACCAAAATTAAATATTCAACCCTCGGAAATGGATCATCCAAGCTCTATATTATCTGAAGATGGCGTATTGTTATGTGGCTGTGGATGCTCCAAGACATTCGAGGATTGCTCAGGATGTTTTAGTGAATTATGTCAAGAGGGATATCTGTAATATATTTTTTTAAATACACTTTTATTATGATTATTGCTATTACTATTATATTATTGAGAATATGAAGGTTGTTGAAGACCACGATGGTCCATATTTCTATTAGGTTGACTTCTTGTATTAGGTGAGGGCGATCTATTATGATTAGGTGACAATGATCTATGATTGATAGGTGAAGGTGATCTACTTTGCTGATTATAATGATATGCTTGTTGTTGCTGCTGCTGGTAATGATGAAGATTCGGATCAAGATATCCCCTTTGTTGTTGTTGTTGTTGATGATGATAGTATTGTTGCTGTTGTTGCTGTTGATGATGCTGTTGTTGATTTTGCATTGCTCTTTGTTGTTGCTGTTGCTGCTGTACTTGCTGGAAACTGATATTATGCGATCCAGGTTCTGGTAATTGGCCAAGCAATCCTTCAAGTTTATGAACCACCTTTGGTTTGATTCTTTTCGCATCGGCTTTTTCTTGTTCGAGCTGCTTCAATAAATCCATACCCGACATTGTTCTACCATTGCCATGCTGTTGACGTCTCATGTTAGCAGAATTTGATTTTGACGGCTGGATTTGATGTTGAAATAAAGCTAACTTCGCTTGATGATATTGTTGCATTTGATGAAGTTGCTGGAGATGACTTCCTTCCACAAGCGTTAAAATAGGACCGGCATTTGGGTCGCGGTTTGCTAGTAATGCCTCATTATCATCATCATCTGCTTCTTGCTCTTCTTCTACAATAACAGGAGTATTGACTTGCACAGGTTGGTATGCAGAGTGATGCATATTTCTTTGATTGTTCTTTTTAGATACAGCATTCTGATTTCTTTGTTCCTCTTCCCCGTCATCATCATCATCATCATCTAAGTAGCAATATTAATACTTGCTTTTTTTTTAAAAAAAATTATGCGAGGAAAATCTACCTTCCGAATCCTCATCGTCACTAGGTAACGGCTGGCTTTTGCGAACAGGTTTTTTTGCTGTAGTTGATACGACGACAGGAGTATTAGATCTCAGTGCAGATTGGACACGAGGAGAAGGACCTAAATCATTTTCTTCAGAGCTTAAAATACTTTGGTCATCGTCTTCGTCGTCCTCATCAGAGTCTTCATCATCGCTTGGAATACAAGGTCTATTACGGGGCTTTGGAACTAACAATGATTGTTGGTTGAATATACAATTTATTCCTGCACCACCCCTTTTTTTAAAGTTTTTTTTTTTTTTTTTTTTTTTTCTACAAACCTCTTTGTACAGTGATCGCTGGTGGCACAACTTCCTTGTAGATTGATCCACCAAAATTTTTGTTGTTGGCACGACGAGGTACTTCAAATGAAAGATCATCCAAATCGATAGAGATATCCTGTAATGACATTATTTTTTGTAAACGATTGGAAAATTAAGATAACAAAAAAAGGGAAAAAGAAAGAGTATATATAAATTTGACGTACTTATACTTAAAATAAAGAGGGGGTTGAAAAGGAGTTTGTATAACCATCTTGTTAAAAATAGAACATAGTATAAATACCTATTTTATTGTTTGGTATGCTTAATTACAGACTCGCCGTTCTTTGCCAGAGGTTTTGGTAAGGAAAAGGTCACACTAAACTCGTGAAATATTCACGATGCGAGTATAGAAAAGAAGGCTTAAGACCAAAACTTAATCGTTAAGGAGCTTTTTATTCAAGATTCGGTTGTGGTTTATCTACAAACAAGGCTCTTTTCCGTATCTACAAATAAATTTTAGCTGTGCGCAGCAATACTCGACACCCGCATCATTAATTATGCTAATATAAATATTTATATTCCCTTTTCTTTTAATTAAGAGAAGCTAGAACACTACATGTACCAGCTGGCAGTAGAGGAACACCTAATTTAATACACACAACATAGAAAAATTTGCTTCATTGGCAACTATTTTTACCCAATTGACATCTCGTGTAAAGCAGTCAAATAAGATACCTTCACAAGGTCCTCCAATCGACTATACGGATTTCAAACACGCCATCGATGCCTAAATTACCAGCCACCACAGTGGGTTACATGGCATTCCAAATACCTAATCAGGATGCAAAATATTTATTTAAGCGGAGAAACTAACACCCAACAACGCCAGATTCTGTCCGTGGCCGAGACCACTGGTTAGCTTTTGACACGCGCTTTTATTTTATCGCACTTGGAACAATAGCAATGCCAAATTTGAAATTAAAAAAAAAAAAAAAAAAAAAAAATGGTTATTTTTAATTGTCATCTATTTCTCCTTATTGCATGTCTTTTTGAATATTAAAAATAGTCATGTACTAGTATTCAGACATACTTGGATAAACTTCTTTCGGATGAACAAAGGAGAAGAATAGTTTGGGATGCCATCCATTGACCGCACGTGTAAACACAGAAACATTTGCTGCATTTGTTTGTAACAAGTAAAAGAGGGTTTTTTCTACAAAACAACAGCAGTAATCAAGTACAAAGGAGAAACATACCAGCTTTTTTTATAGAAAAGTTTAGTCAATGTAAACATACGTGTTCATCTAAAACATTAAATTATAAATTATATTTCCTGAGCGATCTAGTTACTTTTCTCAGGGACAACAAATGTGCGCGTATCCACAACTTAGGATCGAGTCCTTGGCTGTCCTTATTCTTTTAGGCTGATGATTTTAAGTCAGGCAGGAATTCTCAATTATACAATGCAAATGGCATATTAAAGATTTATTTTTCATCAGACTATTCATTTGCTATCAGTCAAATTTTAATAATTGCGTTGATAAACTCAAAGTTGTCATGAAAACAAACTCGTATGTCTATTAGACGTTGAAGCAAAGGTGTTCAACGTCTGCTTATTTTATAAAAAATGAATAAATTTGACAGCCAACTAGTGCTCGCTGTCATCCAATTATTTGTCATATTAATGCCGGGTTGCTATAATAAGTAGTAGTTTTTTTTTTTATAAACTAGGACATTCATGTATTTTCCGTAGCTTTTCCATAAAAACTGAACAAATCATTAATATGGAATAGCATGTAACAAATGAATGCTCTTAGTTTTTCATTGCATGACAATTCAACCTGTGTAAGTCCTTACAGATCTTTTATACTTACAAAGAATTCTGATTTACAAACAGCTTTGATCTGTAGATAAAGTATCTTACAAAGTTGCAAGAAGTGAGTATACCTGTATCTTTCTTTGATACAATCTTCGAAACGAAGCTTATGTGTAACTATGTCCAAGCTTTTTGACAAAATAAAAAAAGAGCATCCAAAGGGACGTATAGAGTTATGGAATGTAAGATCACATCCTTAGTGTATGTTTTTACTTTAATACCTGAGAGGGAGTCCATTGTGTTTTTTTGAGCCGTGATTTTGTGTACGAACACACTTAGAAACGGTTTTCCTTTTTGGGATTAAGGTTGTTACAGGAAAAGAGTCTTCACGGAGCGACCGTCCAGACGGTTTTTCAATCGTCCAGACGATTTTGATTTCCTTATATAGATGACCTGTTTTGGAGATTAGATACAAAGCAGTAAAAAGCAGACAGTCAGACCTATTAGAGGTTCTTTATGTATAAAAAACCGTCATCAGAATGGTACAAATTGCTATAAACTGATGAAACAATAGTCATCTGGGAAAGGCTGTTACCTCTCGTCCAAATAAAGAGTATGAAAATAACATCGTCTATTTTTAGGGTAAAATTGTGTATTATAAGAATAGCCTTATTCAGTGACGACAATTCGTTGTGAAGTCGTATGGGTGGGAATGGGCTGGTTTATTAGTCGGTGATGTTATTATATAAATTGTAGTGTTATGCTATTGTGTGTACGTGTAGAGGGAGGGGGAAGAGGGGTATGCTTTTTTCTTCAATCGTAATAGTTGATTTCAATCTAAAAACATAAAATATCAGTAAAAATTCAAATCAATTACATGCAAATACTTACAAAAAGAAATGCAGCTTTTACAGGATCAGATATAGATAATGATTGAGGATAGTAAATGTTTGAATTCTCAGACTCGATAAACAAGAGTAATTGTCTAACTGCTCTTTGATAATGGGTAGATATAAAAATAGGCGATATATATATGGTCAATATCTCCATTATATTTTCAAGAACAATACGCCATGATATTCTGTCGGCATAATCCATATATTTATTAATTTCGTTTATTGTATGAGCAAACTCTTGCACACTGATCTGTTTTATATTGGTTAGTTTACCAATAATAGGAAAAAATCAAAAAAAAATCTCCTTTTTACCTTGCCCTCCAACTCAGCTGGATATTCTGTGGAGAATCGTGTTATACCATCTGCTTTAGAATAATCTCGTTCGATTCTTATTGATTTGACTGGGACTCTTTGTTTAATAGTTATGTTTGTTTCGTGTGCCTTTGCTGTCATGGCATTATTGTTCTTTTTGGCTACGAAGTAAGTCAATGCGAGATTAGTTTTATACGTAAAAAGAGAGTAAAAAAAAAAAAAAAAAAAAAAAAGCGAGTGTAAAATTGATAAACAAATAAAAAAATTATTGCGTCACTCCATTATTATTAATTACCTGTCATGATGGTGGATGAGACACTGGAGGAAAGTCGTAATGTGGGTGAATTGATGGTCGAGGAGCTAGTGTTATTAATGAGTGTAGTTGTATCAATATGCTTAGACTGTTGAGCAAGAGAAGCAGACTCGCGTTTTAAATGAATGGCTTTTGGTAAACTTGGTTCACAATTCGTATTTGTAAACATACTGGTTTTAACAAAGAGGGAGGGAAAAGTATCAATAAGGGAAATAAAGCACAGCTTTTTTCTTCTTTTTATTTATTTCGTGAAACAAAGAACCCCATTCTAATTTTGAAAATCAGACCCTGACCTGGTAAGCAGCGTTTAATAAATCGCCATCAGAGGAATCCTCGTCCACTGACCAAACCATAACTCCTGCTAATCCACTAGTCTTTGCCTGCTTTACTTTGGCTGCAATTGATAAGGGATCATCATACGAGATAAACACTTTTGTCGTAGGGTTAAATAACCAAGGCGTGGATGAATCATTATCCCAATTACGTATCCAGGGAGCTTTTGCTGTTGTAGGTGTAGATAAAACACCTTCCGAGATCAGGTTACCAAATCTCCATATTCCTGTTAGGCCTCCAGGGTCTTTAGAGCAGTAGGGATCTTGATAGGATGCATCAAAAGAGTCCCCCTTGGGTGGATCACCTGTCACTTGGTCCTGATACATAGAGCCTTTAGACATATCTTCCTCCGCAGCTAACAACTCTCTTTGTTAGATTACTTAATTTTAATTAATTTCAATAATACTTACTTGTAGATCTTCCATAAAAAGCTAATCCACCAGTTAATTTATTGGCAGGTACACCAGCGCTTGTCCAGCTGTCAATAGCCGAAGTAAAACTAACACCTCCATTAGGTGACTCGAGAGGAGAGTTGGGTCCTGTTTGAGGATTCCATGCACCATTAATATCATATGTCATTAAATTAACTCGTGTTACTGCTTGTCCGATTGATTTCATTGCGCCATCACTGCCACCAGAAAATCCAGAAACATAACCTGCAATAGATAATTCCATATCATTGTCCAGCGCTGCCCGTAATTCAGTTAACAGAGTCAGATAATTGTCAACATCTGAATCCGCATCGACAACATTGCATCCTGCACCTTGTTTGCCTGGGTATTCCCAATCTAAATTAAATGTTAATTACATGCATTTTAATTTTTTCTCCCGGGTATAATAACACTTACCGATATCAACACCATCCGTGTTATATCTAAAAAAATGGAGTAAAATTAATAAAACAGTAACAACCTGTGGATGTAATATGTGTTACTTACTGCTTAATTTGGTCAAGGTTCCATTGAATAAACTTTTTTCTAGTAGATGCACTACTAGCCATTGTACTAGAGACGAAATACAAAATCAGTAAAGAAGGGACGTCAAATTTGGACAGCAACTTACCTAAATGTGATGCTACCTGACCACCCACCAACAGAAATGAGAACCTTGCAACCTGCTTTATGAGCAGCAGAGACCAAGGCAGGTAGCTGTGTTTCAGTGTTAGCAGGATCAGCCCAGAGAGGTACAGTATCATTTGTCATGATGGCAAAAGCATAGTGAATATGAGTATATTTCGAAAAATCAATACTGGATACTATGTAGTAAAATATATTGGTAAAAATTCGGACTCTTTGACTATTCATATCCGTAGATTACCTTCATATCTCCCATAAAGCCCTAAATATAATAAGATTGAAAACTTGTGTCTTTGATATAGAATATAGCGACTTCACTTACAGTTAGGAAAATACCCAATGACAACTTTATCAGCTGCCAATACAACGGTACTCGTCAATAATAGGAATAGTAGTTTAAAAATAGTAGACATATGGCTGTTTTTAAGTAAATTTCATGTAGAGAAGAACTGTTATTTATACTTTTCTTTCGTAGTAAAGTTTATTAGAACCCATGAACTGTGTAATATAAATAAATCGCTGTTAGGATAATTAAGTTAATCCGGGTATACAGTTATAATTGCTCTTCGATGATATAAGCCGATCTTGTTTATTTGAAACAGTTTTTTATTTTATCAAATAAAGTCTGCTACTACTGAATGTTAATCTACCTAAATCAAGGTTCCCTCTCTTTATATCCTTCTCATGTGTATCTTGTAAGGGATAAAAATGCTATTGGGAAACCCATATTGAGGAACTCCGGCCCGGGTCAAGGATCTCTGCGGATCGGACATGTAATTCAGTGGTAATGAGAGGGTGGAATATACAAGGAATTGTAAATCTTCGAGTCATCAAGTTCCTTCTCTGTTCATTTTGTCTAAAAAGGTGAGACAACATAGAATACATTCATCCATCTACAACAATATCGACTCTAGCATCATGGATGAACATTGAATTGGATGTGATGGATTTATGGGATTTTTTTCCCATCTTTTTTATTATTGTTACTCATCTCGCTTCCAAATGATGTAGAATCGCTAACATGCAGATTTTCGTCAAGACCCTCACTGGCAAGACTATCACCTTGGAGGTAGAGAGGTAACGTAATAACAAACCAGTGTGTGCTTGTGGGGGGCCTGTTGCTTCGATTTGGAATACTAATAATAATTATAATAGCTCCGACACTATTGATAATGTCAAGCAAAAGATCCAAGATAAGGAAGGTATGAACATTAACAGGAATGGAATGAAGTTGAATGGTTGGAATTAAGCGAGCTTGAATTTGTAGGTATTCCCCCAGACCAACAACGTCTTATCTTCGCCGGTAAGCAACTCGAAGATGGTCGTTCTTTAAGTGATTACAACATCCAAAAGGAATCTACCCTTCATTTGGTCCTCCGTCTTCGTGGTGGTATCATTGAGCCCTCTCTTAAGGCTTTAGCTTCCAAGTACAACTGTGAGAAGATGATCTGTCGTAAGTGTTATGCTCGTCTTCCTCCTCGTGCCACCAACTGTCGTAAGAAGAAGTGTGGTCGTACCAACCAACTCCGTCCCAAGAAGAAGTTGAAGTAAACTATTCGTTTTCTTTACTACTACCTCTTTTTTTTTTATTAAATCATGCTTAAATAAAAAATTAAACGTAGCTTTTACTACAAAAAATAATAATATTATACTTTTTAATGGACAGTGCCAAAACTTCGAATACTGTCTGCTCGAGGTGATTGAGGCGAGGAAACTCTTCCGCGATTAGGGCCATGTTTTGTGGATTTCATTCTATTTACAAATGCGTTTCCACCAGCTGCTTGTTCTCTGCATAATGGGCATCCCATATTTTGAGAAGATTTCAACAGCGCAGATTGATTCACTTTACTTGTTAGACTGCCTGGGTTATCACCATTGGCTTCAATACCATGTGTATTGGGTATCAAACAGCTTTCATGGTAAGCATGTCTACAAAAGAATATGATTGAATTGGGTATATCTTCTACATTCACTTCATCAAATACAGGCTCATCGCATATACTGCACAGCATCTCCTCTAAATGTAATAATAATAAATAAATTTACCAAGGATGGATTATTATTATGTGGTGACTTACGATTACAGTTTACGCCACGCTTATGTGCCTTGTACATTTTATCTGCCAAAAACACACTATCACTGACCAAGATCTTTTCGCATCCTTCATGCAAAGACATTTGTAGGTTGTAATCTTGTAAAATCTTCAGTAAAGATTCTTTTAACCCAGGAATTTCAAGATTATCAGGGATACGTTGAATCAGTCTTAAAGGTTCGATTTCAGTGCCGACATTTTCCAACAATCCACGAATAAATTCTAAAAAATATGGGTGGTTAAATACGATCATAAAAAACAGTAAATGGAAACTTACTAGGCTTATCCATGGAATATGTGAGCAAATCTTCCCAAAGATCATCATCCTTTTGCTCTTTTGCAAAGTCAATTGCCTATGACACAAACAAATAAATAACCCTCCTCCCCCCTTTTTTTTCTATCAATGCATGTCTTACTCGTTGAACATCGCCTAATCTTTCAATAATCAACATTAATGCTTTTTTATTATCGCCCATTCGACCGAGGATAAACACCATTTCAGGCACCAAATCCTTTTTTTCACACACTTTGAATGCCTATCTCCCCCCGCAAAAAATAAATAAATAAAAAATTAGATAATACAGCTAATACGCCATTAAAATTTTACCTCACCTTTTCCAATGAGATATAATGACTTGCACGCAAAAATTCCAATAGCTTTGGATAATCAAATTCTGCATATAATTCAACTTGAAGATCATGAAATTCGAACCCAAGATGATGATCACGATCAAATAGTGCATCCAAATAAATATGCAGGAATTGTCTGTGACGGCGAAGTTGTTTGACCACTTTTTCGGGCTATAAATACATATATATTGTTTACATTTGTTTGTCACAAATATTTACAGAGAGAATTACTACTTACAGGAATCGCGTCTGTATTCTTGACCAATAATTGGACCGCAGGCATCTTACTAGGTTTCGTATGATTTTCTTCCTTTTCCAGTAGATGCTGATCAAATTCCATTAACAAAACAGCCTTATCCTTGACTGCATCAAACATGTTGTATTCTTGGATCAATTCGAATGCATTAGGTCTGCGTAGACGGAGATTGTATTCGATTGCTTTATCGGGCTGATTATTGTATGTGTAACTTGAGACAATGTTAGCTTTTTACTTAATAAATCCATCAGGTGTTACTTACAGATCAGCAAGACATTCGAGCAGTACTTCATCATTACTATCCTTCTTGTTATAATCTTCCACGGCAACAATGACGTTTGATAAATTATACAAGTTCTTTGGCCATTTACGAATTGTATTCCTTAAAGCAATATGATCACTTTTCAAAAACCAAGCAAGGGCAATTTCATACACCGTACTGCTCAATTGAGGATCCTTGATGGGTATATAGGGAGTCATTGCCTTTAATTCACCCAATTCAACAAATTTGAACACCCAATCTTCCCAAAGTGTTTTATCGTCCTTTAAAATATCAGGGCAATTTTTGGCAGCTTCTTCAAATTTCTTTTCAGACATGAGCCATTTCAAATAAGTTTGACCGATATCATCTTCATTAAACTTTTTACTATTGACCGCAAGTCGAACAGCAAAAAGAGCTTCACCGAATTTTTCATGTTCCAATAACCATTCAATATGATCATCTTCATCTCTTGACCTTGCAGCAATGATATCTTTGGGTCCCATTATATAAAACATGTCTTCCTCCATCAAAAATTCCAGCACATAGTCATTGGCTTGGTAGTGTTCATATCCATGAAGCGCAAGTACGTCTGCTGAGATCTCTTCATTGTCTGCATTGATGATGTGTAACTCTGGTTTTGCCGCTAAACGTTTACGTCCCATATTTGATTCGTCCTCCACTTCATCTTCCAAAAAATAAGATAAAAGCATTAGTGTGTCATTGAATGGAGCAATACCACTGATCATGTAATCTGTTTGAAAGATGGTAGTAATCTCTACAAAATGAGAAGGTTGACCTTGAATTGGATTTGACTTTGCTTTAATGACGGCAACTTTAACAGTGTCTGCCCAACCAATCAATAATGTTGTATCGTTTTTCCAACACATTCTACACTTGTACAGATCTGCTCTTGGACTGCCTTCAGGTCGATCAATGTAAGTGATACGTACATTTGTTGTTGTATCATAAATTTTTACGCCTGTATCATTTGCCCAAGCAATGAAATTATTTCTCCATTGAATTGCATAGATAGGACCCTCATTTGCATGTAGTACAATATCCTTATTTCCCAACCAGCCTTTTTCATTCATGATCAATTGTTCTGCCATACCACCAGAAACAAATTGTCGGGTTTTTTTACGCGCATAGTCTGGATCCAGTGCGACTGATTTTACAGGTCTTTTATAGTTGTAATGCTGAATTTCGCCCGTATACAATGCATAGATATAGACGAGACCTTTAAAGAAGAAAAAGAGTTTGATATGAAACGTTTAGAGAATGTAAATAAAATAAAAAGTTACCATCGTCAGAAGCACTTGCAACAAACTCGTCTGATTTATCAATGGAAATGTCGTTCACAGTAGCAGAATGGTTCCTGAAACTTTTAATGAGGTTGCCTTCGAAATCAAGAATGTGAACAGCACCCCAATGAGTGCCAAGAGCTAAAAACTTGCCAGAAACACGAATGGTGGAAGCAGTGTCTTTATCGAGTATTTCTTTCACACTCGCACCCACTCTTCTGTATCTTAATTTCGGTTCATCTACATTATCATCGTCTTCGTCTGACTCTTCGTAATCTTCAGAGTTGGTTTCGTATTCGTCTTGTGAAAACTGTTCTTGTTCAGATACAGACATTTTTGCTTGTTACCTAAAAAAAAAAGGGGGGAGGGTCCTCTTGAAACTATTATTTGCATTTAAAAAAGTTGCACACGTCGGTGATTTATCTATGGTAACAAATACGTCACAGGGGACTGCTTATGGCATAGAAATCTAAAAATATTTTTTTCCTTCTATCTTTTACTTTCGTGTCAAAACACTAATTATTACAACATGTCTATGCGTCTTCCTTCTGCCGATGAGCTTGAACAACTCGAAGATATTGGTAAGCAGTAAAAAAAGGGGCGAAAAAGAAACATTTTGACTCATTTGTGTACAATTCTCAGAAAAGCAATGGGCTGTCAAGGTAATATAAGGTTTTGTTTTGTTTAGGCGAACGATGATTGATATTTTTATTTAGGCCATGCATCACGCCGAGACTTATTTCAAATTGATTTCTGCTATTGATCCCAAGAAACTCAAGTTAACAAAGTATGAAGAGGATAAGGTTGAAAAAAAAAATTAAGTGCTAAAACCTTACTGTGTAGGATCGATGATGAAATCTTAAAGGATTTTGAAGAGACCTTTCCCGAAATTAATGTCGAACATTTAGATGATAAGGATTTTAAGACTGCTGCCGCAAAGGAGAAATGGAGACTTTTTATCAACAAGTATGAAAAGAGAGTGAATGAATATAATTTTGGATCCTTGATCCGTATTGATTGTAGAGAGGATTATACTGAGGAAAACACCATGTTTGGTAATAATATTTACAAAAATAAAAATCAAGGTTTAGATATTAATATCCTCGCTTCTTTTTCTTATTCAGGTGTCCGCATGCAGGTATTGAAAAAATAAATCTTTTGCGTGCAGATGATCTGCCGGAAAAAATGTACTAACAACCCATTTATAGTTCTATGCTGTTGAAATTGCCAGAAACAAAAAGGGATTGAATGATGGTTTACGTAACAAGAAATAGATTTAATAATAAAACCTTGGCATTATGCATTACGATAGGAGTCCTGTGCCTCCTTTATGTTGGGGGGTGGCAATAAAATATCTTGACAACAATTATTAAATTGTAATATGTGTAAGGAGATGTATTATGTATATGCGCGGATTGGGAAGAACTTTCCCTACATCTTCAACCATTTAATGAATATAAATACAACCCCATTTTCCATTGCTCTATCCTTTTTTTTTTTTCTTTTCTCTTATACAATAATTATATAAAACAAAATGCTTGGTAGATCTGCTTCTAAACTCTTTCAACACCGCCGCCATATTCTCGCTTTAGGCGCTGTTGCAACAGGTGGTGCCACCTTATTCATGACTTCTGATAAGCAAGTCCATGCTGAGTCTAATAAGCTCAAGTTCTGGCAAAGTTTACCTGGTGAGAATACACCTGAAAACCCTGGTTTTGCTAAATTACGTGGTGTTGCTGCTGAACAAAGATTCAGAACTTCATTGGCTCAAAACAATGGCAAGACGGATTTTGATGTAGTAATCGGTAGGTTTATTATTATGGTTACTTATTTATTTATATTAACATATCTTAACAGTGGGAGGTGGTATTATTGGTTTGGCTACTGCAAGAGAATTATTGAAACGATTTCCTGATATGACGGTAGCTGTACTCGAGAAAGAACGTGAGGTAGCTGCACATCAAACTGGTCACAATAGTGGTGTCATTCATGCTGGTATCTACTATAAGCCTGGTTCTCGTATGGCAAAGACATGCGTACGTGGTGCTGATTTGATGTACGACTACTGCAAACAAAATCAATTGCCTGTTGAGCGTTGCGGTAAACTGATTGTAGCCGTAGATGATAAGGAACATAAGCAGGTCGAGAGACTCATGGAAATTGCTTCCTTAAACGGTGTAAAAGATCTTCAAATTCTTAACAGTGAGGAGGTATAATGAAAAAAGGGGGTCTGCTAAAGAGGAGGGTGTTAGGATCGACACTAATCGTTACATTTTAGATCAAAAAATTGGAGCCTAACGTAGTTGCTTATTCTGCTTTATATTCCCCTAACACTGGTATTACTGACTTTGGTCTTGTAGCTCAATGTATTGCAAACGAGATTATGCAAACAGGGTAAATATTTGGTTGTATAAATCTTGGCTATTTTTCTTACGTATACATAGTCGTGCTGAAATCAAATTAGCGTTTGAAGCCCAAAAGTTCGAATCTAGATCAGATGGAAGAGTTGAGGTAAGTTATAACGCTTGGCTATATCTATATGTTTCAACTAACACAATGATTAGATCTGGGGTGGTGAGCCTAATCAAAGAGGTCCTACTTTAAAGGTGACCGCCAAGAATGTAATCACCTGTGCTGGTTTCTATTCTGATCGTGTTGCCGGCCTTGCAGGTGGTGATTCTGGCCGTGCTAAAGTAGTTACATTTAGAGGTACTTATTATCAACTTAAGCCCGAGTACCGCGGTATTTGTCGTATGAATGTCTATCCCGTTCCAAGTGGTGGCGGTATTCCCGTTGGTGTTCATTTCACTCCTACTGTCAATACTCGTCGTGGTATTCAAATGATTGTTGGCCCTGGAGCTTGTTTAACTTTCTCTCGTGAAGGCTACACTTTTACAGATTTCAAAATGGATGATATCCTTGGTTCGTTAACAAACTTGAACCTTTGGTTATTTGCCCTCAAAAACCCTTCTTTATCTATTGGTGAATTATACAAGGACATGAACAAAAGAGCATTCTTACGTGCTGCCCAAGCCTATGTTCCTGGTTTGACCGAAGATATGGTCGAGGAAAGTTTTGCTGGTGTTATGTCTCAAGTCTTTGAAAAGGGTGGTATTGCTGCAAATGACTATATCCTTGAACGCAAGGTCATGGATGGTAAAATCCTGTGTGTTCGTAATGCACCTACTCCTGCATGCACTGCGTCTTTAGCAATTGCAGAAATGTTGATTGATACTGCTACAGAAGACTTTGAATGGCAAGAGTCTGAGAAATCAATTGCTGTACCTAAATCTCAACTTTCTGCTATTGCTGCTTAAAAAATTCCCCTTCTATCCTTTCTATTTCACATATCTTGCATTATTATTATTATTATCAAGTAAAATTATATTACGACTTTTTTTCTTTTTTTTTTTTTTTTTTTTTTTTTTCATATCCATCGTTCCACAAAGTTAGATTGAAAAAAGCATCATTGCACATGGTATAGTTATCTAGAGAAAAGTGCAACGTTTTATTACTCCTTTACTATTTGTAATTGAGTTTGCTGCTGTATGAATAACTTGTGAAATATTATTATTTTGTTTTGCGCTGCATTCAATGTATCGCGTATTAATTTTTTTTGCCAAACTTTCAGCCTACACAGGTAAATAAAAAAACGTTTTGTTGATAACCAAGCCTATTTAATATAAAGCTCAATAAATTACCTGTTCAATTGTTATTAGCTGTTGCCCATTTGCATTTAGCTCGGAAATACGTTTTCCGTTACTTCGCAAATCGCTTTTTGTACCAACTAATAACCGAGGGGTGTTAAACAAGAAATGGTCCATTTCAGGGATCCACTATTTTTTTTTTCTGAAAATTAATAACCTCTCTAGTTTGATACCCAAATACTCAAAGACTTACCCTATCTTTTACATTTGCGAATGATTGCATTTGATCAATAGCAAAACAAGCTAAAATGACATCTGTTTCTGGATAACAAAGTGGTCGAAGTCGATCATATTCTTCCTGGCCTGCAGTATCCCATAGTGATAGTTCAATTGATTTTCCCGAATCAAGGTCGATACGCACAATGTAATTTTCGAACACGGTAGGGACATAATCTTCTGGAAATTCGTTGTACTGAAAAACATGCAACAAACTGGTCTTTCCGCAAAATCCATCTCCTACAACTACTAGCTTTTTTCTCTTAAGCTAATAGATTGTTAACTGTCACTCTCTACACTATTCTTCATCGTTTTTACTTACTCTTCCCATTTTCAAATACTTAAAAAAAATAGTGACAAATAAAAGAAAAGGAAAAAGAAGCAAAGATTTGCAAAATGATTTTATTACTATTTCTTTGTATCACCAACCCAATTTGCCTTTTTTATAATGATAATTGCGTGTACGTATGTTCTGTTCTACGACAAATAGAGTAACACACCCAAGACCAAAAAAAAAAGCTGATGGTAGCCCATCATCGACCGAGGGGTTTTAAACCAAAGGGCGGGAAATGGAACTCAATCGATAAATGTGAAGTTGATACACTATTTCCTTTCGATCTCTGTATTCATTAGCGTTCGTTTAAGTCTGTGCATAATATAGCGCTCATACTTTTTGTTTAATTGTGGCACCACCACCTCATTTGTTGCCAAAAAACACCTGATAAAATAGCATGATTTGACCGAGCCTTTATTAATATTTTCCTTTTTGTAAAAGACTAACATAAACAAAGAACTGAGTTACCGTTTTTAGTTTGTACAATAGAAGGTTCCTCAATCCGACATAATTGTCAGCTTATACCACACATACGTTTACTTTACAAACTTCTTAAAGGGCCATTATAAAATTACTCGGATAAAAAAAAAGGCTTTGATCTCAAACCCTTTGTTTGGCAGCATTTTTTTTTTTTTTTTTTTTTTTTTTTTTTTACACTGGAAAAGAAATTTCTCATGTGAAATCAAGCTATCAATTTTAAAGGTACTTGTATCTTCATTAGGGAATATAGAAAGGGATTTGTCATAATAGATGTTATGCATAAAGCACTAGTGTATAAATGTATCTTTGTGGCAACTCCGCTATGGACGATATACACAAAGCCCTATCAAGAAATTGAGCCTAATCAAAGTGAATATTAATTACATTTGAAATATTCTTTTGGGCCAAGATGTGTAGATCCATCCGATGAAAAACTCTATTTAACGATCTGATGTTTCTTTTGAAAAAAAAACACCACCAAAAATAATTTACTTGTATTACACAAGATAAATCCCATGTTGTAAACATATTGCTCCCTGTTGAATCGGGATATAATGCATTTATACTAGGGTTTTTATTTTTTGAGATGTGTTCAGATTTTTTGTTTATTTCGCACATATATATATTTGGAATATTTCAGTATTGATAAATTCTTTTCCTTTATTTTTCCCTCTTAAACTCCTTCCTCGTCAACTAAAGAAAAATGTACAGGCTTTCAAGAAAATCATTACCTATTTTAAGCCGTTCCAACGTAAGTGACAAAAAGAGAAGCACACGGTATTACACAATATTTATCATTGTTACAGATGGGCGCGGTTTTTTACTCAACAGCCAAAATTAATGGACCAGTCATAGGTATCGATTTAGGTACTACAAATTCATGTGTAGCCGTCATGGAAGGAAAAAACCCACGAGTTATCGAAAATGCCGAAGGCGCACGTACCACTCCTTCAGTTGTTGCTTTTACCAAAGATGGTGAACTATTAGTTGGTCAGACAGCTAAGCGTCAGGTATGATTAAAAGATATACAAAAAAAAAACTGTGTCTAATTTTTATGAATAAAAAGGCTGTAGTAAATCCTGAAAACACCATCTACGCAACAAAACGTCTTATTGGGCGAAAGTTTACTGATGCTGCCGTTCAAAAAGATATCCCTAGTGTATCTTACAAGATTATTGCTCATAGTAATGGTGACGCATGGGTTGAGGCAGCGGGGAAAAAATACTCTCCCTCTCAGATTGGTGCTTTTGTGCTTGGCAAAATGAAGGAAACATCTGAAGGCTTTTTAAATAAAAAGGTGAAGCATGCTGTCATTACTGTGCCAGCTTATTTCAACGACTCTCAACGTCAAGCAACAAAAGATGCTGGAAAAATTGCGGGATTGGACGTCATGCGTGTCATCAACGAACCCACTGCAGCTGCCTTAGCTTACGGTCTCGATAAAGTAGGGGATAAAACAATTGCTGTTTATGATTTGGGTGGCGGTACTTTTGATATATCTATCTTGGAAATTCAAAATGGCGTTTTCGAAGTCAAATCCACAAATGGTGACACGGCTTTAGGTGGTGAGGATTTTGATTCTCACCTTGTAAGATACGTTGTGGAGGAATTTAGAAAAGAGTCTGCTGGTTTGGACCTCTCGAAAGATCGTATGGCCATTCAACGTATTCGTGAAGCTTGTGAAAAGGCCAAGATCGAGTTGTCCTCTACTGTTCAAACAGATATTAATCTTCCATACATCACCGCTGACGCAACAGGCCCCAAACACATTAACACCAAATTGACACGATCCAAATATGAATCTTTAGTAGGTGATTTAATTCAAAAAACTATCTCCCCTTGTGAGAAAGCTGTTAAAGACGCTGGTATTTCAAAAAGCAGTATCGGCGAAGTCATTTTGGTAGGTGGTATGAGTCGTATGCCTAAAGTCATTGAAACTGTCAAAGCCACATTTGGAAGAGATCCTAGTAAATCCGTAAATCCAGACGAAGCTGTTGCATTGGGTGCTGCTATTCAAGGTGGCGTGCTTGCAGGTTCTGTCACCGACATCTTGCTGCTAGATGTCACACCTCTTTCATTAGGTATTGAAACACTTGGTGGTGTCTTTACAAGATTGATCAATCGTAACACAACTATCCCTACAAAGAAATCACAAGTCTTTTCTACCGCCGCTGATGGTCAAACACAAGTTCAAATCCGTGTATTCCAGGGTGAACGTGAATTATGTAAAGACAATAAGTTATTGGGTGACTTTAACTTGACTGGTGTACCACCAGCTCCCAAGGGTGTTCCCCAGATTGAAGTAGAATTTGATATTGATGCCGATGGTATTGTCAATGTAAATGCCAAGGACAAGGCAACTAACCGGGATCAGTCAATTACAATCGCTGCTTCATCTGGTTTAAGTAGTGATGAAATTGAAAAGATGGTGCAAGACGCCGAAAAGAACGCCGAAGCTGATCGTGCTCGACGTGATACAATCGAAATGGCCAATCGCGCAGAATCCATCATGAGCGAGACCGAAAAGGCAATGGAAGATTTTAAAGAGCAAGTGGATAAATCTGAATCAGAAAAATTAAAGGAGCAAATTGAAGCTTTGAGAGCTGAAACTGTCAAGGCCCAAGCTGGTGACACAGATGTACAACCCGAACATTTGAAGGAAAAGATTGATCAACTTCAACAAACATCATTGAAGCTCTTTGAAATGGTCTACAAGAACAGAGCCCAGCAAAACGAAGGTAATGATAACAACAACAACAACAACAACAACAACAATCCTCAATCATAAATTGTTTTATCGTATCATTTCTGCTTTTAACATTCATAATAAGTAACACAAGTGCTACAGTTATCGATCCAAATCCCAGTTTGTTGTTGTCATTAAAGTTAATATTTATTCAATAAAAAAAGGGATTTAAGCAGTTACACCTTTAGGGGCATTATTATTTGTTGTGGTATTATCGTTAAAAACAATAACTGGGGACTCGTTTGTATCCTTTACAATTATAACATGATCTCCATCAGTTTCAATTTTTTCACTTGATTTGAGCTTCCTGTCCAATCCAAAATGTATCTTTTTACTGAAGAAACCAGTAACACGGCGACTCAATGGAGGAGAGGTAGAAGTGACAACTTCCTCCTCTGTATGGTGCTCTGTTCCAGTCAGTTCTTGATCTATTGTAAATGTTTGTTATTATTTCTACAACAGAATAATTGTGTATAAATTACCTAGTGTTTCTGCGACAGATTCTTTTTTATGGCTATGACCGAAAAACTTACTCAATAAAGACTGGCGTTTCGTATGATCAGTTGACGTGGGCGTTTCTGTTTCTGTTACATTTTCATGCACGCCTTCATTTTCTCCAACACTCTCCTCCTCAACCAAAACTGTAGTTGTGGTAGGTTCTGATAAATCTTTAACGTTATTACTGCTTGTAGTTTGCTTGTTTGTGAATAGAGAATTAATACTCCAGCTTTTTATCATTGTCTGTTCATTTTTACCTTGACCCTAGAAAGAAAATTTCCGAAGCCTTTGGGAGTCCTATGTTCATTAGCTGTCTCAACTGAGGTGTTCACTGTAGCAACAGCGACTTCGTCGGCATCTTTTTTCATGCCTTTGTGAAATGGATTGTTAAAAATGCCCTTTTTCTTACTGTATGGCTTGTCTTCGCTAGATGGCATCAGCTCTTCTCCGGTTGAGATGCCATATGGCTGCTCAATTTGTATGTCCAAGGTTGGCTCGCTTTCATCCGTAGAAGCATGTTTACCTTTTTGATTATCAGATAGATTTTCTGCGGGTGGCACTTTAATAGTCATAACAGTATATTTCTTTATTGAAATAAAAGGGGAAAAAAATAAATTGAGGGAAATAAATAGAAAGCCAACAAATACAAGTTTTTTGAAGTTTTTTTTGTTTACAGTTTCACACACTTTTACAGATAGTTGTTTAAAAAAAAATTAAAGTTATTTAAAAGCTAACTTTCAATGTAAACGTCAAAGAATTTTTAATGTTCGGATCGTCTGAATGCTTTTTCACGTTTTTCTGAATATATCTTTTATGATCTGAATGTTTCTGATAATACACTATGTCAACTGGCAATTGTTGTACAAAGAATGAGTCTGGATTTAAAGGGAGAAGGGGGTCACTTATTTGTGTAACAGGTATCCGCAACCATTTTGAAATACTTTTTTTTTCTTTATTCATTTCAGCTCCTGCAACTTAATCTCGCAAGTCAAATACTATACCAATATGTCAGACTCACTATCTCAATTGCTTAAAAATCATAACCAACAGCAAGCAGAGATAAAAAAACAAAATGGTGAAGAAGAAGAAAATCTTAATTCTTCATTTTGTAGTAATTAATTTATACAGAGCAATTGAAAAAAAGTGCAGTGCAATCAACCAACGAATTAACAGACTCTTTGACTGAGTATGTTAATGAGGGGTAAAGAAGTCAACTTTTTCAAGTTAAATTCTTAACTTTGCTAACGTCTTTTTTAGGGTAACTGAAATATTTTCAAAGCAGAAGGAATTGGAGCAACTGTCAAGAAAACTAGCCAATCAAACAACCCGCTACGCTAATCAAACACAGCAATGGTTGACATTGGTGGATAGCTTCAATATGTCACTTAAAGTAATGAATAGTAATATTCACAACTTAGGCAGTACACTCACTTTTTAAGCTGATAGGAATTAGGTGATGTAAGAAACTGGGCTGAAATTATGGAACATGACATGAAGACTGTCATGGCTACATTAGAATTTGTGCATCAAGGTAATATACAAGGCAATACAATAGCTTTGCTACTTTTGCTAACCAAAGTGTCCGCATCATAAATTCAGACAAATAAAATGTAATTTCAGGCTAATGCAAAATCGAAACTTATTGTTTCAACAATTACCTATAATCAATAAAAGATGCTTATTGGTCTCAAGAGAATAAACGTAACACATTGGATGTAATATATATTTAGTAACCACGTCGTGAAGTTAGACGGACCAACAAAATATCACTTGCATCAAGTGACAAGAGCAAGCTCAACCAAAAAAACAACCAATAAATTATAATTCCGGCTAATAATTAGACTATATTGCTTTTATATGTTATCGTAAAGAGTTCTCAACGATTCTCAAAAAAAAAAAATTAGGTCATTGCGTTGTTTATATATATATTTTATGTGATTATTTATTCTAATGTGGCGTAATAACTATATTAATATTGTGCTCCAAAATATATTTAACAGAAGTGGATGTTTGGAGCCCGTTTTTTTTTTCTTTTGTAGAGCTGAATTGTGAAGCTTTTGCAACTTTTCGACTTTTAGCTTGTAATAATATCATGCATACATAAAAGGGAATTTTTTTTTATAATCACACTTTCTATCGAATCACCACTGAACGGAGATTAACATCTATGCTCTGCTTAAAGGCAGTTTTACAGCCTATTCACTACATGCACCACATAAATTTTGTTTTTTATTGACAAACTTGAATTAAAGATATATTAATCAATTCTCAACATAAATACAATATTTTTTTTTTATTTTGTTTGTCTTTTAAACCTTCATATTTGAAAAAAAGCTTTAAAAAAATCTAGCTTACCTATTAGTTAAAAACAGCAAAACAAAATTTTACCTTTTTTGGTCATCTAAAACTGGTTTAAAAGACACCAAATTGTTGAAAAAAAACTTACTAAAACGATTAAACAGCTATAAAAAAAATTAATTTTTTTGCAATGGGTATATCATTCATTTTTTAGACCCCTAAATCATACAAAAAGGGGTTGTAGCTCAAATGGTAGAGCGCTCGCTTAGCATGTGAGAGGCACTGGGATCGACGCCCAGCTACTCCAAGTAATTTTTTTCTTCATTTGGACGGGTAAATATTTATGCGTGTTCTTATAAATAATAATTTCCTAATTTAGACTGTTTATTTTTGTTTGTTTCCAAAGACTTAAAGTCGTTTAGCAAAACTCTATGTAGTTCTCCAGGATTGCACTAGTAGACTTGGGTAATATCAGTACCTTATACCAAAAGATTTAATGATAGACAAACTTTCTAGAGCTTTTTTACGATTAAATAAAATGTTTTAAATTTTGTTTTACTGATTCTCGCGGATCGAAACAGCAACATAAGGCGTAACTAGCAAATAATATTTATATGAAGCGTTAAGTTATTCTAGTTGTTGATTTTTAGCCCATAACTCCTTAACACTATTAATAGATGTTTTGGTACAATTTCTTTTTTACCAAAAAAAAGCATCAGATCATGAGACGGAGTAATCTTCTGATTGACTGATGCCTTCGTTTTTAAACTTTTCAAAACAATTCTATTATGTTCATTCTTTTGTCTTGCTCGACTTAGACTACTTGGTAATACAAGCACACAAATCAGGTCATAGTCTGATTATATTGATGTATAATCTACTCATAAATTGTGAAAAAATATTTCATGCAAATATATATTTTTAGTTATATTTTTCTTCAGAAATAAGCAAAATAATTGTAAGTAGCTAGTGGCAATAGCCGGAATGATTATTCTTTTTTACAAGCATCACACTTCCAATAATCATCAACGGTATCTGCAAAAGATGCCTTGACTTTTTCCGCAAGTATTTTTTGAAGTTTACTACAAAGACGTAATCTCTCTTGATATGTTGTGTTTAAATCATTGTCGTCAAGTATTGCATCGATTAACGAGGAAGAAGAATCGTTACTTTCAGTGGCTGAAGTATCCTCAACACCCTTAATGCGGCTAATTTCGGCACATGTGGCATCAATACAGCTAGGCTCAGTAGGGTTATTTGTTATTTCTTCAACATAGTCACCAACAAATGTTTGTTCATCCTGCACATCCATCATTAATTTTGACATAGCATACATTAGAAGTGTGAAAATATAAGGCAAGAACATTGTTAAATTGGTTGAAGTTAAAACCCCCATTATTTATTTAATCATTGCTGATTTCCAAACTAGTTGGAAACTTGAGAGGATGTGGTATTAGTGATATGTGTTACATAGATTACTTTTTTTCTAATTCGATAATAGATCCTTTTCTACTAATCGATCTAATTGAAATACTAGTTGATAACCATCTCTATCAGGGTCATCCATTGAGCCTTGGAGTATTGTGTTGTGGGTATTGGTGCTAGTACAACGTATATTTTTACCTCGAATGACCTGTTCTAACTCTCCCTGGTATATAAACTTAGTAACTATCATTTTGTTCAAACATATAGACTTACTGTATGGACATTACGAATTTCAATAAAATCAGGCTCAAATGCAAGAAGATAAGGGTAAGATAACGCAAACGAATCCGGTGTACCTTCCCAGTCGATTCTTGTACTAGATCTTATAAATCGTCCTCTTTGATCTACGAGAAATGCAAATTCTATGATAAAAGGTTTAGATCAAATTTAAAATTCGTGCGTGTGCCTTTTTTTTTTTTTTTTTTTTTTTTTTTTACCATTATAGCATACGAGATATTTCGCAAATTGGATCCTGTAAATGGTGACTGGATGGACATCCTGTCGATTAATAACAAAGTCCAGTTTTTCATCCTCAGGGTCTAATAATGCCTGTACTCCCAGATTTTTCATATCAACCACACCAATTTCTTTTGGGGAGGAGATACACATTTTTGATTTCAGTAGATTGATGGATAATGCTTCACTAGGTAAATACAAATCTTTATAAGGTTTTAAACCAATGGGTCCACCTCTTACAAGTCGTTTCAAACTAAACATGGACTTTGCCTTCTTATTTTCATCCATAATAACCGGCTCCAATACGCGGATAGTAGTAGGCGATAAGGTATTCGTTTTCACAACACATACTAAAGTTTTCGATAGACATTCACCGACATGAAAGAATGTTGTGTTTTGGCTTACAGATCTTCCACGCTGTTGTGATACGGACTGTGATAATATTTCCAAAGGAAATGTCCATAATGTTTTGTCTGCAAGTACTAGCAATTGAGATTCCGGCATTAATTCTATTTGGGAAACCTTTTCTATTCGAATTATGCGTGTCATAGCCGCATTATTCTTTTTCTCGGCAGCAATAGTCGTAGTTGTAATATAAACACCTTGATCAGCTGCCACTAATATACGACCATCTTCCATCATCATGGTGTTATTCACCCGATTAGTTGTAAGAAAATGATTCTGAATCAAAGGCAAAATAGAAAATATGTTCTTGTTTAGAAGCTGTTTTTGATCAAGAATTTTCTTGACCCAAATTTGTTGGATAGATGTAGCTGTGGTATATAGTGTAAGAGGCGGAGATCCTTTGCGACCATGATGAGTGAAGGTAATTGATAGATTATTAATTTTTGAAGGTTGTTGATCAGAGACAGTGGTGGTAGTGCTAATAGAGGGTAATATGTAACTTGCTCTATTTTGCCGGGTGTTTGTTGTACTCGAAGCAACCTGAATAGATAGCAGCTGAAGAGGAATGGGCTAAAATAATAATTTAGCATTTTATTAATTAGGAATACAACCACCTACTTTTCTAAAGACTCTATACCACTCAAGATGATCCTCGTATTTCATTTTTGTAAATAATAGATAATGATCAAACAGAAAGACTTGAAGGTCGGTAGATTCAAATATAGAATTTGCTTTACGCCTCATCCTACCTTTCATTAACAGCTGTCTATCTGGTTTATCTAATTTTAAATCCTGTCTCGATCTTTTAATAAACATTCAGCGTTGCAATTGTAAGAACTTACAATAGAGTCTGCAGGCGATCTAAAATGTAGACGTTTGCGAATTTCTTCCAAATTGAAAGAATTTTCGCATTTTCCTGCTTCTATATTGACCTGGGTTAGATATCTTGTTATAATTTCCATAATTTGAGGTATAATCTCTTTATCCGGATTATCATCCGGAGTCCTTTTTAGGATCTCCCTCAATAACAAATTGTATCGCCCCAAACGAGTTGTAGGTTTCGTCAAATAACCATTTAGCTCTAATCGTCTTGATTCGGGTTTTCTCTCCGTTTCTTGTACAAATTGTGCAAATAATGGGTTTCGTTTCTTTTCAAGCTCAAAATGAAATTTTCCAATGACCTGATGGGCTCCATATCTTACAAACGGTTCGAAATTACAGACGTGTTCCAACATTACATCACCAATACTCGAGACGAGATATTTTTCGGCTTGTCTGGCATCCAATGCCAGCGAAAGTTCTGTATTGACATGACGAATTTCGGATATATTGAAAAATACGTCATGAACAAATTCCTCGTTATATTCGATGATATCTTTAGTTCGTAAAGGGCATTCCCAAAACTATATGATGTTAGCACACAGAATATATAAAATCAAATTGACTTACATTATAAACATATTCTAAGTCTCTCACAAAGTCTTGTTCCGTATAAATAAGTTCATAAATACATTCTTGGCGCTTTCTTTCCTCTGGTAAAGTAGCTTCTACAACATTTTCAGGCACATTTTGTGACCATAATTTAGTGGACTCTTCCTGTAAATTATCGTTAGTCTTTTTTTGTTTTCCTATTTTACTCCTTGTTTTCTATTGTGCATGTACCTTTAACAGACTTTGGCTTTGTTTTAAACTCTAAGTTGGTATTCAGCGTTTGCTCCTCTTTTTTTATTTTTATTTACTTCGTGTTTACCTTTTTTCGAAGACAAGACCAACTATAACATTGGTTGTCATTGGTACAGGTAGGCGAATAACAGTCGGTTAAGTCAGTATAAATTCCATTTGGTACATCAGACGAAAGAAAGGTCTGCGGATGAGAATCTGCTTCTTGCAAATCTACTGAATTAATGGGTTGTAAGTCTTGATACGGGTTAATAATTGCCTGCGGTAACTTAAGTGAATGTATTACCCATGGACGGATCGTTTAAATCTCTAAATGCAAACAGTTCATTTGGCGAGTCCTTAAGATCACCATCGTAATTCACATCGTGGAAAAAGCCTTGGTGTCTAAGTGCGCAGCCTACTTGTAACGCTTCTACTCTATCTTGTATACGCAATATTGCAAGTAACTTATCAACCGCTTCTTTTCCATTAAACACATCATGATATTCTATGCCGTCTTTGGTCAAAATAAGCAAAGGGATTCTTTTATAGAATTCTAGTGCGACTTGAGACAATAACGCAGTATATACTTGCTGTGATCTATATGCATCAATCGATTTTTGTTGTTCCTCTCTTTTTAATTGCATTTTTGTCAGGAAGACTGACGAATAGGATTCGGTGTGTGGTGACATTAGGTCAGATGTGTCTGTGTCAATGGATGAACGAGATTTAATTTCTTGTTAACAAAAAGAAGAAGAAAACATATTAGAACACATTAAAAAGGGTTTATATACTGTCATACTACCCCCTATCACACTGCCATTACGCCAATGATCATTATCAGGAGCATCTTTTATAACCAAAATTTCTTTTTCCTCTTCTTGTTCTAATTCTACTGGTTGAATAGCAATAATTGACGAAGGTGGTCTATCATTGAAATCAAATTCGTCTTCTTCAGCAAAACTATCAACACTCATTTGAAATGTGGGATTATTGAATGCTGTTCTAGTGTTTTTCTTTCGCTCAGCGACATTAGCAGCTAAACTTTGTTTTCTTATGGGTAATTGCTGCTGCTCATAATATTTCTTGATATGTTCTGGTATCGGACCACCCGCATAAGTTACTGTTGGAGTTCTTTTTAAAAACAAAACATCTTTTGAGCTCATTGTAAAAAAAAAAATAATTTAAAAAGAAAGGCAAGAAGGTGCAAAGTGCGACATGAATTATTTTAGCAGTAATAATCTCCTTATGTGTCAGCCACAAAATAGGTCGACGTCTTTGATTAATTACACAACGTTGTACACCATTTACAAATAAGGCAATAAAGAATCTGAATACATCACATATAATGTTAGGGGCAAAAGTCACAAAATTAAGTTTATGAAAATTAACATTCTTACGTTGACTAAAACACATTGGGATTTTTCTTTATGCTATTGAAATAACATGGATAAAGACATATCCCTAAGATAAAAAATTATTACTATCAAGAAAAAATATAGCAAACTACGCAGCTTCACTAGAAACAAGGAACAATTTTTTAAAGCTGTTACTAACGAAACTCATCAAGGGAAAAAGAAAGGGTGAGGGGTATCCCCTGGGGCTGCATTAAAGAAATATCACAAACCAAAAGATTTGACATACATCAGCTAATATAACGGAGGTTGAATATTGAGAAGTAACTAATATATAATTGACCTCTCATTACAGTGTTGTTACTTCAAATTCAGACAAATGCAAATTATTTTTGGACAAACTTATATTTGTTTTCAGACAGGCTTATAATTGTTTTCAGACAAACAGAAATATATTTCGGACAGTCGTAAAAAGATTTTCAGACAAACAGAAATATATTTCGGACAGTCGTAAAAAGATTTTCAGACACATGTAAAAGATAATCAGACAAGATATCCATCCCAGTCAATACAATCTTTTGTGTCGATAATGTTACAAAGAATTTAAAGAGGACATCAAATTATTTTCTACCAACACTTCACGATTTAAGTGAGAAAAAGGTTCCTACACTTGTGCAGATAATTGGCATGATCTACCTGTGATGTAATGATAGAGGCGGGATGTTATTTGGGTAGGACATAGCGGAGGAAAAGATAATGATAGAGAATATGACATAGAAAAACGTACGGCGGTGAAAAACAACGGGTAAGTGATCCTAGATTATGACTACGCGCACTTTACCGGTCCTAAAGAAAAGCGTAATCATAATAATCTATTTAATCAAACTTTGAGACAGCCAAAACTCACTCAACAAAGTTTGTTTAATACGACTTATATTATAAATGAGTAAAGTGATTTACATGCCTACAATTATCATACCCAGCCTACTACAAATAACCTCACTTCATAGCATATAGATACAATCTGATATAAAAAATAATAACTTTGGTTTGTACAAATACTTTGATAAATTAATAATAAGCAGCGGTCACATCAAATATATATATATCAGCCTGATGTCGATTTCAACAACAATTATGTCCTTTTCTTTCTAATATCTAAAACGGGATGCGTACACCAATTTATCCTGAAATTGAAGCTTTTATACAAACGAAAAAGTTGAAAAAATATGAAAGCCAACAACAGGAAACTGCTAGTGAAACCATTAACAAACCAAGTAAAAGAAAGAAAGGTAATATAAAAGCTTTCTTCAATGTGTTGTAATAACTAAATCTTCCCAAAGGTGTAAAAAGAAAAGATACCCCAGAAGAGAAAAAGGCAAAAAGTGATGCAAAAAGAGCTAGAAATGTTGTCCCAAATACATCGAGTCTAGTATGTAAGTCCTGCGGTCAAAATGGCCATGCATCTGCTAGGTCCAGAGAGTGCCTGAATTATAATTATACAGTAAAAGAATTGATTCAACAAAATCTGGGTTCTCAAAATCAAAGATAGACAGTCTCCATACCTATCAAGTCATTCATGTCTTCAGTAGATGAGAATGCGAATAACACGGCGGTTGAAAAAATCAAAAGTCTTTCAATGTTTTTGCGAAAAGTCGCCTACAACGCTCAGCTTTTTGTCAACTTTTATATTTTGAAACATCCAAACAGTTTACCTAATGAACTATTGAAACAAAACTTTTGGTATAGCGTATGTAGAGTGGTGTACCAAAATTTATCAGTTCAAAATTTTCAATCACAATATCCACTTATTCCCCACCTCGCCGAAGTATGGGATGAGCTTAACGGTGTTGAAGGCGTCAACTTGACAGTTGATAAAGGAAATTTAACTCTTTACGGCCAAGTGGTTTCATCCGCTTGTGAATCTATAGCTACTTGTTATAACAACTATTATATAGAGAACTTTGAAAATATTATTGCAAACTACTTTATATACATGATCCGTCAAGCATTTCATGTAAGTGTAAAGCCTTGTTAAATATACATATTAAAAACTTGACATCAATTATTATTTTTTTAAAAGGACATAAAAATGCCCATAGTAAAACATATAGTATACGAACATGTGCTCAATGTACTATTTTCTCCAGGACTGGGAGCCATTAATTCTGACAATATTTCCACTTCTTTGAACAGTAAAGAGCAAGAAAACATTTGTACGTTTTTAAACCCATTGATATTGGAGATCAAGAATCGTATACCAGCATTTCCTGTGACAAAGGCAACTCTAAATAATGCCCCATTCAGCATTATGCCAGTACTTAAGCACATTCTGGAGAAATATGAGTCCTTAATTGTGGAAGCACCGCTACCTGTTCCTGTCTCTCAATTGGAAATCATCTCACAAGAACAATCAGACGAGACCGATCAAGTAAATAAAAGACCAAGAAAAAAGAAGAAAGTAAAAAAATACAAAAACGACAACAACGGCGTAAAAAGAGATTTCCAGCCGCCTCGTCTCTTCAGTCTATTCCCGAACCCTGGCTTGCATTGGCGTTTCGTTAAAATAGATAGCCAAAATTTGACTGGTCTGTTTCCGACGGCTTCAATGGAACGGTTAGAGGAAGAAACAGTTTTTGAATTCACCCAAAGATATTTTTTTGCCCGTTTTAATTTTGCTAAGATAAACATAAATACGTAGGTACATACGTTTTTAGCAACAAATAAACCTGCTAATTTTCAACTTGTATAGCTTTGAAAAATTAAAAAATTTACCTCAACGAAAAGGAAGGATGTTTATTAATAGCCTGTACACAGATGGGTACACTTGTAGGATTTCTTTTTGCCGAAAGGCATATGCAGAATCTCCTGTGAATGAAACTGCTTTGGAGCTGCAAGATTTCAATAGTGAAGAAATCGATCGTTATTTTAGACCTTGCACAGTAGATCCCAACAGGAAAGATGCTTTTGTGTCATTTCATGGTAACACGGATGTTAGGCGGCTTTCATCTGCCGAATATTACAACATGAATGGAAGTGCCAATCGTATGAAGTTGGAGCAAGACAGGAAGAAAGAACAAGGAGTGCAAACAATCGAGACAAACATACCTTCTGTAAAGTCAGCAGTTACTGATAAATATATTACGCATGTGAAATACATGATGCAACATAAGGACACACTATTTAGTTTTTACAATTTTCAGACAGCAAGAGTCAAATGGTGTAATTACATTGGAAAACAGCGTGCCCTCCAGGATGCTGTAAATATCCTAATTAACGGATCAAAGAAGTACAATAAAGGACGACGGAAGAAAACAAGAAAAAACAAGAGAAAAAGAAGCAAGACAGCTGCAAAGTATCAAAGCAACACCCCTCAAGCCGGATCAAGACAAAGAAAAAGCGCATCCAGGTATTACTCACATATCCATGGATGTTGTTCCTCTTCTAATTTTTTTTTCTTTTTTAAAAAAAAAAAGAAGCCACAAAGAGAAATTTGAGGAGGGTGACAAAAGTAAAATGCCATTGATAATTTTTGGGGACGGTTTGAAGAATAAAAGTCACGTAAAGATCAGTGGGATTAGGCATGGCGTCTCTGAAATGATATACAGACAGTTGAAGCTGCGGGAAAAACTTGGAGAGTTATTGCTACTTGACATAGATGAATATAAAACATCAAAGGTGAAAGATATACGTGTCTATAACATGTAATTACTAATACAATGTCATTTCTTTCTTAGAACTGCAATAACTGCCTAGAAAGTAGTCTAGAAAACTTAAAGTATAAATGTGGAACGGACAACCGATCAATCCATCAAATATTCTTCTGCAAAAAATGCAATATTCGTTGGAATCGTGACGTTATGGCTACGAAAAACATGTACACCATTGCCACCTCAATTTGGAGAGGTGATGGCCGACCCGATGTCTTTAAAAGACAAAGCGCCACCTCCAATGTGGTTGCCACGCCCTCACCGGTGATGGCTTAAAGATACCTACAGGTAAAAAAAAAAAAAAAAAAAAAAGTCTAACACTAAATCTGAATTTCCATTTTTATATCGTCTGAAAAAGGTAAGCAAATGTCTGAAAGTGAATTTTTATTTGTCTGAAAAAAAACTGATGTTGTCTGAATTTGAAGTGTAAACACTGTACTGTAAACTTAGACTTTCGGACAGACTTAGAGATAATTTCGGGTGAGTATAAAATACATTCAGACATTTTTATAAAAACCTTACAAAGGTAATAAATAATACTAGTTTCTGTCAAGACATATTCAAATTATACTATGCCTTATGACACGAGGAACAATATAGCGGCCCATTTTTAATTACCAAGACAAGCTAAAAACAAAGAATTTTTTTGTAGCGATAAAGTTTTACACTACTGAAACAGAGCGAAGTAAACGCTATTAATATTATGTAAGCAATCAGATATTACATGGCAATGATGAACAAGAACATTTAATGTCGAATTAGAACAGATATTGTTATAAAGTGCATAAGAAGAAGGGAACACAGGTTTAATTTTATAGGATGAGGTGGATAGACGGAAAGTTGTTTATTACTGCCAAATACTTATAAACAGAGTATTGGTTTCTGGAAGTACAGACAAGATATTGAAGTAAAGCTCTTTTTACTTGTAGAAATTATTAAGTCCTTGGTCATTGACTATTTAGTCGAGTAAATAAGGAAGGACATTCATTACCGCGTTTTTATAAACATCACAAGAGATCTTCACTCCAGTATATATTACAACTGCTTCCAATTAATATATTAAAGATAGTTTTGTCCCTAACTATGTGGTTTCGAAGGCTCAATTCTTTGCACGTAACACAGAATTATTGTAAAGAATAGTTTTTTACCACATGATGTATAAAAAGGCTTATTTGTATTATAATAGCTTACAGATAAGATTCGAAATTCATTTATAAATTAAGAGCTATTGCCTCTCCAAGACTATTTCTTCTCTTTAAGTTGTCATAGATATCTCAGAAACACCAGCTCTTTGTCCTATATATTTTACATAGCTGCTCTATTTATGACCATCACTGAAAACTACTGAAGGTATCTTTGTAGGCTCTCCTGTACTAAAGTAAATTTTATAGTTTGTTCGACTAAACTATCACGAATGTTGTCAATAAATTAATTACAAGAGTTTGATCATCATACTTGATCTTTATCGGGATGCTGGGTGTTCTAGGATATTGTCGGTTCACCATCTTTTATCATTTTGCACTTATTCGATTTAGTCTTCCTCCATCGTTTAAGGTTTTACTTTTTTTATATATTAATCGGAATACTACAATCTTTATATAGTGCACATTGGCCACCGTGGTAGTTGTCCCATTTGGTTGAGGCTATTCTGAAAATGTGAAAATAAAAAAGGAGTTCTTTACAAGCCAGCATTTAATTATAAAAATTGGTTTACGTAAAGAACAACTTAAGAAATAATAGACGATGAAATCTCTGTCTCCAAATTCTTGATGTCCTGTTAAATTTTAAATTTGTCTTCTTTTCTTGGTCGATTTATTACTACTCCAGAAGAGCAGTAATACTTATTTGTTAATAAAGATCTGACATGTTCATTACCATAATATGTCACAAATATACTCTTACGACCAGGATGTAAAAACAAGGGAAAAAACGATTACTATTATCCTAAATAAAAATCATCGATTTCGAGTTTGACATGATCCCCCTCGAGCTTCTCAGAAACAATCCTTGCGAAAGAAATTTTATAGGTGTAACCATCAGTTGATGTAACAGAACGGCGGTTTTTAAATTTGATTGGCTTAAAAAAATGACTTCATTGAACAGTGTCTGAATTTGAAGTGGCCAATCTACCTTTGGGAGTGTAGCAATTGTACCTGAAAACTTTTCGTACAACGAGTCATGTCACGCTTGGCGGAGTCTCTTTATCGCTTCCCACCCCATTTTAATTCTTTCCCATCTTTCTCTTGTTTATTTTTTATTTTTCATTTTTCATTTTTTTTTTCTTACAAAAATGAAGTTGAAGCCAGTATCATCTTATAAAGCATATTTGGAAGAGGACAGGATCGAAAATTTACGCTTATATAAATATGGTGCTGTTGACAAATCTCCCATTTCTAAATATATTTTAAAACATTATTGGGATTTCGCTATAAAGTTATTCCCCAGATGGATAGCGTAAGATTGAAATGTTTGACACAAATTTCTAAAAATTAAACAAATTATCATAGTCCAAATCTAATCACTTTGATCGGTTTGTTTTTCATGATTGCCAACGTGATTATTGTATGTATATGGGCACCATTACTCGATACAACTGCGCCAAACTGGATCAATTTCAGTTTTGCTGCCGGCCTTTGGTTATATTCCACATTTGATAACGTCGATGGAAGACAAGCCCGTCGTACTGGTACCTCATCTCCTTTGGGTGAATTATTTGATCACGGATGTGACGCTATCAACTGTACTTATGTCGCTTTACTGCAATGCGCTGCTTTGGGCCTCGGTCATTCACCTAGTTCTGCTATTCTTCTATTTGTCACTATTATTGGATTCTATCTTTCTACAGCCGAGGAATATTATACTGGTGTACTTTATTTGGGTTATGTCAATGGTCCCACCGAAGGAATCATTGTTACTTGCTTAGCTTTTATTTGGTCTGGTATTTATGGTAAGTAACGGGAATTTGTACATGGAATTTTGTGTTGATTTGTTATTCAAGGTATTGGATCGTGGCACGTGCCCCTGAAAGAGATCTCATGTCTTTCTTGGATGGGTTTTTTACCTAGTAACACAACTTTTGCCGATGTGTTTGTGATTGGGATGGTACTATTTTTCGTTGTCACACATCTTCCTGTTTGGTAAGACCTTAAATTAAGATGGAGTTTCAAATACTGACAGGCTTCTGTAGTGTTTACTCCATTGCACAAGCATGTAATGCAAAGGGGCTCAGCAAATGGCGTGTATTTGGGAATGTATTTCTACCTATTGTTGTCACAGGATCATTGATTACTTTCTGGATCCATTTATCATCTTTTACAGTATATTCCCAAAAGCATTTTATTCTCTTTGCTATTTTTATTGGATTTTTATTTGGCGAGATGGCCTCCGATATTATCTTGGCTCACTTGACAAAGTCGGAATTTCCTCTTTTTAGAAATATCTATTATCCATTAGCCTTGTTTGCCTTGCTCGGAGCATTAACCGAGTTCACTAGGTAAGGAAAATACACGGATGGTGTGTCTGATAATATTAACCCGCATATATTGCATAGATTTGAGTATAACGAGTATTTTTTGTTGATTGGGATAACATGCGTCACTTTCGTTAATTACATGATTAGAGCAGTGCGTGTCATCAATGCATTCTGCGAGTTTTTAAACATTCGGTGCTTGGTGATTCCTCATCATCCTAAGCCCGTATTACCCGTCGCGACAGAGTCCGAATCCCTGCTGACTACCAATGGTTCAAACTATAGCACTATTTAATACCCTATCCATTTTATCCATTTTAAGTTATTTATTAAAAAAGAACGAGAAAAAAAAAAAAGAAAAAGAAAAAAAAGGAAAAAAAAGAAAGAAACCATAAATTATGTTGTGATTTTTTTTTGATTGTGAAAACATAAAAAGGGGGAGGGGAATGCAGAAGAAGTTTTTTGCTTCATAAAATGAAAAAAGATTAAAAAAAAAAGCATATATGTGAGTGTTTTTCTATACGCATCAAGAGCAAAGAAAAAATGAAGTGAGATTTTTTTTGGGTGTATGTTTTTTTTGTGTATATGTATAAAGGAGAAAGGATAAAAAAAAAGAGGGGGCATATATATTAACAACCAACAGTACCAGTGTTATGCCAGTTCATACCAACCATCATATTATTGTTGTTTTGTTCTTGTAAAGGTGGTAAATTTTGTTGCTTCATAGGCTCATCATTTCTTTGTTGTCTTCTACGACGATCTTCGACTCTTTGATGTGTTTTCATGTGTTGAGATAAATTATCGGATCTGGAAAAGGTCTTGTGACAATTAGGAAATGAACAGCCAAAAGGTCTTTCGGATGTATGAGTGCGCATATGACGTTTTAGATGCTCTAGTCTTTTGAATCTGCGCTGGCAATGGGGTAATGGACAGATATGGGACTTATGTTGGTTATTGTTAGATGAAGTACTATTAGATGATGATGAACGACGTGAATTGGTTGTAGTGGTAGCTGTTGCTGGGATAGATGCAGAAGTTGAAGATGAGGATGAAGATGCTGCCGCTGCTACAACAGCAACTGCGGCTGCAATCGATGAATTATCATTGGTTGAAGTAGGATAAGGTTGATAGTAATTCATATTGTTATTATTATTGTTGTTGTAATCAGAAGAATAGAATGGATTGTTGTTGTTTACTACTTCATGGTTGAGTAAAGAGGATACACCTGCCGTATTATTTTCAACTGTGTTTGGTTGTTGACTAAACTGTTGATGAGAAAAATTGTTGCGCATATATTGAGTGTTCGGATATTCATCACATTGCTATTTAGGTTGATTAATTAACAGTAATTTGATTAATTATATTTTTTATTACCTCGGAACCGTAGCCATGACTATACATATCTTGGTAAGGTGTCATATCAAATGATTGCTGCTGTTGCAATTGCTGTTGCTTAGTAGCAAAATACGCCGGAGTTCTCGTATCCTCAAATACAGTAGTTGGAGCAGTAGAGTTCTTTCTCTTGGTTGTTTGGATTAAATTAGTTTTTTTAGTGTGAGTACGATAGTGAGCATGGAAGTTATCAGAACGACTAAAGTTTTTTCCACAACCAGGGAAGTGACAAGAATGAGGTCTTTTGCCTGTATGAACAAGCATGTGACGCTTTAAATGCTCAAAACGCTTAAAGCTCCAGATACAACAAGGGTGCTTACAAGCATGTTTATGCTGGGAGTTGGGACCAGATAATTGAGAACGAGACCCTCTCTTCGAATTCTTTTGCTGATTGGTAGCAGGAGAGTACTGCTGTTGCTGCTGCTGCTGCTGCTGCTGCTGTTGTTGCTGTTGTTGCTGTTGTTGCTGTTGTTGCTGTTGCTGCTGTTGTGACTGCTGCTGCTGCTGCTGCTGCTGAACATCAAGGAAATGATTGTAGTCTGATTGACAATCGATAGAAACTGCTGAGCAAGAGCTTCTTCGATATGCGTCTTGATCATGCATTGATGACGGATGCGGGATACTGGTTCCGAATCCAAAGGGACCAACATCAACAGAAAATTTGCGCTTGAACTGCATCGAGTCGATTAAAACAGATGAAGGAGAAACAGCTGGAGTAAGAGGAGGTGACAGATGTTGTTGATAGACTACATTACTGTAGTAGTTGGTCGGAGGAGGAGGAGGAGGTAAATAAGCTGAAGAAGGTAAAACCGACTCTTCCAATTTAATAGCTAATTTATCGATACCAGGTAACTTTTCAGGTGTTGTTGGTTGTTCATAACTCGACATCATATAATTTTTAATGATAAAAAGGAAGAAGAAAGGGAAAAAAAGGAAAGGTATAAATAACAAAAATAAACCTTTATAATTCCTTTTATATAAGTTAATGAAAAGAGGAAAAAAATAGATTGATCGACACTAGCAGGGAGTTGATATATTACTGACTTGCTTAATACATTACTATTTTTGTTTCTCATGACTCAGGGGAAAGTCTTCAAAAGGGGTAACCAAAAATAAAAAAAAAATAAAAAAAAAAAAAAAAAATATCAACGAAATATCACTCCTTATATTAATAAAAAGATACTAGCTATTACAACAGAATACCATTGGTCTGTATAAAAAGCAAATTGATAAATTGTATCTTTCCCCTGAAAGAATGTGCTATTACTCTATATATTTCTCCTTTCAACTACACACGCAGAACCTCGTGCCTATTCCTTTCCCCTTTTTAACACACATTGATTATCCAAAATGATTTTCAGGAGAGCAACAACAAATACACCATCCATCAAAATCTCCCTATTCACAAACACAATATCCTCCTTCTTTTGTCTTGTTTAACAACATGTCAAATAAAAAAATAAGAAATAAACCCTAAATGTCCGGCCCGGACTACTCATGTTTACCCAGTGGCAAAGACCCCAACTAAAGGCAAAATAGGCACAATGGATAGACTTCCTTTTTGCTTATCCACCCGTTAAAGTGAGTAACCATATCCATCCATCAACGAATGCTGTATTTATTTCTATCGTAGAATGGCCAAGGACCAAAAGACCACTCAAAAGCGTTCCACTCTCGCTGATGTTGTCACTCGTGAGTACACCATCCACATGCATAAGCATGTCTTTGGTCGCTCTTTGAGAAAGCGTGCTCCTCATGCCATTAAGTCCGTCAAGGCCTTTGCTACCCTTGCCATGGGTACCAAGGATGTCCGTCTTGATCCCTCTCTTAACAAGGCCGTCTGGTCTCGTGGTGTTAAGCACACTAACCATCGTATCCGTGTTCGCATCTCTCGTAGACGTAATGATGACGAGGATGCCAAGGAGAAGCTCTACTCTTATGTTACCTTCGTTCCCTGTGTTGACTTCAAGGGTAAGAATTATATCCGCATTCTCATTTGTGCACGACATTAACCTTCTTTTTAATAGGTCTCAACACTGAAGTTGTTGAGGATGAGAACTAAATTCACCAATCCCGATCAACCCTCGTAGAAAAATAAACATCAAACAAAATTTTCTTTTCTTTTTTGATTAACTACAAGATGTCGAGGTGTGTTTTTATATTGACAGGGAGGATTTCGTGCATATATTTAATTTCTGCATATCATCAATTGCCTAATTGACACGAATCTAGATAGTATATTATCATTACGAAAAATGTTATATGAATTATGTTTCAGCCGCTTTGCATTGATTAAATTATGAGCGACACTAAAAAAAAGAATGTTATATTCAGATAGGAGCACTATTAAAAAGGGGGAATGTGTCTACGAAGAGTGTTCTTGATGAAGCCATTTATTGCACTAGAGGCCGATATTTCCTATGTATGTATATACTTAGTTATTTGTTCTCCGCCTGGGGTTTCGTACATTGGAGAAAAGTGCATGCACGGCTTTGGCTTTTCAATGGTAATAGAATTATGCATTTCGCATTTAGGGTGGAAAGTTACAATTATGTTTTATATTGATCTTACATTGAGAGCTTATTTTTATTATCATTAACAGAAGCTGCCTGTATTAATCCATGATATAACACAATGTCTTCAGGGCGTTTGCCGATATAAAAATCGTTTAAAGATTAGGATTAATGCTTTCTTTGTGAAAGTGGGATAAAAAAGCACGTGCTTAAAATCCGGACTTGCCACTAACTTTTTGAATCCAAGAAGTAATCACGCTTCTATCTCTCTGTCACCAAACCTATTCTAGCTTAAATTTTTGTCAACCCCTACCAATCACATATGTTAAGATATCACTTTCGGCGACGATAACCTCCCCCAATTAAGTATTTGCTAAACTATCTGAATATGCTCACTAATACACCCCTACTGTCGTCTTCTTCCTTTACCCAACTATTGGTTAGGCCAGCTGTTTGAAGGCACACTTGACTTGGCTCATAATACAAGGAAATAAGCTCTAATCATTTAATATGGTAGAGGTCGAATTCAGATTTTAAACTTCGATAATTTTTAGTGGCATAAATAAATGCGTAATGACGAACTTTATCAAAATTAAGCTAATTAAGCCATAAAGACTACATACATCAATGTATTTACTAAGCATGGCATACGTTGCAAAGCCTTATTTACTATCTACGTAACCGCACCTGATCGTCTTAATGAACAATGTAACTGTCCTAGGATTACAAATGACCATAAATTGGTCCCTTAAATGAAATTGGCTAAATTGATGACAGCAGAATAGATGCTTTGTACCCATGAAACAATCAATTCAAATGTTTTCAGGAGATTACTTGAGCAAAACCCAAATATTCTGTATTACCACGGGCAACGCATTATTTAATCGGAACCCCTCTTAATAAATGAAAAAAGAATTAAGCTTTAAAATATTCAATAGGCTAGCACATTTTCTAACGTTAGACAGAAACTTTAATGTTTTAAGGAGTAATAATTTTATTTCTAATAATAACAAATAATATACAAATGATTAAGCGGTATTCTCAAAATCAGACTTTAAGGCTTTGACAGCAGAAATCGTACCAAAGATTAAACCAACAATACCTAACAAGACGACGAAGAAGCAAAGGATTAATTCAGCCCAGTGCTTGTTACGGAAGCCTGTCAGTTTCAAATAAAACATAACAGGGAAGATTAAAATAAGCGCACAATTAGAGAATGCACCCAATAAAGACATAAAATCACCAAAAAAGGGGACATAGATGGCAATGACAGCAATTACAACCACCATGACGAGGCGGAGGGTAAAACGTAAAAGTGTCTCCACAACACGAGAATGGTTAAAGGAAGAAATACCACAGAGCTTTTCTAAATCGAGGGCAAAAGAAGTCATCAAAATAGGGCAAGCCATCAAAACATGGATCGTAATGATGATGGTAGAAGCAAGCTTAGCGGCACCTTCAGGAATATTGTCGTAAATTGGGGACAAAGTTTTATCACCGTAAACATAATAACCAGGAATAGCAGTCAAGAAATAAAGTGCTACACAAGTACTTAAACCAGCTGCCACAACCTTGTTCCAGTTTTGTGGGTGTTTCATGCCTGCTTCAACATGAGCATAAACAGGGTTACCACCTAAATAGAATAAAGTGAGTCATGGTTACATAATTGTATAACTATTTGTATTTTACCAAAACTAAATACGATCGAACTAAGCGCAATTGGGAATTGATCCCAAATAACAGAAACATGATGCACATCGGTTACATAAGGCTTGTCCTTTAAGGCAGCTACCAAAACAATAAATACAACGATAACAGTGGCAAGCATACCGAAAGCACTAAGAAAGCCGACTTCCTTCATTGATTTGAATAAGACGAAAGGAACAGCGACTATAGCGGCGCAAATAATAACCCAAATTGTAAAAGTCAATTCACCAGCAGTACCTATGCAAACCTTATGTAAGTTTTGACCAGCCAAAAGAATATACAGTACTGGAACACCAATTAAAGTCACTGCGGTAAAAAAGAATGACACCCAGCCGCCAATAGGTCCAAAAGCGCTCTCGGCCACTTCTTGATAAGATGACAAACGGGTTCTTCCATTGTGATACAAACAGCGAATCAAGATAATACCAGAATCTATTGAGTGCATTAGCTTAATTTTAAAAATTCGGATATGCGGTACCTACAGATTGAAAAGCACCAACTCAATCCAAGAATAAATAGACCTATGGAATAATAGGAATTAATATAAAATAAATAAAATATATTCACACGGAGGTGCTAACCAATCCAGCCACCCTGTTTAAGGGCAAAAGGTAAACCAAGTGCACCTGTGCCTGCTACAACACAGACGACATTGAAATAAGCAAGGAAAGACGAGCCGCCTTCGGAATTGTCTACACCATGACTAAAACCGATAATATCATGATCGACCTCGCCTGTAATAAATAAATATTTAAGCCTCTATTTTTTTTTTTATTTTATTTTGACAGCTGCGATTGTTTTGACAATTACCAACGACATTGTCCGTAATCTCGTCTAAAGATGGTTCGGTGGAGAATGATTTCTCATTCTTCATTTTATGTAATTCCATTTTT